AGAACTCCACTACTGGAATTGGATTCCAGTACAAAGCAGTAGATTGACTAACTCTCGTATAGCCAATCTCCTACTACCGAATGATGTAGCTCTAACAACCTAATCAGATTCTATCTATCTCAGGTTGCAGCAGAAATCAAGAAAAGCTGATCAGACTTCAATCAATTCAATGAAACATGCATCATTCGATTAAAACCAAACAGTATAATCATCCCAAGTCATTACAATCAAATCCCTAACACATGGAACTAGGGTTCTTCATACCCAAGTGAGAGAAGGGTTCTACTCCATAGAGAGAGAGAGGAAAACATGATACAAAGCAGTCATACTCATAACAATGGGAAGAATCTGCTCTGGGATGATGATTTCCACTCCTATGATGATCTCCAAGCTCGATTTGACGAAACCCAGCTCCAAGATCGCTTCTAGGATGTGTTCTTCGCACTTTCTCTCTCTAGGGCTCTGTTTTTGCTCTGAAAAGTTGATTCTCTCACTTGTGGCTCGAAATTGGATTAAACCCAGATTTTCCCGACTCACACGGGCAGGCCACACGGCTGTGTGGCTTACCCAGATGCCCGTGTGGCCTTCAAAACGCTGCGTCTCAATTAATTTGGCTTCAGGCTTCCCTCACGGCCAGGGACACACGATCGTGTGGAATTTCCACCATGCCCGTGTTAGCTCTCGGCACAAACCACACGGCCACAAGGGTGACTGGCACGGCAGTGTGGGTTTCAGGAATGCCCGTGTGGCTTCCTCAGCGCCTCGCCACGCGTCCGATCTTCGTCCAATCGCCCCCAAACTCGCTCCCAAGCCTCCATTCACGTACTAGGACCTGAAATATCACAAACAAGCACAACCTAGCGTGAAATCGGCCTAAAACACGAGAATCCACATCTCAAATGGTGTAAGAATAGGGGTAAAAACATGTGCAATTAACGGTCTATCAAACTCCCCCACACTTAACCGTTTGCTTGTCCCCAAGCAAACCAAGTCAGACACAAGGTAAGCTCACATTTTCAATCATACCAATATTGGAAACAAATCATAAAGGCACAGAACACGGGAATCGTACTGGTTTTCAACATCAACACATGAGCAACTTTTAAACAACCTGGACAACCACCACAGAGGACATTTGAGTGCAGCGAAATCGAGTAAAGGAAGAGTCTCCCTTCTGTTCACCAACCACCCTAGACTTGACTCAACCACTTACTCAAAACAGCCACCTCATGCATCCAACTCAAGACATCAGAATAGAGATCGAGTAATCTAGGTCCTCACCGGGGTACAAGAGTATATAGAATATGAAAAATGAATCACTCACTCTCGACCAGTGGGGTCAGGACAATTTGATGCGAAAAATGAGCATGCTTATTCTCTCAATCCCTAACATCTCTTCACCATGATGGCAGCCTCTAAATGCTAGAGTTCACATATGGGGTGTCACCACTAACTAATCAGGAGGTCTTAGACACAGGTTCAAATGACTGGCTAGGGTCTTGGACATGGGGAAAAGGCCTTTTAGGTGATGGAAGTATTCATAGCACAAGGTTCCACATTTCCAAGCCCACACAATCACAATCAAACAAACCAGTATTTCCTTTCTGCCATTCTGCATTACTCAAATTCTCAAGAGCACAAGAGCGAAGGAGGTTATATAAATGTCAGCATTTCCAAGCCAGACTGCTAAGATACACTACTTACTGGGCACTATTCAGATTTTTGGTAGCGGCTCTCTTTTGCTTTCATTTTTTTTTTGCTTTCTTTGTTTTTCTTTATTTTTCATTTCTTAAGAGAACCACCACTTCTGCACATATTTCAAAACATGCCCAACATTTAAGCACTACCTCCAACCCTCACATTAAATTTAGCAGAAACAGCAGAAAACATGTAAAAAGCACTCTGTGGAACCTTCTAAAAGATGCAAAAGGGTGATTTTTCATTGTAGACCGAAAGAAAGGACGACACACGGCTCAAAGGGGCTGACTAGGGGATATGACACATCAAGACAGTCAATTTGGTCGTGGGCTAATCCTATGCCCCCATCATCTTAGCTAGTGACAACGTGAATGCTACACATCATGGAAGAGGGGTCTATCGCACAAGAAAGAAACGAGCAGGCTCAAATCTCACATGGCTACCTATATGCTCTATCTCTCATTCTGATTCCCTGAACTAGATGCATAAACGACTATCAAGAACAAGTGATCAATCCAAGTCACAGTTGGTAAGCAAACAGTTGAAAGACTGAACCCCTACACAACTCTACTGCACGTCTCAGTCATCATTATAGGTTGTCCTAGTCACAATCCAGTTGTCATGCATCAATCCGAAAACCATTCAATTTATCAACCAATCACATAGTGCCAATATGATCAAACAGCAGTACTTGGAGCCCTCAAATCTTAAGATTCGGACAGTGGACTAGGCTCCAAGCACACATATATAGATTCCAACTGATACAAAGCACCCCCCACACTTAAGCACGACATTGCCCTCAATGGAGTAGAGGGAGAGATAAGGGGAAAGATGTTACCGGATTGAAATACTGCCGGGGGGACTGGAAGTGGACCAGTCGGCGAGAAACAAACGGGAAGATGGACAGTTCTGCACGAATCGAACATCAAGAACACACTAGCACACTGTGCGTTAGGGATCAGTAGCCCAGACGGCCACAAAATAAACAATCCACAAAAGAAAAACAAAAACAAAAACAAAAACAAACGACAAACTAAGTTCAAGCTCCGCACACACATGGAGCAAACACAAAAAGTCTGAAATGAAAACACACACAGAGGGGCGACGAGTACAACCTACTCGTCGCCAAGGTTATCCAGGTCGATGTCGTTCTTGAAAGCGTCATCGTCATCCGCTGGTGGAGGTGCAGGAGATGCCCGTGTTGGCCGACACGGCCAGGTCGAGGCAAGCCACACGGTCGTGCGAGTTGCACAACTGGCCGTGTGGAATTTGCCGAGCCCTCACACGACCAAGGGGTCAAATCCACACGGCCGTGTGACTGGACCCCCTTGCCCGTGTGAGATTTCCAGAGTCTCCACACGGCCAAAACCCATATCCACACGGCCGTGTGAATTTTAGGCATGGCCGTGTGGGTTTCCAGAGCCCCGAAATTGACCTGTTTTCACTCAAAAACGACGTTCGACTATGGGACAACACCTCAAGACTAAAAAAAACACAAAAATCAAAAGGAAAAAGGGTAAGAAAATGTAAACCTAGGTGGGGTTGCCTCCCCACCAGCGCTTCTTTACCGTCTTTTAGCTGGACGCCAGTGGGTGGATGCTCAGTGCGGTGAGGAAGCAGGTGCCTTCAAGAGCGAATCCACCTCGCTCTTGAGGTACAACTTCAGATGGTGGCCATGCACACGACGAATGTGGCCACCAGCATTCGCCAACTCGACTTGGCCATCCGGCAGGATGCAAGCGAGTGAATACTCGAATGGCCAAGGTGGTCGAGGTTCAGGAGGCGGGACTAGCTCATAGTGGTCTCCGGTATTCTTGCGAGCGGGCTTAGCTACCAGAAGCTTCGGCCGCCACTCCTCCCTGCTTTTGTCGGATAATGGAGTGGATGGAAGTGGCGGCGAAGATATGGGAGGGGGATCCAGCAAAATGGGAAGCGCAGAAGGAGACACGACAGACTCGTGCTCCTGGTGAGAAACAGCATGCAAAGGCGAGGGAGCAGGGAGAGTATTAGCAATTGAAAATGTTATTCGCTCCTCGTCATCCCTCAAGACTAAGGTCCCATCATGCACATCTATGAGAGCCTTGGCGGTGGCTAGGAAAGGCCTTCCCAGTATTAGGGGCACTTCTGTATCCTCATTGATGTCCAAGACAACAAAATCCACAGGATAAAAGAACTTGCCAACCTTAACCAAAAGGTCTTCCACTATGCCCCTAGGATGAACTATAGATCGGTCAGCTAATTGAAGGCTCATCCTAGTCGCACGGGGTTCACCTAGGCCTAGTTTCTTGAATAATTTATACGACATAACATTGATAATAGCACCTTGATCCGCCAATGACCTCTCTACATGAAATTTATCTATAGAGCATGGGATAGTAAAACTACCTGGGTCCTTCTGCTTCTGCGGAAGCTTGTTGTCCAGAATAGCCGAGCACTCCTCGCTGAGCTCCACAGTGGCTAGCTCGCTCAGCTTCTACTGCTTTGAAAGAAGATCTTTCAGAAACTTCACATACTTAGGCATTTGAGATAGTGTCTCCAGGAAAGGCACTTGGACATTCAATTTCCTAAGCATGGACATGAAGTTTTCGAACTCTGCCTCCAGCCTGTCTTTGTGCAATCGAGTAGGGAAGGGGAGTTGCGGGATATACTCCTTCACTACCGGTTGCGGCTCAGGCGCAGGCACCTCAACCTCCTTCTCTGCTTCCTCTTCAACCACTGGAGATGCTGAAACATGGGCCTCTCTCTCTTGTTCCCGAACAGGTGGATCAGCAGTCATCTTGCCACTCCTGGTTGTGATGGCATTACAGTGGGCATTCGGGTCCTTCGGATTAGGAATGGTTTGACCTGGCAAGGTACCCGGAGCTCGCTGCGCCACTGCTTGAGCCACGCTCCCCAGCTGGGTTTGGATATCCTGCAAGACAGCCTGTGTGTTCCTCTGACACGCTTCAAGAGCCAGGAATTTACCCGAGGCCTTTTCCATGAACTACTCAATAGTGTTGAATTTCTGAGCACTAGAACTGGCAAGAGAACCCACCAAGTCCCTCAATTCAGCCATCGGATCATTCTGTACTGGGGCTGCGGAGGCTGCCCCTGGCTGCTGGAACGGTCGCGGCTGTGGTTGGGCAGCATGCCCCTGCATGGGCTGGTAGAGAGACTGCTGCTGGAATTGCCCCTGTCTGGGCTGATATGGCGGTCTCTAGAAGCCTGGTGGTCCTTGGGAGGTTGGTGATCTAGGATTGGCCCCAGCCCAGGAGAAGTTTGGATGTTGGCGCCACCCCTTGTTGTACGTGTTACTGTAGGGGTCAATGCGCCTAGCATTATTGATGAAGTTCACCTGCTCCTGGGTTGTAGTCGACTCCCTCATCGCCTGACAATCTTTCACAGTGTGATGGGTGCTCTCGCACCACTGCAGTGCATCGCCTGCTGCTGGTCGTTCCCGGGAATCATCCCAGATCGATCTATGGCTGAAACCAGCTTCGATACCACCTGCACCAAATCAGATGACTGGGTGGCTACAACATGCACACCCTGCCCTGGTACTCTTCTCGATCTCCTGGCAGTTCCCCAATCATACCCGTTCTCTGCCATCTCCTCAAAGAGTTGATTCAGCTGTGGCGGTGTTTTGGTCAGCATGTTCCCGCCACAAACCGAGTCAATCAGCTGCTTGTCTTCTGGGAAGAGGGCGTGATAGAAGGTGCCCACCTTGAAAGCATCATTGAAACCATGATTGGGACACCTCAGGAAGAGACTGTTGTATCTCTCCCATGCGTCCCGGATGGTCTCATCTTCATCCTGGATAAAGTGGGTGATCTGCTTCTGCAAGTCCGCCGTCTTTGACGGAGGATGATAGCAGGTGAGGAACTTGTCCGCCAGGTTGGCGAACGTGGTGATAGATCCTGGGGGTCGAGTGTCTAGCCACTCCTTGGCCTGCCCCTCCAGAGTAAATGGGAAGTACCTTAGCTGGATGGCATCGGCTGGGACCCCATTGATCTTGATTCCATCAATCAGCTCGTGGAATCTCCTCATATGTGATCGGGGGCACTCCCCCTCCTTGCCACGGAACACCACCGAACCGCGCAACATTGTGATGACCGAGGTGCTCACCTCAAAGTTGTTTGCTGGCACATGAGGGTGCTGAATAGGTGACCTCATGTCCGCGGCTTTGGCGGTCCAGTAGGATCCCATGGTCTGCTCTTCAGGATTGACCACATCATGGTCATGTGGGTCAACCATCTCTTCTTCATCAGCGATTTGCAGCTGTTCTAGCGCCTCCTCCGCAGCCAGTCGCGCCTTTAGAGCCCGCTTGAATTTCCTACAAGTCCGTTCAAGCTTCTGGTCTAATGGTAGTAGTTCTCCAGACTGGCTACGGGTCATGCACTACCTGCACACAACCAGCAAAAGCAACCCGTGAAGGCACACAGGTGGAAGAGAAAACAATGCAGTAAAGAAAAAGCTAGAGTAACAAATTTTCACGTTTCCCCAATAACCTAGAGGGTTCCCCGGCAACAGCGCCAAAAACTTGACACGCTAAAACACAACACCAAACTACGACCAAGTATAATCGCAGTCCGGGAATGCAGTAAGTAGAAAGTTCTATTATCAACCCGGGGTCTAGATCTACTGCCTACTCCGCGATTATCTATTATCTAGCCAACTAAGTCGAGTGATTGTTGGTTTAACTAAAAGCAGTAAGAAAGCAGGAAATTTGTCGGTTTTCTAAAGCAAGGAAGAGTCACCCGGGAATGAGTCCCCCTAGCTCCTTAGTTAGGTCTCAATTGTAATTACCCTGGGTTGATTTACTGTTGATTAGACTGCGGAAGATCCGACAGTAGCTTGGAATCTCTTAAGCTGACCAAGCCCTCTCAGTCTAACTACCCGGCAGACGACTAGTCTTCACCGGGATAGAAAGCTGAAGCAATAAGCACAGAACTCCACTACTGGAATTGGATTCCATGTTAAAGCAGTAGATTGACTAACTCAAGTATAGCCAATCTCCTACTACCGAATGATGTAGCTCTAACAACCTAATCAGATTCTATCTATCTCAGGTTGCAACAGAAATCAAGAAAAGCTGATCAGACTTCAATCAATTCAATGAAACATGCATCATTCGATTAAAACCAAACAGTATAATCATCCCAAGTCATTACAATCAAATCCCTAACACATGGAACTAGGGTTCTTCATACCCAAGTGAGAGAAGGGTTCTACTCCATAGAGAGAGAGAGGAAAACAGGATACAAAGCAGTCATACTCATAACTAGGGGTGGGATTTGGTCGGTAAACAATTTACCGTTTACCGAATTTACCAGTTTCGGTATACCGAAGTTGGCCAAACTGGTTACCGATTACCGATACCGGTTTGTAACCGGTTTACCGATTACCGAATTACTGGTAAACGGTTACAAACCGGTATTACCGAAATACCGTGAGAAGCGATTTCGGGCGGTTTTTCGGTCGGTTTACCGAATATTTACCAAACCAAATTTCTGGAAGTGGGGTGATGTTGTAATCTTTTGATTTTTTGAGTTTTTTTCATCATTTTTGTAATTAATAATTTATTATTAACTCTTATTTACAATATTTTTGAGGCCTATACTTACATTCATGTATGTAATATTTTATATTTTTGGGGGTAAAGCAACAAAACGCAGCACAACACTAGGGAGTAGGGAGGGGGGATTCGGTATCGGTAATTACCGATACCAAATTACCGATTTACCGTCGGTATTTACCGATATCGTGTTCGGTAAACCGACTCCCCCAACTTCCCACTCGGCTGCCGATACCGCCGGTAAACGGTTCGGTAAAACGGTAAACCGTTTACCGGATTACCGTTTACCACCCCTACTCATAACAATGGGAAGAATCTGCTCTGGGATGATGATTTCCACTCCTATGATGATCTCCAAGCTCGATTTGACGAAACCCAGCTCCAAGATCGCTTCTAGGATGTGTTCTTCGCACTTTCTCTCTAGGGCTCTGTTTTTGCTCTGAAAAGTCGATTCTCTCACTTGTGGCTCGAAATTGGGTTAAACCCAGATTTTCCCGACTCACACGGGCAGGCCACACGGCCGTGTGGCTTACCCAGATGCCCCGTGTGGCCTTCAAAACGCTGCGTCTCAATTAATTTGGCTTCAGGCTTCCCACACGGCCAGGGACACACGGCCGTGTGGAATTTCCACCATGCCCGTGTTAGCTCTCGGCACAAACCACACGGCCACAAGGGTGACTGGCACGGTCGTGTGGGTTCCAAGAATGCCTGTGTGGCTTCCTCAGCGCCTCGCCACGCGTCCGATCTTCATCCAATCGCCCCCAAACTCGCTCCCAAGCCTCCATTCACGTACTAGGACCTGAAATATCACAAACAAGCACAACCTAGCGTGAAATCGGCCTAAAACACGAGAATCCACATCTCAAACTATGTACGAATAGGGGTAAAAACATGTGCAATTAACGGTCTATCACATAGATTTGAGTAAATCCTTTGGAAACTAACCTTGTTTTATATCTCTCAACTGATCCATCAGGTTTGAGCTTGGTTTTGAACACCCACTTCCACCCAATAGTTCTTTTCCCATATGGCAGAGTCACCAAATCCCAAGTATGTTTTTCAGTCAAGGCATTCAAATCCTCTTCCATAGCTTTAACCCAATGGTGTTCTTTGGCTGCTTCTTTGTAGGATTGAGGATCCATAAAAGCAACAAGGCGCATTGCATACCTCTTCTGCTGAGGTCTAAACTGGTGGTAAGATACATAATTAGTCATACAGTATTGATTAATCTGATTGATGGTTGTAACAATCCTTATGCCAAACAGGTGGCTTTCTATTCCTTGGAGGAAGATCATGATCATCCAGTTCATCTCCTTGTGGCAAGTCATCATTAGATTCCTCCTGATAGTCAGGCTCAGCATCAGCAAAGTCTTCATCTGTTGAGTGGTCTTCCTCTACTAATGAGGGTTGAGAGGAAGACTTAGCACTAAAGTCAGTTCCTGAGGAGGTCTGAGGATCAACTGGAGCATATGGAACTGGTGGAACTGAAGAAGAAGGAACAGATGAAGGAGGTTGGCCCCCATGAGCCTGGACATCAGGGAAGTTGACTGTAGGCAATTCAGGGAAGACTTGTGTGTCTTTTGAATCATCAACCAGGCCATGAAAAGGAAAAATATCTTCATAAAAAGTCACATCTCTGGACATAAACACTTCATGTGAAGTCATATCAAAGATTTTATATCCTTTGATGCCAAATGGATATCCTAGGAAAAGGCATTGCCTAGCTCTAGACTGAAATTTGGTTCTACCACTGCTCAAGATAGAAGCATAGGCTAAACAACCAAAGACCTTCAAAATGGTAAAGGGAAGGTGGTTGCTTGTACAACAATTCAAAATAACTTTTGTTTTCTAAAATAGGTGTAGGCAATCTGTTAATTAGATGCACAACATGGAGTATGCAATCACTCCAAAACTGTAAGGGAATACCATATTGAAATCTTAATGCCCTTGCCACATACAATATATGTTGATGCTTCCTTTCAACTCTTCCATTTTGTTCTGGAGTAGCTACACAAGACATCTGGTGTTCTCATGTTCTTGATAAAACTCAGTCATATGGAACTCCCTACTGACTCTCTCCTACCGTCACTCTAGAAAATGGCCAAGTGTAACCACCTCCTAAAGCGTAGTATAGCGGGTTTGGGTTTTAATGTCAACCCGGGTCCTAAGTGTGATGACTACTCTGTGAATTCTTTATTTAGCAGTGAAAGTGTAGTGAAGATCCAAACAAGCAAACAAGCAAAGCAGTTAAAAGGTTGTTTTCAAGTCGAGAGAGGTCACCCGGATATGGTTCCCCCTAGACTGCAGTTAAGCCAGATTGTAATTTACCAAGTTCAATGATAGTTATACTGCGGGAGGTTCTTAAACAGTCTGCAGTCTCGACTAAAGGTCTTCAGACCCTCTCAATCTGAGTCCCCAGCGGGCGACTAACCTTCACCGGAGTAAACAAATTGAGGCCCTAACGAACCAAACCTCCACTACCGAAGTAAATTCGGTACAGAATAGTGAATTGACTCCTCGACTAAAGTCGTCAATTCACTACCTTCAATCAAGGGCGCTCTATCAACCTAGGCAGATATTCTCTTTCTAGGTTAAAGAAGCAGAAACAACAGGAATTTGATCAGGATTCATGTCATTCAAGAAATCAAACCTCAATTGAATAAAATCATATCACTGAATTCTTACCTGGGTTCATACAATCAGACCTAACATACAAATCTAGGGTTCTTCATACCCAGGTGAATAAGAAAGTTACTCCATAGAGAGAGACGGGAAATCTAGCTCAGATGCGGAAACCATACTGTGAAGGATGAGAATCTACTTCTGGCACTCAATCAGCTCTTCTCCAAGCTCAAGCCGGGCTTCAATGGTGATGGAGATCGATCAAAGACACTTGCAGAATCAGGTTCGTCACTTTCTCTCTCTAGGTATACAATTTGTCTCTCTCAAACTCGGAACCCCTCACTTTTGCCCTTCTTTTCCCTTAAGAAGCTGTCTGCCGCGATCCCCATCCTGAATACCCGGTCGGGTATTTTAGGTGGGGGCCGGGTATCTTCAAAATGCACCGTCGGGGAACAGGGGTTAATCCCCGGTCAAGTCCAAGAATACCCGACCGGGGATTTCTGATTACTGCCCGGGCCCCCTTCTGCTTCTCAAACGCCCAAAACCTGTTTTCCACGGTCTGCTCCAAATAATACCCGGCCGGGTCTTTCTGCTCATGGCTGGGTATTTTGCTCCTGCAGCACACTTCAACCCAAACGTGCTCCTTTCGACCGGAAACTCGTTCCTTCGCCTCAATGCCAACGCTAAGCCCTGAAATATGACATAAACGCCCAACCTAGCGTGAAATCGGCTTAAAACACGAGAATCAACATCTCAAACTGCTCAAGAATAAGGGTAAAAACATGTGCAATCAATGGTCTATCACCTACCCTGATCACTCCTTATGGTTTTAACAAATTTGGAAACTGATTCTGTACCATGACACAGAAGTTATGCAACAAGGACCTGGTTTCTTATTTGTGTTTCATAAGAATAATCCACACAACTCGAGAATAATCATCAACAACAGTAAGATAGTAAGAAAAACCATCATAAGATTCAACTGCCAAAGGCCCCCATATGTCAACATGGATTAAATAAAAAAACATCATTTGCTTTGTGTTCACTCAAAGGAAAAGGTAATCTCTTGTGTTTTGAAAAATGACAAACATCACAATGCTTCACTATCTCATTTCTAATTACAGGATTACAAAACTTTAATAATTTTATCTTCTTGGAATTGGGATGCCCTAAACGCCACTGCCAAAGGTTAATCTTTTGAGGCTAGAAATTGTAGACTGAAGCTACTGAAGGTGTGATCTGACTATCTGGACTGGACATTAGATGGTATAGACCCCTACTTTGTTTTCCCAAGTCAATCATCCTATTGGTTACTAGGTCCTGGGCAACACAAGAATCAGATTGGAAGGTGAGGGAAATTGGTAAGTCATGTGTCAACCTAATAACTGACACAAGATTGAAACTAAACTGGGAATCAACAAAACATTGTTCAACAGAATTCCTGAAGGCAATCTAACTGATCCAATGTGATTGACTAACACCTTAGTGCTATTTGGTAAGAAAACTGACACACCATGAATTGGTTTGTAAGTGGTAAAGAAATTTTTAGAGCAAACAATGTGATCTGAAGCTCCAGTGTCTAAAATCCATGTTGGAACAAGGGAGGCTGAATGACAATGAAAATATGATGTTAGAACATATTTACCAACTGAATTAGGAAACTGTGGCATCTGTTGTGCTACTGAGAAAGCTGCATGACAGATGTTTGGTGAATGAGGTGGTGATGGAGAAGGTGAAGGACTAGTTGTCACTCCCTGAAGCAAGAGACTGAGTCTATTCATTTCTTCACCAGTCAACTAAAGATTCACTATGTTGCCTAAGTTGTTGCCACTTCCTCCAAAGTTGACACTCCCTGTCCCATTGCTCGATTGAGTCTCAAGAACACCATCCTCCGATTCATTTACAGCTCTAGCATTCTGCTCTTTGTTCTTCCTTTTCAGCTTCTAACAGTCTGCTATATTGTGATTTATTTTCTTGCAATATCTGCAAAACAACCTTGTTTTACTTCCTTCTGCACTTCCTTGTTTGGTGCTTGTCTCCCAACAGTATTGTCATTCCCTTGACTTCCTTGCCTTCCATAAGATGCAAGTGCCACTAACTGTGTACTCCTTCCTTCGTCATATTTAAATTTATGCTCATGTTGGAGAAGGTCCCCATATGCTGCTATAACAGTTGGGAGGGGCTTCATCATAAGAAGCTGAGTCTTGACAACATCATATGCAAGACTGACTCCTCTCACAAACCTCACAAGATAATATGTTTCTTGTTTCGCCATAAAGGCTTCCATAGTTGGACAGGGCAAGATCTATCCTGGAGCACAAGTACATGGGACTATTGGGTTGAACTTTGAGTATTTTTCCCACAACCCCTTCATCAATGTATAATACTAGGTTATGGTCATGTTCCCTTGCTTACAAGCATGAATATCATCTTCCAAGTTGGTCAGCTTTACAACATTAGCTTGACCAAACCTTGTAAGCGAAGGTCGAGAACGAGACCGGAGACGATTTTCTTGTACTTTCTTCTTGAAATTCAAAAACCCTAGAGAAAACTTGTAGTAAGATGGTGAAATTGATTTGCAACTGAATGAAGGACGAAGGAAGGGAAGTGTTCAATCTTCGATTAGGCAGAGAATGAATAATGGGCCTGTCGTATTATTTCCAAGTTCCGGCCCAGAAAAATGAGTTTGAAAGTGATGTAAGTAAGGCCCTTAACACAGATAGTCAGAAGGGTGGATTGATACTCCTTGTTCTTCTACACTCTGCTTCTGGAAAACCTCCCCTGTTCCGAACTGAACTCACAAGCACACAACAAGATTATCAACCGAAAAAGAAACAGAATGAATGAACAATAACACACATAATTTTTACGTGGTATCCAGCACAGAGAGAATAATAATCCCTGTACCGACTAATCCACAGTTGAAGGATCTCTTCTTGAGACCTTCAACGTATGACTAATGATTTGTTTCCTCAAGTTCTTTGTTACAATTCTAAACTAGAACTCTCAGCCTATTGCTGGTAAATCACCCTAACCAGACTGTACCCTCACTCAAGACTGTGACACAATACACCTAGTTAGCTAAGCAATCACTCTGATCTGCTCTCTTTTTCTCAGCAAGACCACTAGCAAATTCTCTGCTCTTTCCTTCTTGTTTGCTTGAAAAAGGTGCCGATTAACCCCATACTCTCTATCTTCTTATACTCTTGCTTCCCAACGTCTCTTTGATGATTTTACCATTTCTGGCCTGCGAGCAGAAAAGGTAAGGTAGGCTGATTTGATTTCTTTCCAAATCAATCCTTTGTCCCATTGAATTGCTTGAGCAGAGGCATTGGCAAGCTTTCCAAATCAATCCTTTGTTCCGTTGAATTGCTTGAGCAGAGCCATTTACGAGCTTCCTTCAACAAACCTGTCTCTCAACTCTTCCCACAAATTTTGTGCCACTTCATGACTCTGAACACTACGTTTAATATCCTTATTGGAGAATTGATAATCCAGCAAAGAACAACAGTATTGCAAGCATCCCAAGCTCTATAACCATTAGGATCTGTTCTGGGATTTGGAATTTCTACAAATCCATCTATAAACCCAAGCTTATACTTGGTTTTGAGAGCAATGCTGATAGATCTCGCCCACATTTGATAGTTACTACCATCTAGGACCTCACACGATGGATTGAGAAAGATTTTCATTAGGGTTCTGATAAAAGGGGTTACCAAACTGGAAATCCGAAGAAGATTGAGAAGGTTGTGTAGAATATGTGGTTGCTGCACTTGAGGTTGAATGTGTTGCTAATCCAGACGTGGGTTGTTCTTCATTCCCACTCATTGTGACTTAAAGCTGCTGCTCCTACCTGAATCAGGCTGCCTGAATGGCGCCATGATCTGATACCATAAGAGAAGCGGAAGAAGACCTGAGATTTGGGTGGAGGAGCAGTAGAAAAAATGCAGTCCTCTCTTTAGGTTTTTTATTTATTTATATGGATCCATAACGGATAATACACAGTATTAACGGCTATACGAAATCCATTAACCAAAGCTTAACGCGTGTCTGGCTTGGATTCTTTATTAGCTAACGATCTGCACTTAAACAGACTAAACAAATGAATGAGCAAAACGACAGCGTAAGTCAAAGTTCATTTCAGTTCCAAACTTTCATTCTTCTCCACTTAATCGTGCTGATATTGAGACTGAATCCTTGCCTGATCAGGATTGCAATGAATGATTGCAGTAGCTGCTGTCCTTCTGGTATCAGCTCCTCCTCCAATATGCATCTCTCGACATCGTCGTCGTCAATGGAGTTTCAATTAAACTCTTCGAAATCGATTGTCCCGTCGCCCTTATTATGACGCCGCTGATCATCTTGCGGCACTCAACAATGGAGAAATCCTCGCCCAGGCTATCCATGACCTTGTGCAACTCCTCCACGATAATAGAGTCTTCGTCGATGTCTTAGACTCTCAAATTGACCATTGCCTCCTCGGAACCAACCCGCGGAGTGTTCAACTCCATGTAATCCTTGAAATCGATGTACCTGTCCCCGTCGAATTTCCAATTTTTGGAGCTCCTCCTCGCTGGCGTTCTGGCCGAGGGTGGACATGATGGATTCAAGCTCAGAGGTGGATATCTTGCCGTCGGCAAAATTGAAGGTTCCTTTAAATATCCCTTTTTAGATTAGAGGTGGGACTAGGAAAGTTGTGATGTGGCAGATGACATAGAGTATTTGACAGCTTAGAGGAATAAGAAGTTGTCATGTCAGCACCGTTAGTGCTATGTCAACTAGGGATGTCAATCAAACCCATAGTCGCGGCCTCGCGGGTACCAGACCGCCCCTGACCTTGGTAATGCAGGGAATCCTCACTTTGACCGGGTATGGATAAAACCCATAAAAAGTTTGATGGGTATGTGGCGGGTATGGTTTTAGCCTTCCCCGCCTCATACCCATACCCACCCCACCAATAGAATTTTGTCACATGTAAAAAAATATGTCGATCAAATTGTATTTTATCAATGGTGATGAGGATAACTCGAGGAAATAAATAGTAGACCTGCAATTGAGTGACCACCTTAATAAAAACCTAATTCATTTCCCTCAATTCTCCTTTCACTTTCCCCATTGTCAACAAGATTATGTTAGTTAATTATTATTAAGTAGATATATGAGAGTTAGAACATAATAATTTGAAAAATATTATACTCTATATTTTTCATTTAGAGTTAGAACATATTATTATATTATGTATTAATGGATGTTTTACGATCATATACTTTGAACCGTATTAAGAAAATGACTGTGTTTTGTTGACTTCGTGATATAATAGATTCATTTAGAGTTCTAATTAAAAAATTTATTATAAGTTTTAGGTATAATAATGTTGGATGTACGGGTACGGGTATTACCCATGGGTACCCGAAACCCACGAATATGGGGATGGGTTTGCAAAACATTCCCCGCGTGGGTATGGGGCTGGTATGGTTTTGGGTATTTAAAGATGAAAATGGGAATGGTTTAGACAAACCCACCCCACCTACCCCATTGTCATCCCTATGTCAACAACGTTTAAGTTGTATCCACAAAATTTTGATGGAAGTGATGCATGATGGTCTTTTATATAAAATTTAATGGTTTAGTTAAATTAAAAAGAGTTTAGTGGTAAACATCAATCAATTCAGCGAATTTAGTGACGAGTGGTGATTTTCACCCCTTTACTTACTATTTAATTGTCATTGATATATGATATATGCACTTTATTTTTCATAAGTCAAAATTTACCATCCATCTAACCACCAATATTATTGGTTGAAATGTTGTGGCTCCCTACAAGAAAATCATTACATGGTTGGTTCATATATGTAAGTCGACTATATCTACAAATATATATGGCAAAGGCTAGCGTACGACGATCGTACGCTGTGCGCCTGTGTTCACACATGTTAATAATTTTTAATTAGTTATAATTAAGTAAATAATAAAGAATAATTAAAATTACAAGCATATCGATAAATTTATTTTGGAATACTATTTAGTACCAAATAATATTTTACCGTCTTTCTACTTAAATCAATCATGTAAATTTTCAATTTAACATTTATAGTACCTTCTTTTTGCTATTCATAATTTATAACACCCAAATTTCTTATCAACAATAAATAGTGTAATTGTTTTCGTTTTCTTCTTTCAAAATGCATAATATATTTATATTGAATGTCACCATGCTTGCGATGGGAAGATTTCAGAATCGAGATCCCCAATTTCGTTCGTTTCCCTTCCCTATCCTAGGGTTCTCGTTCTCGTTTTCGGCCATGGATGCCCAGCAGCTCGCGCCTCTGCCTTTGGATGCTAGTCCCGAACTTTCAAGCGAAGGCTCCACCCCACCCCCGGCTCCGGCTCGAGCGAAACTGGGCTTGAATCGGTGCCAAAGAAGCAAAAGGTCGAAGAAGCCAGTGGCGGCAGCAGCGACGAGGTCGCCGATGGTGTTAGGTGACCTAATTCGCCTCCCCACCCTCAACGTTCCCGCTCCAAGTCGCCAAAATGAGATTTACGGGGAGTTCACAGAAATTTTCAGAAGGTAAAGATAACGCTATCAAGTCAGGGGGGGGGGGGGGGGGGGGGGGGGGAAATTGACTGTGCGGGCCAATGGAAACTCTATAAGGGCACTGATACGCATTGACTGTGCTTGTTGGAACAAGAAATCAAGGAAAATTTGAAGATGTCAGCTGTCGAGGGAGATCAAGGAATACAACCCATATGAATTGGATCAAAACCAGTAAATTGACATCTGTATTCAGTTGATGACAGAAGTGAATAACATGCAACTACTCAAAACTCACCATGGATGAGATCTCAAGATCATCGATCAATTGAACAAAGATTTCCACAATTTCAAATTAAATCAAAAGAAACTAATGAAACTCACCATTTCAAATATCATCGATGAAACATTTGGGCCGTCGTTGTGGTCAAGAATTAGTAAACTTGGAGAGTGAATATGGGTAATAGAAAGCGAAGCAGAAACAGAGTAGCAAATAGACAGAGAGGTTGAGTGACTGCCTGGGGTGCTGGGGGCTTCAGATGATAAGGGAAAGAGAAAGAATAAAGGAATGTAATAAAGTGCCCTAGAACTATTTATTGTTGATAAGAAATTTAGGTGTTTTAAATTATGGATAGCAAAAAGAAGGAACTATAAATGTTAAATTGAAAATTTACATGATTGATTTAAGCAGAAAGACAGCAAAATATTATTTGGGACTAAATAGTATTCTGAAATAAATTTATATGTATGCTTGTAATTTTTATTATTCTTAATTATTTACTTAATTATAACTAATTAAAAATTATTAACAAGTGTGAACACAGGCGCACAACGTACGACGATCGTATGTTACCCTAAATCATATATATATATATATTTTGTTTGATGTAGGTTTGGGATAGTTTATAATTATTATGTTTATGAGTATTATAATTAGGAATAATTGAGAGGGAGGCCGACTAGAAGGAGAAGGAAAGAGATAACAATTATTAGGTGGTCAAATAAGGGACGAGTAGTATGAGCAAGGTTGTCTACTCGGTTTAGCCCGTTAGTCCGGTTGAGCAAGTGGGTTGAGGGTTAATGTCCAACTGTTTTAGTCCGTTTTAGTCCGGATAAATGAATAAGTCATTATATTGTTCATACATTTATAAATTATATCAAATCTCATATAACATATGAGCAATAACATATAAAATTACACCAAAATAACAAGTCGCATGTGAATGCAACATATAGTGAAAATTAACACAAACTTATACACACTTATGTGACATCAATATTCAAATGTTAAATTTAGAATTCAAAAAATAGGGTTAAGCGAAGAGGAAAATCGAAAAATAGGAGCATTTCGCAAACCAAATGGAAAAAGGACAACGTATGACCTACAACCCGACAACCTTACAGTGGGTTGACCCAGCAGGGTTACGACCCATTTTTCTCAGTGGGTTAGGTCAAAATGGGTCAATCAGTGACCGACCCGCGGGTTGACAACCTTGAGTATGAGAGTTTTGGGTGGAATATGATACATTTAAATAGGTTATTAAAGGTGTTGTATAGATTTATAAGTATATAGTACGGGAGCCATTATATGGATAAAAATGAAATGATTTGACATTAATACGAAAATAAAATATTTAAATACATAAAATAAATACGTCAATATATATATAAAATTAAGGTTCAGACTAACGTACATTAGTACAAATAAAGGTCCGAGATGGAACGAGTTAGTGATGAAAAAAAATTAGCTGTCAATTGAGGCGTTTTCCAATTTTGATTATTTGCTCAAGAAAAATGTTTTTATTTCTTGACGAGGGAAATTTTAAAAATAACAAAAAAAAAAGTTTTCATGGACCGGTAAACAACAAACCAAAACTCCGTCGAAAGCCGCTGCGATAGCGCGGCTCAATTTCCCTAGTTATAACTAGCTTATACCCGACCCGTTGGTCGCATGAATTCATTCTTTTATTTTCTATTTTTTATCCTACCCGTCAGCTGGATTAATTTAAATTTATCAAGTCGTGAAGTATAAGCAAGAGCAAGAGAATGTCTATTTCTACATAATTATATATTAAAATATTAATAAACCATTCATATTTATTACTTTAATTAAAAAGTATTAGATATATTATCAAACTTTAGGCAAAATACTACAACACCTCCTATTTGTTTAATTAAATGTATATCCAGACCAAGAAGGAAGTAACATGAATTTAATAGCCCGTTCAAACGATTTGTTATCAATTTTGGGCATACAATTACCTAAGTTTTCTTTGTTTTCCAAATTTTATTTATAGAGAAAGGAACATATATCTTTCTCACTCTAACTCTAAGTGTTTCCCAAGTAGCACTCCACCCGCAAAATATTATTGTTTCTCATCATCTTCCAGTTTTTTTTCTAGCCATTTTACCGGGTTAATTGCATAGTTGGTCACTAAGATTACAAAAAACGTTCAAGTTTGGTCACTCAAAATATTTAAATCCATTGGTGGTACTTCAATTTACTAAAACCGTTCACGTTTGGTCACTCTCCGTCCAAGTCTGTTAACTTTTGCTTATGTGGCAGTCAACTCTAAAAGTTGACTGTTAAATGTGTGACGTGGCAATAAAAAAATAATTAAATAAATAAAATTTATTTTTTAAAAATTTCCACCTCATTTCTAAATATTAAAAAAATATAAAAAAAAATATTTGTGAAAATATATTTTTTATAGCCAATACTCGTTGCCGTGATTAGTTAAAACCCCCACAATCACCTACAAACCCCTCAATCACCCCCACAAAAGTCTGAATCTGAGCAAATTGGCCTTTCACCTTCATCTAACAAATTCACGCAACCAAAACCAAACCTTTATTGGAATTGGATCACAAGAATATTAACAAACTATGGATTTTGACTATTGCATTTAGAACATAAGACACTCCTAAACTAGCTAACAGGGGAAGAGTTGCTGCCGACGACTCTAGCGCCGGAGGCCATAAAGGAAAAATCTTTATCCTAATTCTCTGCATAACCATGCTTGAACGTCCTAGTTGTTGTTACTGCTGTCGCTGCTTCCACCGCCATCAATCTTCTTCATCCTCTCTGCCTCCTCCATTTCTGCTTCCCGAGAAACGATCTCTACATCCATTGTAAAGCTCCAATCATAGCTGCAAAGCTCACCTCAAGGAAGGTGTCCGCCTTCCCATAACCAACTTATAGCATACAGATAATCTCGCAAGTGATGCATATCATTAAGAAGCGGTGATCCGCAACATTCCGATCGAATTGGGGGAACTCGCTACAGCCTGCATCAGGGCGATCATCGGCAGGCCGGAGCAGATTCGGAGCTCGATCACGTGGATCCGCTTCTCCCCGGCGACGTTCTCCATCAAGATCTGGACTGCGGCGAGCTGGGAGGCGGTGTAGAACGGGACTCTGGTCCGGAACTCCATCGCGCTCTTGTCCGCGAGCGTCACCGTCATGTCAGATATATTCGAGCGGCTGCGGCTTCCGATGATCGTCGTGTTCCAATTCGCCGCCGCGGCGGGTCTTCTGGACCTCGATCCGCTGGCGGAGGGCGCTGCAGAAGTAGTACCCGACCCGCTGGATCGGGTTGCCGGCTTGGGAAGATAACCGGGTGCAGAGGTCGAGCACCTGGAGTGCAGAGGTCGAGCACCTGGAGTGCGAGGTCGAATTTCCCCTTCCCGACGTTCTCCGCGCACTCCATGAGCTCCACGTTCTTTGATTCCTCATTGGTGAGTCCGGTGAGGAGGTGAGGGACGTCGATTCCTAGCGCCGGCGGAGAAAGAACAGGAGAGAGGTCCGTTGGTTCTTAATTTTAATAATTTATATTTTTTAATATTTAGAAATGAGGTGTAAATTTTTTTAAAAATAAATTTTATTTATTTAATTATTTTTTAATTGCCACGTCACACATTTAACGGTCAACTTTTAGAGTTGACTGCCACATAAGCAAAAGTTAACGGAGTTAGACGGAGAGTGACCAAACGTAAACGGTTTCAGTAAACTGAAGTACCACCAATGGATTTAAATATTTCGAGTGACCAAACTTGAACGCTTTTTGTAATCTCAGTGACCAACCATGCAATTAACCCCCATTTTACCCTTCATTCCCTTCCTTTAAAAAACATATCATCTCCCGAGTTCTTATCAAATTATCGTACTCGTCCAACAATTTGTAGATCAGTGGTCAACTCAATAATATCATCGAATTTATTTCTTTCAATAGTCCTGAGTTCTTATCAAGTTGACAGATTGAGTTCACAATGCCTATAAATAGTTTAAATTCTACATATCCATAATATATTATTAGTGATTAGCATATCACTCACCAAATGATTTGAACCTTGCAGATACCTTATGTTTTCGTCAATTATTTTCCACTTCGACTCTCATTTACCATGTCCATATATACGCCATTATCTAGTGAAATCCTCTTGTTTACTTTCGACCGCATAAGTTAATTCGTGAATTTCTCTGCATGATTCACCCTCCAACTTATTATAATTCACGTTCGAAATCCTCCAAGTTCGCATTTTTGTGCTCTACCGCAAGAGTGAAACTCCACTGTCATATTTTTAGTAGATTTAGAAATACACAACAAATTTGCTTACTATAATTAGTTATGATCAAGGTTGTCACCTGTTTTAAACTGTTGACGCATTCAAGCAAGTGGGCTAAGGATTAATTGTGAAAACTCGAATTAGGTTAACTCTGTTTAGCCTTACTTTACGCGAACACATGAAAAATTGTATTGATTCCACATGTATTTTGCTTAGATCGTTTGAATATTAATTATAGTGTAGATCGCTAATTTCAAATAAAATATAAAGCATCAAATACCGAATATGTCTCTAGTGTCTAAGTAATATGGTCCAACCTAAAATGGCTTCGATTGAAAATATTTTAGAAAGTTCTGAAAGGGTCTAAAAAAAATTTAAATTTTAAAACCCCTGCAAATGTACATAACATTAGGGCATAAAAGAAAAGGAACATGTTCTTGCTGTTAAAATTTCCCGTATCCATGATTTCGCGGGCAAATGATTATAGATTCTTAGATCAGTAGAAGTGTTTAGAAAGCTATATAATTGCTCTACAAAGCTCTCATTCATTCTTACAGTAACTGAAATAGAGAAAGAACATCCTATCTATCACAAAGAAACCACCATAATACAATCATGTTGCGTCAGAGTGTCTCCATAAGTTCCTTCTTGATGATCCACCGCAGAAAAATCACAACCGCACTTGTGAAATTCCAACCCAATTCTTGGAGTTTTTGACACAAAACCTCTGTTACCAACTTCGGCCTATCCCTCTTCTTGTAAGATTTCTCATAAACCAGTTCCCTTGTGACATGAACCAACCACAGTTCTGGTTTTTGAGTTGTAGCAGGAACAACCTTCTCTAGTGCAACACACCCTTTCAGTTCAGCAAAAAAAATAACTCAAATCAGTTTAGCTAAAATATAACTCACATACAAACCAACAAAAAGGATGTAACTTGACTATGATTAAGTTCTATTTTTAGCAAATGACCTTATAAACCAACAAAATGGTGTGACTATTGATGGGAAAGGAAGGGACAAATACACAGAACATAGCAGTCTTGAGAAATTGGAGTCCTACAGTCGCTGATAGATGCCCTTGTTAATGACACAATTGTGCCCAGTTGAACCACCGCCGCTAAAGCGGAGGTTTGCAGTATGTTTTAGCAGCAGATAACTGAGCAGATTCATTGATTTGAGATAACAAAAGCGCAGAAATTAACCATAGCAGAAATCAGGTAATCACATAACGAACGACCGAAAAGAAACGCTGGAAAAATTAAAAGGGACAGCAGTTGCCGATGGCGAAACTTGTTGTTGGCATGGAGGGAATGTACAACGAACTCGGACAATATCAGCATCATTTTCTTCGCCGTCGTCTCATGTGTCCTCCTCCGCAACCTTCTACTTCTTTGTCGTTGTCTTCGCTGTCCAACAAAACAGATAGGAGGAGAGAAAGCAAATTCACAAATATGAGAAAACGGGGTTAGAGGAAGAGAAGAAGACCGGAGCCAGCAACCTCTGTTACCTCCTCAATTCGCCGCCTACCCACCCCATAAACGAACCCCAAACCTTCCAACCCTCCCCCTATTCCTCTGTCCAGAATGACCCTGCCGGAGAAGATCGGAACCGCTCCTGTCAACTTTGCCTTCGATTCAATGGGGAAGAGAAGGAAGAAGAAGCCAAAAAGCCCCTGCCCTATCATCCTCTTCCACAATGAAAAGGGGCCCATACCAATCGTCCCCAGGGAGAAAAAATCCTTTTGTTGAGTTCGCCGGTGGTTTCAGGGGAGAAAGGAACACGTTTATGGTTCCAAAAAGGAGAGAAAAAAGTTGCCCCCAAATGCGCAGCCAGCTCAGCTCCCGCAAATCACTCTAAGGGCAGAGATTTTTTAATGGGGAGGCAGTTTTGTGTTTGCACTATAAATGATACTGTAGATTAATTAATTGTTACAACAGAAGTTGAACTCCTCACCAATTATAAGTTTGTGCGAGTTAATGACATATACAACACACCACACAAACATAACAGTCGAAGAAAAATATAACTATATAAGGCATAATTTAAATTGATGAACAAAACACATATAACAGAATGGCTTCCAAGCTTGGGGATGCAAAGGAAGAGCAAGAAGGACAACAATGTAATGGCAAACACAAATATATGTTTATTTCACCGATTTTGAGCTGAGTGATCAAACTTGCAATTACTAAAACTCTTTAAAGCCTTCCCCTGTTCCCATTAGAGCGATCAGCCGAACTTGCAGACCTTATTTTTTGGCCACTCGTCTCTATCAAGACTCAAAAAAGTGTTCGCGTTTCCCCTTTTCCAAGCCGATTCTCTTGGCACCACAATGTCCGATCACCTTCCCCAAGATCTCGTCACCAAAATTCTCGTCCGCCTGCCGCCGCCGAACGTCTCTTTCTTTCCTCTTCTTTCTCTGCGGCCCGGAAAAACTCAACTCAAAATCGGCAGTCGGCTGCTCTCTGGAAGACAGTCTAAGCGAAGTGGAATTTAAAGTAAGCAGCTTTGTTACTTTCAAGAGAAAGGGAAAAATCAAAAATCCCCTTTTGATCTCTAGAGAATCCAATCAACAGAATGAAGCAAGGAAGGTAAGAGAGAATAAAGAAAACGGAATGAAGGGAAAGAGTGGAAGGAAGGGAAATCGGAAATAAAAAATACAAATTAATACAAATTAAATGAGAACGTGGGCGTGGAAGGAGAAAAAAGTGGGTAGTGGAGAGTTTTTTGGTTCTGAAATCAGGCAAAAAAAAAAAAGAGAATGTGGGCGTGGAAGGAGAAAAAAGTGGGTAGTGGAGAGTTTTTTTATTCTGAAATCAGGCGGGACTCCTTTTTTCCCCGCTTAACACTCTGCCACATCAGCTTCCTAAAATCACTCTATGGGCAGGAAATTTTGAATGGGGGGTGCAGTTTTACTTTTCAGCTATAAATTATACTGTTGATTAACCGTTGCAATGGTGTTACGATCGGCCCTAGACTCCATTGAAAACGAATGGGATTGACCAGCTGGTTCAAACCAAATTTCCCACAAAAACAAGACCAGAGAGAGTTAGGGTCAAAAGCAAGGTTGTCAAATCGGTTTATGCAAGTGTGTCGGTTTAGCAAGTTGAATGGTTCGACCGGTGGCACATACCGATTTGTGCCGGTTCATGCCGGTCAAGATTACAAATAAAATCATAAATACTCATATTTAAGCATGACATTTAACGTCAATACCTAAACATTTATACTTGAATCCAACAAATAACATCAATATTTAACTTTTATACTCATAAAATAAATAATAAAATAATTTTTACCAATTAAATTCACTAAAATTTGATCATTTTACTTAGAGATTCGTATATCGATCATGCCGGTCATACCGGTGCTGTCTGCACTGACGTTGTTCTCTCCTTCTTCATCGGAGGGATCACTGACTGGTGCTGGCAGAGCATCTTCCATCTGATCTAGCTCATGAAAGGCACCTTCATCAGCTCCATAATGGTAGTTGTGAAAACTACCACTGCCTGATTGGAAGTTGTACTGGGGTTGGTTGGCATGGTCCGGTTGAACTTCTTATTCATATGACGGGTAAGATTGATGATGACCTTCACCTTGCTCTTGGTACTGAAAATAGGAATGAGGATCATGGTAACTTTGGTAGAGATGATCTCCATATAATTCACCTCCACCATGGATACTAGATGTTTGACCGTCTCCAGAATGACCTCCAACGCCCACGACCGGCTCGGTGTAAACGAACATCTCGGCTTTTGAAAGATTGTTGGACCTCAAGAATTCGAGCATGGCATCTACCTCATCCTGAGTGGTTATGAGATATTCCTCGTGCCACAACGACCCGCCTTCTTTGTTTGGATATCGGTACACCATACGATCAACTCTTCTCGTGCCATCCATGCAAGTAACGTTAGTACACATTTGATAGAGGTCTTCAAGCATCGGTCTGATAGCGACCTTTATTTTTTGAAAATTGCCACCGACGTAGGTGAACCCCTTTCCGCTCTCTTCCGTGTAACCATTCCACTGTAACCCAAGCGTGAACTTTTGGAATGCCATCTGCAAAAAAAAAAAAAAAAAAACAGTAGTTCAACTAATATCATAAAAATCACAATTCACAATAAAAAGTAATACAAAATAAACTTACGAGTTAACGTTAACCGCAAAAACACTAGAGAAATAGGGAGCTACAACAGAAAATTGAAAATGGAGAAGGAGAGGTGTGAAGAGAAGAGATTTCCCGGGCTGCCTTTTATAGGCAAAATCATAAATGAAAACCGCACCTTAGAGGTGCGGTTTTCATCTGCCATGCAGCCCCACGCCTGTCAATCTGCATGGCTGCATCTCTGGTGTCGGAAAATAATTGACACACAAACCGCATGGGGGGGGGGGGGGGGGGAGAGTGCGGTTTGTGTTGCCAAAATCGCACTTTGAGGGTGCGATTTGTGTTGCCAAAGTGCGGTTTTGCTAGGTCAGGACTAGACCGCATCTGGGCCATGCGGTTTGGTTAGGTCAGACACACAAGCCGCATGGCCAAGATGCGGTTTTGGCCCAAAATGCTAAACCGCACCTTGGGGGTGCGGTTTACATGCAAAACACACCAGGGGTGCGGTTTTTAAAAAAGGGTGCTATTTTTGTAATTTCTACAGAATGGGTGCTATTTTTGTAATTTTTTTGAAAGGTGCTATTTCTGAAAAAATCCCGTATTTTATCCTCTCAACTCGACTCTCTCGTTCACTACTGCACGACCCTCAACCACCAAGAGTGTGATTTAATTATACATAGATCATTACATCACTATTAATAGTTGTCTCTCAACCTCCAGTTCGTCAAATTAACGATTACCAATGACAAGAACTTGAGATGTCTCCTCTTCTCTATTCTCCTAAATACTATCCTAATTCAAGACTCTTTGCTTTGTTTTTTCTCCCTAAATTAAAAATAAAATCCAATTTACATATTTAATGATTAATTGCAAAGGTATTTAATTTTGTATTCGATAATACCGATTGGGATACCGAGGTACCAATTGGGATACTAAAATATTTAGGAATTGAGATTGGGATACCAAAATTAATTAGGGACTGAGATTGTGATTGACTTTAAAGTGTAATTCGGTATTCAAAATTTCGGTATTTGGTATTAGAATATCGATACCGTATCGATTTCCACCCCTAATTGCAATGGTGTTACGATCGGCCCTAGACTCCATTGAAAACGAATGGGATTGACCAGCTGGTTCAAACCAAATTTCCAACAAAAACAAGACCAGAGAGAGTTAGGGTCAAAAGTGAAAACTTAAATTGCAATAATTGAGAAATGACGAAAGTGAGAAAACTTATTCAAAAAAAAAAAAAAAAAGACGAAAGTGAGAAATTAGCACGTTTTTGGAGGGACCCAAATCCCGCCACGTACGAGTTGTCCAACTGAAAAGAAATCCCGCGACCCCTAGTCCCTACTCCCTAGTCCCCACCCCGTCTTTCGTCCTCTTCCCTGAACCGCGGGAGCCCTTTCTTTCCGTCCTTGTTGCGAGAAATAACGGCGGAGTACCGGAGCGGCGGAGCCGACTGTGGAGTGGAGGCATAACGCACCGGAGCCGACTGCGGAGTTGAGGCATAACGCACCGGAGCCGACTGGCGACGGGAACCGCAACAATGGCAGATAAAAGGGTTAGTCCTCTAGGCAAACTTTCCTTCGATCTTTTCTTCGATTGCGCAATGAATCTGTTCTTGGAGTAAGGTTGAGAACTAGCTGGCTCTAGGCTTTTCCTCCTTACAGTATTTTCTTCGATTCTGTTCTTGGTTGATGCCCTTTTGGCAAGCATGGAATTTCTTCGATTATGCTATTCCTGTTACAGCCTCTCGACTCGAGTTTGCTTGATTGCTTCGAGGTTTGGGTTCCTGCTAGTCTCTCTTGGGAAGCTTTATTTGTGTCTTCTTGTAAAAGTTGCCGCATTGAGTCTGGGCTGGCCAATGCCTGCTGTGTCTTGATCGTGCATAGATTGTACATGACATTGGAAGTATTTGCATGCTTAATGAAAGAAGCATTTGAGTTGAATAGACTCTCTGATGTTCTTGCTAGATTTAGAAAATTATCTGATTTGGTGTCTAACCCTGCGAAATGTGACTTCTATTGTGGGGACTTGCTGCTTGAATGATATGAAAGTATTGTAGCTAAAGCTGGTTACATTCTGGGGAAATATCCTCTGAGGTATCTAGGAACTCCTCTCCTTTCATGTAAGTTGTCAGCCAAATCTTGTAGGCCTCTCATTAAGAATATCACATCCAAGATGCAAGGATGGAAGCCTAAATTTGTTGCCTATGTGAGCATATTGCAACCATGTTATGTATACAACTTAACCAAGTTTTTGATATCCTATGAAGAGCGTGGGCAGTGGCAAGTCCGCAAATCCCGCCTCTAACAATAACTAATATCGTGCAGATGAGTCTTCATTATTCCCTTAATCTCACCTAGCTATCCCTCCGTTCTCTTTAGGTTTCTGCCCATAGATTTATAAGGTTTATGTCACTTCTTTTGTACTAAACTGTTTGTTGGTCTTCCTGTTCCCCTTGCTTTGCTTGCTCATTCATTTTCATGTGATCTTTGTTTAAGCAATCGTGAAGTAATTCCTCTGCCCCTGCCAATGTCTGCTGACTCTTTTGATTACTAAAATTGACATTACTGACATAAAAAAAATATCTGTGAGGCGTTTGGTCCAACTTGTAGTTGATTCATTGCTCTTCTTGCTCCGTTTGTTTCAACTTGTAATTGTGTTTTCCAGAAATTTGATGGCGAGGAACCTGTAATTGAGAAAAAACAGAAACTTGATGCCGAGGAAGTTGATTTCGATAACATTGCTCATGAGGAGTGGTACATGAATGATGATCAATGGAGAGATAGTGTTGCACAACAATATACGGTAAATCAACCATATAATACTAATCTCTTGCTGGTCAAATATCTGAGTAGTACATTAATACTCATAAACAAGCATTTGTGCAGGCTTTGGGATTAAAAGATCGTGATATAATTGAGCTGAACGTCAAGTTGGATGAAGTAAATGACAGCTACAGAAAGCTCCAGGAGGAGCTGGATCAGTCGCGGAATGATGATAAGCTTGAAGAGCTCCAGGAGAAGATTTCCATAATGAATAAGGTGGATTTTGTCTCAAACTGACTATCACATTTATGTTTGAATGGAACTGTTTTAACATTTTAATAATATATGAAGGAGATGGAGCGTAACCAGAAGGCAGCTTTGGACAAGGAAGGCCATCTTCTCAGGGACCTATCTACGGTAAGATAGAGGCTTCACACAATCCCTGCAATTATTAAAAATGTATGCGCATCTGATTGAAATGCCTCTCCTCTGCCTTTTAGGCTACTGAACTTAGTCGCCTATACAAACGAAGATCAAACACCTATGCTAAGAGAGTTCGAGAAGCCAAGGCTACAATTAGAGCTCTCACGGTAGTCAAGTATGATAGTTGCTTTTTCTTTTGATTGTATGTGAACAATTTATCGAATGATTTCACTCTGAGCAGACTGAAGAGCCTACTCCTGAAGCCTCCTTATTCAACGAACTGCAGAAGCAAATTATGTCGAAAGATGAGGAGGTAAGCAGACCTCTCCATCCATCCCTCCCCCCTTCTCTCTATGGATACGTGTCTCTTTGTTTCTTACTTTGATTGTAACTGTGTCTATATTGTTTGCAGGTAAGCAGCAGGGCAAGCGCTGCTGCTTCTGCATGCAACATGCACAAGTCTGTGGTAGATAAGGTCGACCAGGATCTCCGGATCCAGTTCTCTCGGAGACTGGATCTGGAGAATCGAATAGCCTCCTGTTCACGCACTGACATTCAGGAAATAGATCGGCTAATTGAAGAATTTGTCGCTGTGATCGAGTCCTGCAGTCAGTTAAGCCAGAAACGCCTTAGGACGGAGCTCGTGAAAGAAAGGAGAATTCAAGAGCTCTTGGCTACTTTAAAGGGGGCGGATCAGTAGACACGATGAAGGTATTGTGTCTTCTTGCTGTTTTCTTGGGGCGGCTGAACACTTACTTTCATGTATAGCATAAGAAACTGGTTGCTTCTGTCGGTGCTCAAATTCAATGGTCTGGCAGCTTTGGATGCTTTGGTCTGGCATCTTACCTGAAGGCACACAAAAAATTTGTTCAATGGTATTATGTTTATTTATGTACATTTTTTCTGTGCAGAATAGTCCGAGCGGTTGGCTGCCGATGTTGAGTGGTTCCACCTGAAGCTGTCTTCCCTTAGATTGGTGGCCCAACTGTCCTTGAAGCTCTTCTGGAAGATAATCAGTTGGCAGCTAAAACTGGCGATCCATCATTTCGTGTGCTTTAACGATGTTTTTCTTTTGGGAGTTTTAGTTTTCTTCTTTCTTATCCATGCTGCTGTTTTGGAATTTTTTACTTGGTTCCTTGGTAATTGACAATCTGCTTCGAGTCTTCCCTCGTAAAGCTTTTGGCTCCTAGATACACGTGGGTGTTCAACTAAGTCTGATTTTGTGTCCATCAAACTCAATGGTAATAATTTTCCTCTGTGTGAGTTCCACTTCGGAATTTTGTGGAGGAAAGCTTCACTTGGGTATCTTGATTGGTATGACTTAGAAGCCAGCCAAGGCTGCATCAGAGATGCTCGACGATTGGACGGCATCGAATTTTCAACTAATAATGTCGATTGTTCCCTCGATCGATGTACAAATAGCTCTAAGTCGACAATGTGGCAGTATATTTGCAAGACTCACTCTCATAATAGTTTTGCACGACAATTGAGCTATAGAATCAGAGATCTCTCGCGTGGCTCAAGCGGACCATGATATCAGAAGCTATCACTAGGCTTGTATGTATCTATGGATAGAATATGACTTCTTTTTTTTTTTACAAGAGGACATTGTATTTCCATTACTTGATGCAGAAGTCAAGTGTTACAAAAGTGGTGAGACAACATCAAGAATCTGAACCCATTCAGAGGGTAGAGTATTCTTGGCACATGATCTAGCTACCCAGTTTGCTTTCGAATCGCTTACGACCAATGTGCGTGATCTTAATCAATGAGTCAGAGTCCATCGTTTGTCTGATAATGCCTATCCATGCTGCCGCTCGCCATGGCCACGATTTCGGATGATCATGAATTGCCTGAACAAGGGGCAGGCAGTCAGAGCGGACCAAGCAGTGAGAAAGGAGACCAACAGCTAAACGTGAGCCTTCCAAAAGAGCCTTGGCTTCAGCTTCAAATGGGGGAAAACAGTGCAAGATCTCAGCTTTACCGTCACACACTTGACCATGGTTGTTCGAAACAACGACGCCATAAGCCGCCTCCTGAGAATCGATAAAAAACGATCTATCACTGTGTATCTCAAAAACGATCCATGGCTGTTCGAATATGACTTGCTGGCAGCTTTTCTTGTACCGAGGAAGTGTCCGAAGTGGTCCTCTATCAATGCACTCAAACTCGTGTTATGCAATAGCTTCATAAACAAAAAGGAAGGAATATCTTATATAGTGGATGGATGGATACCGGATATATTGAGAAATCTTTTCTTTTTTACAGTTAGTTGCTTTTCTATTCCAAAGAGTTGATGCATTTGTTTTTTAGGATAAAATCTAATTTTACAATATTTCCATTAGAGACAAATATATTTGTTATATTCAGAACCACATACCTATTTTCCATTAGAAAAAAATCGCATATCTTTTTATGTGCCACGAAAAGTTAATTAGCTATATTCAAAAGTAATGGCGACATTCATTTTCGTCTCCTAAAGCAATGAATTGCCAACAAATAAGTATTTGCCTCTGTTAGCCTATAAGCGAAAACTTAAAGGAGACCGTTGCCGAAACTTTGCCTCCAAAAGTAATAGGTTATTTTACGTAATTTCATATATAAGACACCATAATATTATTGCAGGCAAATAATAATACTTATAGAGGCAGATTGAATATATGTTGTGTATAAGTACTTTTGGCAACATATACAATATTTGCCTCTATAATTTAGTCACTAAAAAGTTATTTTCTTGTAGTGAGTTAGGCCAAGTTGTAATTCACCTAAGTCAAGTTGATTGATGTTTAAACTACGCAAAGTTTTCTAACAGTCTGGAGTCTCGACTAAAGCGCTCCGGACCCTCTCAGTTTGAATACCCGGCATGCAACTAACCTCCATCGGCGTAAACTAGCTGAGGCAATAAGATTCAAACTCCCTCTATTGGGTTCTAAACCAGTACAGAGCAGTGAATCGGCTTTTCGACTAAAGTCGCCGATTCACTACCTCCAATTCAAGATGCTCTATTGACTTATGCAGAGTTTATCTTTCAAGGTCAAACCAGGAATCACTAGAATTTGATCAAGACTCAAGCAATTCTGAATAAGTACTTCAACTAGATATAAATCAATCAATCATTCATGGCAAAGGGTTCATACAACTCTTCCTAACATACAATCTATGGTTCTTACATACCCAAGTGATAGAGGGGATTACTCCATATATATATATATATATATATATATATATATATATATATATATAGAGAGAGAGAGAGAGAGAGAGAGAGAGAGAGGGGGGGAAGCCATGCCGGATGTAGAAATCATCGTGTAGACAGAAGAAATCTATCTATGGATAGAATATGACTTGTTGGCAGCTTCTCTTGTACCCGAGGAAGTGTCCGAAGTGGTCCTCTATCAAAGCACTCAAACTCGTGTTATGCAATAGCTTCTGTGAAATCAAAGGATAGGGCTTTAAAGACTTTCGAATCGGGGAAAAGATACTGAAAATTTTATTAAGGATTCGGAATGAAGTACGTCATCATTCTGCAGAATCAATCTGCTTTTAACAAGAAAGAAAAGAAGAAAATGAGGAAACTAAAAAGGACTCTAGAACCCTCACAATACTTGGTTACCCAGATATCGATCACTATAACCCACCCGGCTATCCAGATCCAAATCACTATAACCCAAGCCATTGTAGGAAACTAGAAGAACCCAACACTCTTAGATTACCCAGCTATAGCTCCTGAATCTACAGAGTAAACAAGCAAACATGGACACATCAGCAACCCAAATGTTAAGAGAGGGATTAGAAGCTCTTAAATAGCTTCCAGGATATGACCATTGTGAGAGGTGCCAGCAAAAATACGAGTGAGAGGGACAAGGGATTTTGCTGTTGGTGCTTTTGCTTTGAGCTGCGGATAAAAAGCTTTTGTGGCAGCTGCTTCTTTATCTAACTTTTGATAAGCACAAGGGCGAAGGTATCCCAAGGTCTTTGAGAAATACGAGTGCAGAGACATTTTAATGAGATCACATACAAATTTTCAATGTACTAACTTTTGAGCATGCTACCTTTGAACATATAAGCATTTTGACAATGTAGTTAGTTCAAAACGTTATAATAAATACTACCTATGTATGCATACAAGCTTTATCAATTTTCAAACATAGGCTCATTATAATCAGATGGCTCTGGCATGTTTCTTCAGACTTCCCTAGAGCATTAATCATGTAGCAATTTCATTCAAAATCAAAGGAAAAGCATTCAGATTGCCACATCAATTAATATACTCTTATCAATGTGGTTCAGCCAGTTAAAGTAACCATGAAAATCCAAGGTCATAAGTAACCATGAACTAACCGTAAAAAGACAGCAGTGTCCACGCACTAAACGCAAGCTGTCATATAAAGATGATGAGTGATTAAACCCAGAACAAGTATTAGGAGTTTGCAAGATTCCCCTGAGATTATGCCCTCCCCCTTTTAGAAAGAAAACTTTTCTTAAACACTGTGCTGGGCAATAAGCACATATATCTTATTTACAAGGAGTTCCAACTTCCACCTTGTCAAGTCAATGATGCAGTAGCTGAAGAATCTCAGCATATTAAAGTGTTATATGATATGAGAAATCCATTTTCACAAGGAACATGCTCTGAACACAGGCCATACCATATGATTTTCTATGAATTCAGATCAAGCAATATGCTATCAACCATATTTTCACATTTTCTTAAATCAGAGTTACTTTATAACATGCTTCATCAAATTGAGAGCTACCATTAGTTGCAACCAGTCATGTGCTGGGTCCATTCAAAGTACAGAACATTATTCACATAGTTCTTTTTTCCACATACCACAGAACACTATTAAGTTCATCCTTTGATGATAATCACATGCATACAAACAGAGCAAAAGACATTTAGGTTGTGCCATCTCAACACCCATCTAAGTAATCTGGAAGATGTAAATTACTCACCATAAACTGTATTTCATCAATTTATATAGCAATGATTCCCGTGTAATTGTAAATAGCCATACCTTTCTTGAAGACATATTTTAATAGATATGATTTTCCACTCATCAGATGAAAAACACAGTCATAAAATGTTCTAGGATTAGAGTAAGGCTTGTATCAGATGAAAGGATAGCTTACTAATCAAGAGTGAAATGCAGTAATGTTCACTCAATTGTCAGGTTATACCAGAGAAGAAATGCAGTAAAGTTTAACAATATAAGCTAACTCAAAGATAGTTGGGTGAGAACATTCATATACAAACCATAACTCAAGCTATGCTCTCACCTCACTAATTTCTGCAAAATCAACAATATTGTGATTTGGGTATCCAAACTAGTTTGAATACCTTGTTATGAGAATACTTACATGGTTTATCAAACCACTTATTTTCATGCCCAAACCTGCAGTATTTGCTCATATGTCCTGATTTGTGACACCAAGAACATCTCAAGTTATATTTCTTTAAAACAGAAACACTCTTGTTGTTTAGGAAGCAATATCGACTAGTATGACCTCGTTTATTGCACGCATGACATATAACGTTTCTAATCGACATAAAGCCAGAAAGTCCAGAAATTTTGGCTTGATTTCCATTATCCGACTCTAGTAACAAGCATTTATTTTCTGCAGCGGATAGTTTACTTCTCAGTGAAACATTTTCAGCTTCTAAGCAAGCTATCATAGTCGTTAGAGCTTCTAATTCAGACGCAAGATCAGAACCTTTGTCAATATCATTTTCTTTCCTTAATTTTTCCAATTCAACCATTAGAGCTGAGTTTTCGCCAACAAAAGATTTTGCTTTGTCATCAAAGATCATTTTTTCATGTTTCAGTTCCTCTAACTCTCTTTTCAGTTCAAAGACCTTATCTTCAAACTCCTCTTTTAGGTTCTTAAACCTAGCACCAAGTTTTAAATACAAAGTTTGAACTCTAAGGATGTCATCAACAAGTTCTGATTTTGTAACTTCAGAGTAGCTAGATGAGCTATCATCAAATTCATAATAATCATCTTTTGAATTAGAAAAGTTAGAACCACATACCTTGGAGTTTGGTTCTCCTCTAGCCATGAGAGCAAAATGATCTTCTTTCTCGCTTAGATTTTCAGTGACAAGTATAAAACATCTTCGAGTTGCAGCTTTAGTTCTTTCTGAAATCTTACCTTTATACGGACAGCTAGATCACACATGGCCTAGTTCTCCACAATTGTAGCACCCGAAATCAACTTGGCTGCCTTTTCTTTTCATAACTTTATTTGTCTTCACACCTGAGTACTCTTTGCTAGAAGATAATTCTTGAGTTCCCTGTAAACTTTTCCATATTTCTTTCGCAGTCTTGCAGCAAGATGCACGATTATAATCTTCCATTTCTAGAACACTCAGCAAAATATACATAGCTTTGGCATTTAGCTGTAAATTTTCTGTATTATTCTCAGCCCATTTCATGTTATCATCCTTTAATTTAAGCAACCCATTCTCAATGATAAACCAAAGTTTAGGATCAACCAAAAGCAGAAATAGTTTCATCAAATGCTTCCAACGAGAATACTCTTTACCAACAAACCTGGGTGGTCTGAGAAACGCCAGCTCTTTGTCGCAAAGGTGAAGAGATTGAGCACTGCCGGTTGAACCGCTTCCCATGATCGATTTCGCCGGAGATCGTTAGACCTTGTTCTACGACGACCGGTGATAACGATGTATTTGCACATGTTTGCACCCTTAGTTATTATCCGTTTGCGTCTCGTAGTCATGTATTTTGGCCCATTTTACGCTGGGTTGTGCTACTTTGTCATATTTCAGGTCCCAGACGTCGAAGGAAAGGCTAAGCACGAGATTCGGGGCATTTGGAGGTCATTCGGTCGAGCTGGAGCCAAAGCACGGGCAGGAGGCATGAAGAGCACGGCCGTGTACACGAAAAGAGCACGCCATTATTTTTTATGCCGAGAGTCGAACTGATGAGGAAGAAAAACATGGGTTGGACTAAATACAAACACGGTCGTGTTCCTGGGCCGTGTTATTTATGTCGAGCCCACCTCTGCATTTTTTCAAAATCACGATTTCAAACCACCAAAACTCATCCGTGCCCCGGCTCGAAAAAAATACCCAGTCACATATTAAAACAAACCGCTCGAGGCACGAAATACTTTCCAGACAGACTCAAAGACTCAAAAACCGACAAAAGTAAAAAGGAAAAAAGGACAGAGATGCAAACCGTGTTGGGGTTGCCTCCCCACAAGTGCTTCTTTACCGTCTTTTCGCTGGATGCTAGTAGAGGAACTAAGGGTCCTCGAGCTTGATCAGCAGCTCTGCACGCTCGACAGCACCTCCCAAATACAATTTTAGGAGGTGGCCATTTACCTTGAATGGCTCAGTTTGAGCATTGATGATCTCCACCGCCCCATGCGGGAATACGTGGGTGACCATGAAGGGTCCCGACCACCTCGAACGTAGCTTGCCTGGGAAGAGTTTCAGGCGTGCATTAAAGAGCCAACATGATCACCTACCTGAAACTCCTTCGGCCCCTCAAACGAGCGTCGTGGAGACGCTTGGTTCGCTCTTTGTAGAGAAGGGTGTTCTCGTAGGCGTGGTAACGCCATTCCTCCAACTCCAGCAGCTGCAACTTACGTTCAGTACCTGCAACACTCAAATCCAGGTTTAGCAGCTTAAGGGACCAGAAGACCTTGTGCTCTAGCTCTACTGGCAAATGACACGCCTTCCCATAGACAAGCCTATCGGGGGACGTGCCAATCGGGTTTTTATAGGCCGTCCTATATGCCCAGAGAGAATCATCGAGCTTGGTGGACCAATCCTTGCGAGACTGATCCACCGTCTTTTCAATTATTCTTTTAAGATCCCGGTTCGTCAGCTCGGCTTGCCCATTTGACTGGGGATGGTAAGCCACCGACACCTGATGCTTAACACCATAATGAGAGAGGAGTTTAGTGAATTGCCCTTGAAAATGGGTTCCTCTATCATTAATGATGGCGCGAGGTGTCCCAAACCGGGAGAACAGCTGCTTAAAAAATGAGCAGACCCGTCTTGCATCATTGGTGGACATGGCTTGAGCATCTGCCCACCTCGAGACGTAGTCCACTGCAACCAGTATGTACAGATTGCCAAAAGATGGAGGGAATGGACCCATGAAATCGATACCCCAAACATAAAAAATTTCACAAATGACAGAAATATGTTGGGGCATCTCATCCCGGGAAGAAATGTTACCTGACCTTTGGCAGCGGTCGCACTGTCGTGCGAAGGTGTCTGCATCCTTGAAGAGCGAGGGCCAATAGAAGCCCGACTGTAGCATCTTCCGCGTCGTGCGGTTCCCTCCATGGTGACCTCCAGTAGGTCCCTCGTGGCATTGAGACAGGATGTCTCCCATCTCGTGCTCCATGACACAGCGCCGGATCACGCCATCTGCTCCGATCCTGAAGAGGTAAGGATCCTCCCAAAAGTAATGCTTCAGGTCGGAGAAGAACTTGCGCTTTGCATGAGTGGCCATCCCCTTTGGTAACTGCTTTCCCACTAGATAATTGGCAAAGTCAGAATACCAAGGGGCCACGCTGTCCACCAATGTCATCGCCAGCAATCGCTCACCCGGGAAGGAGTCATCGATCTCTTCCACGAAGTTGTCCACCGGAGGGGCTTCCAACCGTGAAAGGTGATCTGTAGGGACTTACCCGCAGCTCACGACGCACTACGATCTGTTGCAGACTGAATGGGTGGATCTCCACCAGCGGGGCTCGTGCGAGGCTGTCCTTAGCGAACTATACGTTGATGGTTAGTGCTTTTCTTCTTGAGTATTCTCTTGTTGTATTAATCGGAGTCTTACAACTTTTCTTTGTAGGAGTGGATTATAACTCCATCGCGTTGATGAACACCGTGGCGGATCTTCCAGCGCCGCCAAGGGGCGGCGAGAAGAAGAGGAATGCAGCTGCTAATCCCAAGGCCGCTAAGGCGGCAAGAGTAGAACCACTAACGGAGGTGGTGGCCAAAAAACCGCCGAGGGCAGAGAAATGGCAGGCGATAGTCTCGTCAGCCCGAAAGAGCGGATTGAGAGGGCATCTGGCAGCTTTTCTGGGATTTTGCCTACCCAGCAAACTCTGCCTGAGATGGGCGTTTTCCAAGATCTGGCCGTTCAATATCGGGACATTAAACTGCCCGTCGCAGCTGCGCAGACTCTTTTAGTCGCTCAACTTGCCTTGAAGGTGGTTGGCGTCGCCCTGACCCTTTTCGGCCGTATGGAGGGCAATGATCCATATGTTGACTTAGCACATTCTCAGTTCCAGGCGTGTTCGGCTTCCTATGTCTTCCCTTTCTTTTCTTTCTCTCTCTTTTTCTTGTATGGCTAAGCGGTCGGATTTCATGCGTCACAATAGGCGCTGGTGGCCAATTTCCGAGCACAGAAGGAACGGGCGGAGATCATGGCGCGTTTGGGTTCGGAACAAGCCAAGGTGATTCACCTGCAAAGTCAGGCGGCGAGAATGGAGCGGCGGGTTTCTTCTGTCCAGAAGAATTGCGACGACGCTGTTGCCCATGTGGCAGAATTGACTCGCCAGCTGACTGAAGATCTCAATGCCGAGAGGGAGAATATGAGATCAGAAGAGCGGGTGCAGATTCGGGCTGAGTTGAGCCTGGAGTTTGAGGAGGAGAAGAATCTATAGGAGAACGAGTTGGACCGTGTTCGCTCGGAAGCTGCTGAAGACAAGGAGGAGCTCAACAAGAAATTGGAGGAGTTTGAGCAAAAGGCGACGGCGAAAAAGGTCGCCATTGCCACAAAGACTATCCATACATACAAGCAGCCATCCGTCGTTGGGAAGCATCTGTCTGATTGTATGTACCGGACGATCGTGGCGGTGCGCAAGAAGGTTCGCCCAGACAACCCCGGGAGTCTGTGGAATACGCGCGACATGGTGCTCATGTGCAACGATTCTTCAAAGACAATCGATCGTTGTCTGATGATTTGGAAAGCGAGACCGAGGAAGAAGACGTGGAGGGGTCTAGGGGTGATGTAGCCGTAAATGCCTAATTTATGTTGTTACTTTCTCATTTTCCATTGTGGTGTGATATTGAACTGGCGTTTTGCCATTGCGACGTTCTGGGGTGTATGCCCCCATTTTGCTTTAATGAATATGTTTTTGAATTGCTTTGCGCGTTGACTTTTGTGTTGGTATTGAGAGAGTTACTCTGTATAGTGAGGCGGATTCGCACTCGTATGCATTGCGCTGGGCAATCTATGATTTTTAAGTTTGTGTGAGAGGATTGCTCTCGTTGTAGTGAGGCGGTTTCGCACTCGTACGCATCGCGCTGAGAGAAAAAACATTCTTGTAATAGAGAGGCGGATTCGCACTCGTATATTAATAGATACATGATCATGTCATGCGCATTACATCAGTTGGGCGGGTCGATATAGGCATAGATTATGAGCATTCCATGTTCTTGGAATTTTTGTTCCGCTCAACTCTGCCAGCTTGAATGTATTTGGGCCTACGACCTCCCTAATCTTGTACGGTCTTTCCACCGATGCGAAAAGTTTTTCGTATCTTTTGTCTGGAGGAAATTCCGTCGCAGTACTTGGTATTCGTGCTTGAGGTTGCGAGGGAGGAGTTTCGCGTTGTGGTACCTAGCAACTTGTGCTTTCCCCGCCGCAAGTCGAATGACTGCTAACTCTCGGCGTTCGATGGCGAGATCGAGCTCCAACATGCGCATTTCTTCATTGTCAGCCTCACTGTATAGCTCAACTCGGGCGGTGGGAATGTTTGTTTCGAAGGGATGACTGCCTCCGTGCCATAAATGAGTGCGAATGGTGTTTCCCCTATGGCAATTTTGTACGTTGTGCGGTGAGACCACTAGACGATTTGAAGTTCGTTCGGCCAATTGCCTTTGGCTTCGTCTAGGCGGGTGTACAAGCCGTGAATTATAGCCTTGTTGGCCGCTTCGGCTTGGCCGTTTGCCTGAGGATATGCGACCAATGCAAATCTGGCAATGATGCCGATATGGTCGCACAAGTCTATCACTTCCGCGCAGTCAAATTGTGTGCCATGGTCGAAAATTAATGATTGCGGCGTACCGAACCTGGATAGAATGTTCTGAGTGAGGAATCAAGTTACTTGGTGACCATTGATCGACGCCAAAGGCTCTGCTCCGCTTCCACCCACTTTGTGAAATAGTCTACCGCTACTATCAGGTACTCTCGTTTTCCTTTGGCTATCGGGAAGGGTCCAAGCAAGTCTACTCCCCATTGCGCGAACGACCATGGACTGATGTTTGATTGTAGGTCCGCGGATGGCAGGTGATGCAAGCGGGCATGTATTTGGCATTTATGGCATTGGTCGACGTACGCTTTGGTGTCTTTTTTTATACGAGGCCAGTAGTAACCGTCCAGTAGGATTGATCTTTTTAGGCTCCGTGCGCCATGGTGAATAGCGCATGCACTTCGCGTACTACATGTGTTCCCTCCCGACCCCCAAACATCTCAGGTATTCTCCTGCGTGTGATCGTCTGTATAGCTTCTGGCTGATGATCGTACATCAGACCGCCTTTTGTCAAAGTGCCCAAGCCTCCTTTGGGTCGGCGGGGACTTGGCCCGTTTACTGCCGCGCACTCAGCATCATATAGGAAAGCCTCCTTGTGCACCGACACCATTCGAGCTTCCTCAAAATCTGTGGCCATGGCGAGCTTGGATAGGGCATCGGCGTGAATATTTTCTCCCGGGGGACATGCACATATACAATGGAATGAATTTTTTCAGCCTCACCGTGTATCTTTGGTATGTATTGTGCAAGTCCTTCCTCCTTTGCATCAAAGACGCCGTTTAATTGATTGACCACCAGGGCGGAATCTGATAAGACCCTAACCACCCTTGCGCCCAATTCGTTGGCGGCTCGCAAGCTTGCCAGTACTGCCTTGTATTCTGCCACGTTGTTTGTTTTCAGTGTTCGGAAGCGTCTAGACATTTCATGGATGACGCCTAATGGGGTGCAGATTACCACCCCTGCTCCCGCTCCGTGTTTGTTGGCAGCCCCGTCGACGTGAATTTCCCGTGTTCCATCTGGCGCAGTATCAAGAACCACCCCTTCGACTATGAAATATGCCAATACTTGTCCCTTGATGGCTGGCCGCGGCGCATATTTGATATCATATTCAGAGAGCTTGACCGCCCACTTCACCATCCGCCCTGCGACTTCCATTGAGCTTAGGATCTTTTTGAGAGGCAAGTTCGTTAGCACTGTTATTGAATGTGTTTGGAAGTACGGTCGCAGCTTTTGGGACGCGGATACCAACGCAAGAGCCACCTATTTGGATAAATTGGTTTGGTTAATTTAGATAATTGGTTTGGTTTGGTTAAAGTTTTTAGCCTGTTTGGTTTAGGTTGTTTGGTTTGGTTTCAGGCACTCCTAACCAGCCAAAGCAAATTAACCAGATAAATAATTAGCCACATATCTAATATATACACATACTTAATACTTTGAATAACCACTCAAGAGTTAAACGTTCATCCTCTTAGACTCATAAAATATAAAGCTTGATATTGTTCCTATAATGTATATTTGTATATGTAGAGTGTACACCACAACATATGAACGCCTAATTTAGATAAATCTCATACATTATGTTGGATGAAAACTTGAAAGCAAGGTCCTTTACAGCCTATCAAAATTGCTAAAAGACTAAGTCAATTCAAACAAACACAACAATTTATCAACCCATACCATTGTGATAAATTTTTGTTAGGTGAATACTTCTATACTAACCGTAAGAAAATTGTCTTAGTTGCATGTATTTATGTTAAGGGTCAACTATAACTATGTGTTGATTGTTATGTTTTATTCATTATATTTTTTATGAGAATGTTTTATACATTATATAAATTGTGAATTGATAATTTAACCGAAAATTTTCTCACTTAATGATAATATGATTTTATATTGGTTAATCTGGTTAACCAATTAACCAAACCGATTAAACTTTTGTTTGGTTAATTTGGTTTTTATATTAGTTTGGACGGTTTGGTTATGATATTGTATTTCATGGTTAATGAAATTTAGTCTTATTTGGTTTGGTAATAACCATGTTAACCATTTGAACACCCCTAGATAGGTGAGTATCGCGTTTCCGGCCCCGTCAATGTGCGTGAAGTATAATATACTCTCTTTCGCCCGTGTCTTTTGCTCTCGAAACTAGCACTGCGCTCACCGCCCTGACTGACATTGCGATGTAAAGGTAAAGCATTTCATTCGCCACTGGGGCAACCAAAACTGGCGGGGGTACAAGATACATTTTGAGTTCTTCGAAAGCCTTTTCACATGCGGCGTCCCATTTAAACTTGGTTCCCACCTTAAGAGTCTGGACAAAGGGAGCACACAGATCGACTGAGCGAGGGATGAACCTTTCGAGGGCAGCGAGCTTCCCCGCCAGTGACTGGACTTCTTGTGCACTTCGGGGGGCCTTCAGCTGGCGGATAGCTTCAATTTGCTTAGGATCCACTTCAATCCCGAGGGTGATGGTCCCTAAGATCGGCATTCGCAATCCTGAAAAGCTCACCAGGTTTCCCTCCGCCTGACGGATCATCCGCAGATCAACATCCATCAGATCCAGTATCTGTTTGAATAGGATGTCGACCGCGCTACCTCCATCAATAAGCAATCGGTGTACCTTACACGCGGCGATTAGGGCGGTGATCAACAGCGGGTCTTCGAATGGTCCTCCCTCTGGATATTCATCATCGCCAAAGCACAATGGTAATAATGATCTTGATGTTGTCGCTGCGCATTCAATTCCTCTTTCTTTTTTCGTTCTCTTGGGCGGACGTGTTCCTTCTGCCGTCACTACTCCAATTTCATTCTGAATTACCACGTCACCGCTTTCCAAGTTATATACCGCTGGAGGTGTTGGTTGCGTTTTCTGTGGCAGCGCGGGGTTGTCCGTCCGCACATTAACTGAAATATGTTCCTTCGCGATAAGAACCTCAATCTCAAATTTGAGGTTGTGGCAATTTTTCGTGAGGTGGTCGGTTTAGCTGTGGAATTCGCAGTACATGCGATGATCGCTGGTTCTCGGGCTTCCACTGTGGGTCTGGCTAGTTTACGTGATATCCCTTTTCTCTGATCGTGTGGGAGATGTTTCTCACCGTGTCATTCAGCGGTGTGAAGTTCCTTTCGTTTCTGTTCGGCGGACGGAACCAGCCCCTAGAGTTTCTTCTAAGGTGATCGCCTTTTCCACCTTGGCTTCTAACCCAGGAGAAGATATTACTGGGCGTTTGGATAACGAACGCCTTAGCTCTGGGTTGCTTGTTGAATTCGTGAGATGGCATGCAACATTTTCAGGCGTTAGGTCGCGGATTGCCATGGCGACGCGTGACCACCTTGAGTAGAATGCCCTCAGGCTCTCGTTCTCCTTTTGGCGCACATCAACGAGCACCATCGTGTGTAGTGGTCTTCGTTTTTGGGAGGCAAATTTGGTAGTGAACAGGCGGATGAACTCCTCAAACGTTTGGATGTTCACATTCGGCAGGCGGTTGTACCAATCGAGGCAAATCCCCGCGAAGGTGGATGGAAAGGTGCGACATAGAATCACGTTGAAACACGTTTGGAGTTGCATCCGCTGGCAGAAAGGCGCTGACGTGATCCTCCGGATCGGTTGTCCTGTTGTAGGTTGGTAGCGTTGGGGGGTTCCATGCCATCTGCTCCGCCATGATCGTAGCGCAGAGGGGCTGGTGGAGGATGGTTTTGTGCGGAGCTCTGTAGGCGGGTGAGAGATGCTGCTCCAGGTATTCCAGGCCTTGCCGCCCCTCCCCAATATCGGGGGTGACCTAGGGTGTTGGTCACCGTGCTGATGTGGTTGGGCGGAGGGAAGAAGGATTCGTCTCCAGAAGTAGGGCGTTTGCCTGGGCGCTCAGGAGCGCAATTACCTGGCCCATCTTCCCTTGCATGTCGGCAATATATTTTAATTACAATCTCATAGATTTTTTCGTACTCATATATTTTGTATGCATAAATATTAGGTAATAACATGCCCATTTACGGTATTATTTAAGTATGTCACTCTAGTAATTTTACATTAGACATACCCATGATCAACTTTTGAAAATTTATAAAACATAGCCTTCAGTTAAAAATTACATCCAAAAATCATAAAACAAGGTCATATCATGTTGTTGTAGACTTGACTTCGACAAAATAGAGGGGAAATGTTGGTTTTACCCCTATAATTATTTCTCTATATTTGGTTAAACCGTGATTATTAAAGGAATAAGAAGTCTTAAAGTGAAATCATTGGGAGCATTTTAGATATTTGTGTCACTCAAATTATGGCCTGACTGTGATTGACGATTTTGGATGAAAATTTCAATAAAATTCATGTTTGATAATTATTATAAAGTATAGAGGTGCGACTGCACTCAATGTTATCTTTGGGGGTGCTCTCTCTAGAGATGTTTAGTTCTTATAAACTTTAATTCTTATTTAAAATAATACTATATCACCATTATAAAATATATATAATATACCTACAACCCATTTAATATACTACAAAATCAATTTGTTATTATTATTATTATGCATATAATTAATAAAACTTTGCAGGCTGGCACTATCTATATATGGAGTTGAAAAGGAGATTCGTGGCGGGAGACAACGCGGGAGGTAACATTGCTCACCACGTTACAAAGAGAGCGGGAGCACACAAGTTCTCCACCTTGGAGCTGATCGGGCACATATCGATCCAGCCCTTATTCGGCGGAGAAGAGCGGATGGCGTCAGAGTTAGAGCTAGCCGACGCGCCCTCAGGGACGGAGCCGGGATTTGAAATAAGGGGAGGCCGAGAAATTTTTTCCCCTTTGAATACTGACGAAATTTTCCCCCCATAACATAATGAAGAAACAAAATTAAGTTGATGAATTTTTTTCACAGATTTACACAAATAATCGACGATTTAACTAAAAAAAATAGGTAATTAATAATTCATAAATAAGGTTCCACCTTTTATTGCAATCAAAATACAATTACGGTCACAACTCACAAGAACATGCAACGAAATTAAAAATTGAAATCAGTTTAGCACAACATTCTATAAATTCATGAAGAAAATATTTCATTAGATTCTTATAAAACACTAAAAAGCACTTACTTATTTAAATATTTTTTCTAATAAAGACGGTTTAACTTCGAAAAATTAAGAACAATTACATAATTTATGAGTTAGATCAAACATTTTCTTGCATTACATTCAAATGTAATTAAGGTTACCATAATGATGAGAGAGTTTTCTTGCTATATTTCTTACATAGTCTATGAATTAGATCAAACATTTTCTTGCATCACCTTCAAATGTAATTAAGGTTACCATAATGATAAGAGAGTTTTCTTGCTATATTTCTTACATAATTTATGAATGAGATCAAACATTTTCTTGCATCACCTTCAAAAGTAATTAAGGTTACCATAATGATGAGAGATCACCATAATGAGATGAGGAAGTGAACTTGAAATAAAAAAAGAAGTAAAACCTACCATCTCACTGATTCGAACCCTGTCAAATGGATTATGTGAAGCTAGAAACCAACTTCCCAACCAGTTGAGCTAGCTACCAATCAACGGAACGCCCCGAATAATCAACCCGTTTGCCGAGCATAGTCTCGCGAAACCTTCCCTCTTTGCCTTCAATTACATCTGAAAACGATTTGTAAACCTTATTATGACCGTCCCTCATTGGTTGTCCGCGAATTCCATTATCAAGAAGTGTATCCACAACTTCTTGTACCAATTTCTCCTGACACATTACTAATTCCCCTGGCGTGAGATTTGTTTCAGTGATTTATACCCCCTTCTGTTGAAAATTATTTTTATATTGTCTTGATTAGTTTGTTCATTTAATTACAATCTTAGAGGTCAGAATCTGAATAAGAATTCTAAGGGTCGTCGTAGTAAATAGGAGAGAAAATCGAATTTGTTTCTTCCTCTTTTCAAAAAAAAAAAGAAGAAATTCACTGTGACACGTTCGTGGAACATACTGGGTATTATATGTTATTTGATATCTTGGGGGGGGGGGGGGGGGGGGGGGGGCTGGCTGGCCCCCCTTCCAGCAAGCTGGCTCCGTCCTGCGCGCCCTTCTCCACGTGGAAGCGCACGGACCTAACGTGGAAGCTATTTACGCCAGTCAAGGTTGTCAAACCGGCACGACACGGCACGGTTAGAGCACGACACGAGCACAGGCACGAAATAAATGGGTCAGCCCGGCTCGAGCACGAATAATTTATGGGTCGTGTGGGGCCTAAACTTCATGGGTAGGGCACGAGCACGACACTGTATATAAGTGGGCCGTGTCGGGCCTAATATTTTCGAGACTTTATTGAGTATAAGAACGGACATCGCACGAAAATAATATTTATTTAATAGAAAATAAAGATAAAAACAATTATAGGTTCAAATATTACAAAACACAAGTAGAAAAATAATTATTTGTTGTTGTTAGAAGTGTCATAATGATATATACGTAATTACTAACATAAGTAAAAATGGACATAGAATTAAACAAAAACAAATCACACTCGCTATACTTCCAAAATTTTCTTTTCCCCCTTACTTTCTACTTTTCTCAAACATTATCGGTTAATACTATCTTCCTCCGTCCAATTTTCACCTTATTTTTCATTCTCTCTTTTGTTTTCGTCCTTTTCATTAAACACGAATACGAGCATGGCATGAGCACGAATAGGCACGGCACGATTCGAACCGTGCCCGGCCTGGGCCTGCCTAGCAAAGTTAACAAATGGGCTTGCATAGTACGGCACAAAATAAATGGGTCCGAAGCGTGCCCGTGCCGTGCCGGCCCAAGCATGGCTGAACGCCCATGTACAGTTTATACCAGTATGTGCCGTTTTTTTAACAAAATTACACAAAAATTAATTCATACATGATAATCAAAGATCAAAACAACAGGGCACCAGAAGAAATGCAAATAAAAGTAAAATTAGAAAGTGTATTAACTCAGAACTAACAAGACATTCAATTATTGAATTTCTTCATCTTTGGCCCAATCGTACAGTGGAGAAGAGCTGGGCAAAGATTGTTAGGAACGGAACAACAACAAGAACGAGGTTACCGAATTTGAAGCTGAGTCGTGGACTAGGTCACTCTCTTTAAGACGTTCGCGACACTGTCCTCGATGCGCACGGCAGACTATCAACCGGTCGTCTCCAGGATAAAACAACTCCTCTTTGTACTCGCGGTTTTGTGCGAAAACCGAAACTCTCTGAACACTCTCTCTATTGTGTTTATGCTCGTTGTGGTGTCTTTGGAGGGGCTGGGGAGGCGGCTCTTTATAGGAGCCGAACCCCTAGGAATTTACCCTCTAGCTTGGGAAATAAGTCGGATTAATTAAGGAAGATAATTACTTCTTAATTAAAACAATCGGTTAAGATAAATCCTGCGGGATTATCCTTCGAATATTCCTTTTTAATCGATTATCCTTAGAATATTCCTCAGAATAACCGATTAATAATTAATTATTAGGTAATTAATTTCGTTCGGAATTTCTCCAAAAAAATATATATAGTCCGTTAGGTCCTCCCTCTCCCACAAAAGTGGGTCACCGCAAGGGGCAATGCCCTTAGGAGAGAGGCTCCTATCTTTATACTCATTTCACCAAGTAAAACTACCAATGTGGTAGTTTTTCCACTTGAGACTCTATAGCTTTCAAAGCTATTCATACATACATTTCCAACAATCCCCCACTTGAATAGTTTTGAAACTATCTCTGAGCATTAACAGTTCCATAAGATCGGGCATAAGCTGAGGTATCGCGAAGATTTGAACCTTAACGTAGTGGTTACACTTTTGGTTTTATAAGGGTGACTCGTAGTCTTGAACCCTATCTCAGACAGTGTAGCACACCGGATCTTTTCATTGAGTTGTGTTCTCTTCTTAGCCCGTGCGTTTATGGTCATGCACGTTATCCTGGTTTAGTGAACGCTCTAGCAACTTTGTGCCTCCAAAGTTCCATAGGGAGCAGCCCCACTCCCACATTCACAAAGGTGAGTCTATCAAGAGTACCCCAAAAGTAAAGTACTCCACCCCACATAGGGTATAGATCTCATTATGAGTTATTAACTCAACCTCCATTGCTTTGGGATTCATGCTTCACTATGCATGAACTTTCGCATACTACTCATGACTTGTTATTACCCATTGAACCCATTTCTTGGGATCTCCAGTCTATTGGGTCGGGTTACCATCACTTGTAGTCCGTGGTTCGGTAAGCATCAGTCCCATACCCTTGGCAGTATTCTGGACTTTCTCTCTAGGTAATCCTTTCGTCAAAGGATCAGCTAGATTCTGTTCGGATCTTATATGATCCACCCTCACTGCTCCTATAGTTAGGAGTTCTCTTACAGTACTGTGCTTACGACGAATTTGCCGTTTCTTTCCGTTATAGAACCGGTTCTCAACTTCAGCGATAGTTGCGGTACTATCACAATGGATCAATACCGAAGGGACCGGCCTTTCCCATAGGGGAATCTCTAACAACAATCCTCTCAACCAACTTGCTTCTTCACTAGCCACTGCTAGTGCTATCATCTCTGATTCCATAGTTGATTGAGCTAGGATTGTTTGTTTCTTTGACTTCCAAGACAAAGCTCTACCAGCGATGTTAAAAACATACCCTCCGGTTGCCTTGGAGTCATCTGATAGGGTATTCCAATCTGCATCACTATACCCTTTTAGTACAACATGAAACCTTTGATAGTGTATACCAAGGTTGGCTGTTCTCTTGAGGTATCTCATGACCCTCTCTATAGCATTCCAATGCTCTCTACTAGGACAACTGTTGAACCTGCCAAGCAATCCCACGACATATGCAATGTCTGGTCGAGTGTAATCCGCAGCATAATGGAGACGGCCAATGATGCTAGCATATTCTGATTGTCTTAGACTGTCTCCATTGTTCTTAAATAGCTTTACACTAGCATCATACGGAGTACACGCAGGTTTACAGTCGAAATAGTTATATTTCTTCAAGATCTTCTCTAGGTAGCTAGTTTGATTTAGAGAATAACCATTTGTTGTTCTGGTTATCTGGATTCCAAGCATAAACTTTGCTTCTCCCAGATCTTTCACCTCAAAGCTCTCTTTCAACATGGCTTTTGCTTCATTGACCACGTGAATATTTGTACCAAATATCAACATGTCATCTACATACAAACATATGATAGTGCAAGTGTTATTCTCTGACTTGCAGTAAATACACTTGTCACTTTCATTCACCTTAAAGCCATGCGAGAGAACGAGAGTGTCAAACTTCTCATGCCACTATTTTGGAGCCTGTTTCAAACCATATAATGATTTGTCTAACTTACAGACTTTCGAGGCATGTTCGGGGATAATAAACCCTTCTGGTTGTTCCATATAGATTTCATCATCCAGATCACCGTTCAAAAAATCGGTCTTAACATCCATTTGGTGTACCACGAGATTGTTCAAGGAAGCAAGAGCAATCATAACACGAATGGATGTTATTCTTGATATTGGTGGATAGGTATCGAAGAAATCTATATTCTCTCCCTGCATGTAGCCCTTAACTACTAGGCGAGCACGGAACCTTTCGATTGCACCATCAGGTTTCCGTTTCGTTTTTAGAACCCATTTATTACCTAAGACTTTGCAGCCAGGAGGTAAGTCTGTTAGATGCCAAGTCTTATTAGCTTCTAACGATTCCATTTCATCTGTAACGACCTCATTCCAAAAGTCTGCATCTATGGAAGTTAATGCTTCCTGCAAAAAATTTGGATCTTCGAGGGTGTAGTAAAGTCATCACCAAAATCTTTAGAGATTCTAGCTCTTTTACTTCTTCTGAGTTCATCCTCAAATCCAACACCCCCACTAGTTCCGTTATCTCTAATAGCGGGTAGTACATTACCCCCACTATTTCTTGTTTTAAATGGAAATCGTGTCTCGAAGAAATCAGCATCAATGGATTCTACTATAGTACGAGCATTCAAATCATAGAATCTATATGACTTACTATTGGCCGCATAGCCAACGAAGACACATTCATATGCTCGACTAGCCAACTTAATCCTCTTAGGATCCGGAATTCTTACGTAGGCCAAACAGCCCCACGTTCTTAAATAGGACAGATTAGGTGGCTTGTTCTTCAAGATCTCATAGGGTGATTCTTTTCTATTTGTTTTTGGAAGACGATTTAGCACATAGCAAACTGTCAACAAAATATCACCCCACCAAGAAGAAGCAGCTCCGGAATTGAGAATAATAGCCACAACTAATTCTGTAAACGTCCTATTTTTCCGCTCAGCTTTACCATTCATTTCTGGTGAATATGGTGTCGTGGTTTCATGAATGATGCCATGTGAGCTATAGAATTCCTTGAAGGGATTAGAGTCATACACTGATCCTCTATCACTCCTAAGTCTTTTTATCTTTCGATTTCACTAATTTTCAAATTCAACCACAGATACCTTGAACATATCAAGGGCTTCACTTTTGTTTTTCATCAAATAAACAAAGCAATAATCAGAGCAATCATTTATGAAAGTGATAAAGTATTTCTTGCCAGACCTAGTTAACGTCCCATCTAGTTCACAAATATCGGAATGAATTAGATCTAAGGGTTCTGATTCTCTACTCACATATTTATGGGGCGTTTTCGTTATTTTAGCTTGGCTACAGAAATCACATTTATCAAATTCATTCATTGAGAGTTTAGGGATATGTCCTAGCTTGCTTAAATTCTTCACAATTCGTGTGTTCACATGACAAAGACGAGCATGCCAAACATTCAAATCACACACCATGTAAATTGAAGAATTCATCTTATTAATTTCGACATTCAACTTGAACATCCCATTACATGAATATCCCTTTCCCACAAAACTCTCATTCTTGGTAAGGGTATACAAGTCTTCCCCAATAGATTGATTAAACCCAGTCTTATTAAGAAGATATCCCAAAACAAGATTCTTCCTTATCTCTGGAGTGTGCAACACATCCTTGAGCACCATCTTCTTCCCAGAGGTGAAGTTCAGCTCCACTTCACCAAAACCAGCAACCATAGTGGTGTGAGTAGTCCCCAGCAACACTTTCTTGTCAGCAGTTGCTTCTGTGTATGTTTTAAACATAGCACGATTGTTGCATACATGCTTCGATGCACCTGTATCCAGCCACCATCCTTCTGAGTCACCGGTGAGGTTGACTTTAGCGATCATATATGTGATCATGGCTATCAAATCCTCTTCTGTCAAGTTAACCCTGGCCGTAGCAGCAGGGTTTTGCTTGTTCCTGCACTTTTTTGCCATATGACCCGGTTTAGCGCAGTTATAGCAGATAAATGGTGGGTCATTCTTAGAGGTTTGGGCCATGACCCTTTGGTTACCTCGAGAGTCACCATTCTGGTGGGGGCGGACCTGTTGGTTCTTATTCTTAAACCCTTTCTGGTTAGGTTTAAGAGCTCTAGAGGTGGGTCATTTAGCAGTGACGACCATCGCCTCTTCTTTCATATCCTGCTTGCGAGACTCTTCCTCAATCCTTAGGCGAGTAATCAAGCTTTCCAGTGAAAATTCTTTGGTTTTATGTCTAAACATATTCTTAAAATCTTTCCACGAAGGGGGCAGCTTATCAATAATGCAAGCAACTTGAAATTGATCGTCCAGAGGCATACCTTCAGAGACGATCTCATGAGCTATTTTCTAAAGTTCGTGGGACTGAACTTCGACAGACTTGTTATCCACCATCTGGTAGCGCAGGTAGCGGCTGACAGCATACTTCTTAGCTCCAACCTCCTCCGTGTCGTACTTCTTTTGGAGCGCATCCCAGATCATCATTGCGGTGTTCTTGTTGTCCGCATAGTAGTCGTAGAGATCGTCTTCCAGGCCGTTGAGGATGTAGTTCTTGCATAGGCAGTCATGCTCCCTTTCCTTAGCAGAAGAAGCCCTCTCCTCATCGGTCGCTTCTTCCGGCAGCTCGACTGGCATGCGGTGAGGCAGTGTGCCAACTTCTTGGTCGTTAGGTAGAACTCCATCTTTTGTCTCCAGCGACGGAAGTTGACTCCAACGAAGCGAAAGGGTCGATTGATCTCGACAACACCAGATCCGGCCATGTTGTTCTGTTCAGTCGACATAGCAGCAGCCGAACATCTAAAAATTGTTAGGAACGGAACAACAACAAGAACGAGGTTACCGAATCTGGAGCTCAGTCGCGGACTAGGTCGCCCTCTTTAAGACGTTTGCGGCACTGCCCTCGATGCGCACGACAGACTATCAACTGGTCGTCTCTAGGATAAAATAGTTCCTCTTTGTACACGCGGTTTTGTGCGAAAACCGGAGCTCTCTGAACACTCTCTCTATTGTGTTTATGCTCGTTGTGGTGTCTTTAGAGGGGCTGGGGATGCGGCTATTTATATGAGCCGAACCCCTAGGAATATACCCTCTAGCTTGGGGAATAAGTCGGATTAATTAAGAAAGATAATTACTTCCTTAATTAAAACCGTCGGTTAAGATAAATCCTGCGGGATTATCCTTCGAATATTCCTTTTTAATCGATTGCCCTTAGAATATTCCTCAGAATAACCGATTAATAATTAATTATTAGATAATTAATTTCGTTCGGAATTTCTCCAAAAATATATATATAGTCTCAAGTGAACTAACCAACCAACCGGTCGGACGGACGGCGCGCGTGTGTGTGGTGGTCCGTTAGGTCCTCCCTCTCCCACAAAAGTAGGTCACCCCAAGGGGCATGCCCTTAGGAGAGAGGCTCCTATCTTTATACACATTTCACCAAGTAAAACTACCAATGTGGTAGTTTTTCCACTTGAGACTCTATAGCTTTCAAATCTATTCATGCATACATTTCCAACAGGATCCACCATTTAAGGGGTCTTTGAATTAGCTTCCGGGGAGGCGAGCAATTGATCAAATAATTCATGGCGGCAGGATGTAAAGGTGTCGATAGACGATGGTGGAGGGATGGAAGCTGCGAAGGCGACTGCGGCAGGTAGGCGATATCGACAGGGAGTGGAGAAGAGGGCATTACCGAATTCCTAAAAGAGACTCCATCTCTCAATAGAACTCGGCAAGTTCATATGCATGAAATCAATAATCAATGGCGAGCGAGATATGAAGCATACCTGCCAAGCCGAAACCTCACCGCGGTGGACTCTCGCCGCCCTGTCGAGTGTAGAGTCCCCGCGGCTGCCTAATCCACCACCGTAACCTCGTCAGCCAGCCTCGCCGTCGTCTTGTTGTCGTGCCACCAAGCTCTTTGCTATGCAGAGTTAGGGTTAGTACTAGACGGAGGAAGGAGAACGACAGGGAAGAACAAGAGGCGTCTTGCGATGGTGCTGAATGAGAGGGTTTGACTACGAAACCTACCCAATTTTATTTTAATTGAATCACATCAAACGACGGCGCTTCACTCAATATCCGGAATTATGCTTCCCGGTTGGACCACTCGGGATTTTCGGTTTTGACTGGAATTGACCGGTTTTGACCGAAATTGACTGAGGTATCCTACCGGTGATAGAGGAGGTACTACCAAGGGCTGAAAAATGGAGGGAAGGAGGTGAAGTTGGTTGAGTATGAGAACGCGATTCACACCTTTTATTCGTATCCGGAGGTGCCGGAGTCGGGTCGGTTTGTGGAGAAGGTCCGGGATTTTTTCCGAGACCCAATTGGGTTCTGTTCTGCTGCAGGATGAGATCAGGTGACTAAGGGGATGGATTGGTTACTTGTCTAAAGTCTGTTTTGATCGTAGGTTGTGTACATTGTATTATTATGAGTATTGTAATACAAGTCTTATCAGTTTGTATTGTAAGTTGTATTAATTTGTGTTGTTATTATGCTTTGTATACAATATCAATATGATTTGTGGCAAAGGTTATATAGCATACGCTATACCCCTATGTTCACGCCTATTTTTTTCTATAATGATATTTTCGACTTGTAAAATTGTTTTGTAAATCAGTGAGATCCCTTACCTTACTTTGTATAGACTTTAAATTATCACCAGGACGGTCAAGAGTTCCTCGAAAGCAGAGAAATGCCGTCTTTTTTAGGCCTGGATTATGATTGATTTCGGTCTAACCAATAACAGAAGTGTCAGTTTTCGATTAGCCGAATGACAGGAAATTGGTCTCCTATCACCGACCGATTGATACCTTCGGTTAACCTCAAAACGACATGCCGATATTTGATTTTAGTCGCGGTTAGCCGTGTAACCGAGAAAACGATGGCGGTGTCAGGTTGAACCGACAACTGACCTGACAACACTCGAACCTATATACAAAATCAGTAAAGACGAGGTGATGGTACCGTCGGTTTTCAGTTAGCCGATAACTGACGGTTTTCAGTTATAACCGGCGATTACCAGCTAACCGACAACCGATTGGCCATCCCTAATGTTTTACCATCTTAGAATCAAATCTAGATCATGACTACTTGCAGAGTAAGTACCACCCGCTAACTGTCGAGCCCAGATAGAATAACAACACCCTTTGTGTTGTTATAATAACAACATGATTCATTAAGGGTAAAAGGGTAAACTTATACTGAAAATAATAAAATAAATTTGATTAAAATTCAAGGTCGCTTTAATCCCGCAGCAGACCTCATCTCCGCCATCGCAGCACCTTCCTCCTCCATCTCAGTCGGCGGAGGCAGCACCTTCCTAGCTGCTCCACCGCCCGATTTCCACTACGCCGACTCCGCCGCGCTGCTGGACCCGGCGGCGGCGAAATGGCATCATCATCCCTATCACTATCACGACGCGGAACAACAACAACGATTAAAGTACAATTTCCATCAGCAGCAGCAAGAAGTGGGCTCCTTAGGCGACGATTATATGGGCTGCGTTTTGAACGGGTTTCACGGCGACGGTGGTGACGGCGGGTTAGGCGAAGTGGTGGAGATGAGCCGGACCCCTTCTTCCTCCCTCCAATTGAAACCCGACCCGGGTTTCTTCGCGAACGGCTGCTTCTGTCAAGCAGGCAGGGAAAGCAACACCGCTGCTGCTCTCACTCTCTTCTAGGGTATATATATCGAGCAAGTACAGGTTCTCCATACTCGATGCATTTAAGGTTTGGTGTGTGTACAATGAGGAGAAAACGCAGTAGTGGTCTGTGTGTCCATTGGGATTGGAGCATATTGTGGGCAGGCAGGCAGCAATAAGAAGTTATGGTGATGATGGTATGCAACATATATATTGGTAATTGTTCTCTCTTCTCTTTATGTGAATGATTCTGTCATAATTAAATAGGGAGTGGAGGGGGGTTGTACACTTTTGCTGTGGTTCCTTCCTCTCTGACTCATGATTTGTCGTGTCAAGCTTTTGAATGAATATTGAATCCTTTTCGATTCTTGGCTTTGGACTACAAATCGTAACTGGAAAGTGCAACAAATTGGACAAGCCCCAACAACGTAACCCACCTTCCCATATTCAGAATTTCCGTAAGGTAAATGACTAATAAGTCTTGGATGAATTAATCAATGAAGACTTCCCATTTGAATGATATAGTCATAGAATACCAGGTCAAATTGCAGGTTGAATTGATTGTGTTTTTAATGTATTTTAGTGTATTGTTGTGTTTATCGTATGCAATTAGGATTTATCGGTATGCAGATCACTAGTATTTAATAAGCACACCAGAAACCTCCTAATGCAGACCACAAACGTGATAAAAAAAAACCACAAAAAAGCAAACCAAAAACCTTCTAATGCATACCACAAATTCCCTAAAACAAACCACAAGCCTTACAAAGCAAACCACAACATTTGCGAAAACACACCAGAAACCTCCTAATGCAGACCACACACGTGATAAAAAACCACAAAAAAGCAAACCATAAACCTCTTAATGGAGACCACAAATCCTCTAAAACAAACCACAAACCCCACAAAGCAAACCACGACATTTGCGAAAGCACACCAGAAACCTCCTAATGCAAACCACAAGCACGGTAAAACAAACCACAAAAGCAAACCAGAAACCTTCTAATACAAACCACAAATATATTAAAACAAACCAGAACCCTCACAATGCAAACCACAAAGACGATAAAGCAAACCAGAAACTTCTCAATGCAAACCATAAACGTCCTATTGCAGACCACAAATATATTAAAACAAACCAGAAACCTCACAATGCAAACCACAAACACGATAAAGCAAACCAGAAACTTCTCAATGCAAACCACAAACACGATAAAGCAAACCACAAAAGGCGTACAAAAATATGAGAAACCAAACCATAAATCTCACAATGCAGACCATAACATTCGGTGATCGTTGACCGGTCAACAAAGTTCGTTGACCGAACTCCGGTGACCGTCAGTGAGCAGATTCCGACGCCGATAGGCATATTCCGGCCCCGATGACTAGATTCCGACGCCGGTAAGCATATTTCGACGCCGGTAAGCATATTCCGGCGACAAAAAGCATATTCCGGTGACCGGCGACCAGTTTCCGGCGACCGGTGGCAGAATTCTAGCGACCAAATTTTTTGGCAGAAAATAAAAAAAATCTTTTTTATTTTTTTATTATTTAAACAGATTTTTCATAATGACAATTATACCCCTGCTTTTATTTTACACTAGGTCAACTCATCTAATAAAAAGTCATCACAATCCTAACTTCCTATTGGTTGGAGACTAGTGTTGTTACAATAACAACACAAGGGGTGTTGTTATAGTAACCGGTCCCCTTACTGTCCATGTAATTATTATATGGCCAAAGAGAAATCTCCAAGACCATGGGTTTTATGTGGGCGGACCGCAAAATTACGTAGGGTGTCCATAATTGGATCAAATTCAATACCTTTTATTTCTCTCTCTGTTTCAAATTCAACGGAACCTAGACAGACATGACAGAATATGGAGGGGGAAAAAAATCCGAGTCTGAGGCCCACACCAGACCGGCCCAAACCCAATCAGCACCAGTCTTAGACCAGTCTTAGACAGGCCAAGGCCCAAAACACACCAATCCCCACGTTACCCAGAACTTGCAAATCCTGCAAACCCAAACTCCTCTTTCCCTCTGTCTCTGGTCAAATGGAAAGACTAGAGAGAGATGGGATGGAGAAAACAGAAAAGAAAGGAAAGAAGACTTTACACGGAGGGATCCTTCTTTAGTGACACAGATGCACTCCCCTCTCTCTTTTGCTTAGCAACCACCAACCAGCACTCCAGTTCATACTTCATAGCCTTAGCCTTAGCCGCTAAGCTTCCCCTCACCGCCTATATAAAACCCTCCCGTCAACCAGCCGATAAAACCCAAATTCAGCGCACCAACCGATACCCTCTCTCTCTTTCAACCCAACGACGAATTCCCTGATCACAACCCAAAAATGCAGACCGTCAAAAGACTTCCCCGGTCCTCAACGCCACCGCTATCGTCGCCGCCGACGACTCCTCCTTCCCCTTCCAGTCTCGACATGAACGATCTCCCTGAAGACCTCATCGCCAACGTCCTCTCATTCACGGGACCCCGCGAGTCCTGCCGCCTCGCCGCCGTCTCCGCCACTTTCTGGTCCGCTTCCCTCTCCGACACCGTCTGGGAGCGGTTTCTCCCCCCGGACATCCTCTCCGTCCTCTCCCGAGCCGCCGCCAACGAGAAGAACGACTCCTCCCATTCCGGCTCTACAAAGAAGGATCTCTTCCTCCGCCTCTGCGACCACCCCGTCCTCATCGATGGCGGCCGTAAGGTAAATTTAATTTCCAATTCAATCGTGTTTCCAATTTCTCGTTCCAATCGCGTGAAATTTCTAGGGTTTCTTAAATAGACCTGATCCGATCGATTTTTTTTTTTTGCTTTTTTTACAGAGCTTCTCGCTGGATAAACGGAGCGGGAAGAAATGCTACATGATCTCGTCTAGGGATCTCTACATTATATGGGGCGATACCCCTCGATACTGGAAATGGATCTCCGACCCCGATTCCAGGTTTTGCCCCCTTTTCTCCTTCTGCCAAAACGATTGGCGCCCCCTGATTGTGTTAAGTTGTTGAATTTTTTTTTTTTTTTCTGTTCGGATTTCCAGATTTGGGGAAGTTGCAGAGCTTGTTGGGGTGTGTTGGCTGGAAGTGAAGGGCACGATTCCGACGTCGATGCTCTCCCCGTCGACGTTGTACACGGCGTATCTCGTGTTCAGGGCGCCCCACGGGGCGTACGGGTTCGACTACCAGCCCGTCGAGGTCTCGGTGGGGCTGTCGGGCGACGAGAAGGTGGTGCGGTCGGTTTACCTCGACGCCGGGATGGAGAGGAGGCGGCGGCTCCAGGTGGTGGCCGCTGAGGGTGCTCCGAGGCGGTTGTTGGGCGGGTTCGGGCGGTTCAGCCCACGCGGCAGCCGTGTGATAGGGTTCCATTCCCCTGCTCCGTCGGCGGTGGCCGACGAGGGAATCGGCCACCGCGGCGCGGCCGAGCGAGGCAACGGTGTGTGTCCGAAGGAGAGGAAGGATGGGTGGTTTGAGGTGGAGCTGGGTGACTTCTTCACCAAGGAAGGGGTTGAAGGGGAGCTGTTGGAGATGTATGTTGCTGAGGTGAAAGGTGGGAATTGGAAAGGAGGGCTTCTTGTTCAAGGCATTGAGATCAGACCTAAAGAGGGTAAATGAAATTTTCCTATTGGAACAGAAGATTTTTTTTTTTTTTTGAGGAAAAAGGGACTCCATTTTACTTTGCTTTGTTGCTTCTCTTTCAAGTAACTATTTTTCTTCTGTTACAAGCTAAGCTATGGTGAAGAAATGGGGAGCCAAATGAGGTTCCTTTTGTCTTCTGAGTTGTTTTTGTATTACATTTTGCCTAATTGTCTTCTTCAGCTTTGTTCGGCATGTATGATATTCTTATATGTAAACTGTAACGGAGTTCCGAGATCTTGATCTTGTAATGAAAGAGAGAGATTCAAGCTTCGATTTCTTGAATAATTTTGAATTCTATGTATTGATTCACGTGATGCAAGTTACGTCTACACACTACGGAGTCATTTTCAAGATGATCTACGCGAGTAAAGATCGCTTATCGTGGGTGAGATCGTATTTGAACATGTGAGAGATTGAGATGTCTTGAGCCTAGTGGTGGATTTAGGGGGGTCCCCTCTGAGCCACGGCTCAGCCCTTTGCTGGATCAAAGAGTTAGTATAGCATTTGCAGATTTTCGATTTTAGGTGTTCGTTTCAGTATTCGTCGGATTACTATTCAGCCCTTTCTACCTCTTTTTAAATATGATCTAGTGTTTTACCCAAGCAAACCACGGAATCCAAAACCTTGAAGGCTGCCAAAAGCAAGAAAAGTTGCAGCCTTTTGAAGTTTGAAATGAACTTCTATTCTCCCGGTGTAGAGAGATCCATGGGCAAAAAACAACAAAACTTTAAACTTGCAATCCATCAACTTTTGCATTTCACATACAAATCCAAGGCTTCAACGTTAACACGACAAACAAAAGCCTATTTATAGCTTCTCCTCGCAAACAATCAGACCGACACTGACATGTCAATTGATACTTGTGCGAGCAAAGGTTCAGTTCACCTAAAGGCTGGAGCTGAACAAGAAGAAAGAGATCATGCTGCTCAGCTGCTGTGCCTAAAAGCCAGGACAACCGAATGTCCGGGGTACTAATAATTGGACACTTCATGATCGTTTGGATACACGTTTGATTAATTATATCGAACTTTATGTGCTACACAATTACTAAATCATCGATCATATATACACTTGAATGTGTTAGTTCCAGGTAGAATCTGAACTGTCGTCGATAACATGTCGAATCGAACATAGAGACGTTTTAGGAATGTTACACAAAAATGCAAAATAAGTGCGCCTATTTTTCCTCTAGATTTGTCAACTCTGTTACAATATGTCGACGCCAAACAATCAGCCCGACACCGACATGTCGATTGACTGTGCGGGCGAGCAGAGGCCGAAACAGAAGAAAAGAAATCGAGTGGGTTGGCGGTGTGCCGACCCAACGATAATTGGATTGTCCATTATGCATTTTTATCGTTGTTCGATGCATGTGTTATATTTAATTATGTTGAGTGTTCCGTGTTATGTAGTTATCGAGTCATCATTTATATTATAGGATGTTCTAGTCCTAAGATGGTAACGACTAACGATTGATAAAAAAATAAAAATAAAACAACCTAGTTTAAGTAGAATCTGAACGCTCATCTCAAAAGTGCGGAATTAAATATACAAAACTCTTAGGGACGTTACAGAAACTACAAGATGATCACTCAAAAGATTTAACAACTCTATAAGCAAGAATTTGATTAGATTTGGATACATAATACACATATAGCAATGCGCATGTGAAGGGGGGAACTCAGGACATTTCAAAATCTATCTTCTTCTGGTTGTGCCACCATGGATTTGGAAGACAGACACCGACTCTTTTCTTCTCTGTTTCTTTCACTATTTCTTCCTTCTCTTCTGTGTCAGCTTGCAGAATCCCAACCAACTTTCCACCTGTCCTTTTAGCACAAATGGGGAACCTTGAGCTGTCCAGTTCCTATCAATGGTTTCATGACACAGCATCCATGTGAAAGCACACTTCCTAACCACTAACCAGACATATTCCCCTTTTCCTCATCGGCCAAAAGCCCTCTTTTTGGGTTCATCATTCACCAGAATCTTTACCTGAGTGGCCAATCTCAATCTTAACGCCGTCACCAAGTATAAAGCCACACAATTAAGTATCAACCCCACAAGAAGATATAAAAAAACTGAAGCACCAATGCAATTCAACTATTCAGTCACTTTTCTTAGTTTCTTGTCCATTAAGATATCAGATTTCCGGACTGCTGGGAAAACCCAAAAAACAAGGTTTTTCTTTCAATCTAGAGACATTCTCCAACAATAGCTCTATTTGCCATTTTAGACCTTCTGTACAAAGATCACCATCACTGAGAAACATACACACTTGATACAGAAAGACAAAAACCGAGATCGAAAACACAGGCCACTTATCTCGAGTTCGTATAGGAATATCACAAGAGAGACGAATTTCTTTCCGATGCTTTTATCATCATCACAGATAATGTGGCGTACCGACTCTATCAACAGCAGAAGGTTGTAAAGAGCGGATTTTAATGTCGTACTTTCTGTGTTTAGTAGTAGCTTCGGAAGTGCCTGAAGAGGAGGATAACTCTGGTTCGTCACCTGATACGAGAGGGTAAGCAGCTGGAGCTTCGTCGTCGTAAGCAATGCCAACTGGGTTGCCACACTTGCGGCAGAGGAGTTTGGTTCTCCTGCGGAAAAAGCCCCACGAGCTCTTTGATAAAAAAAACGGAATGCATTGGAACTCGTCCATCAGAGTAAACCTGCTCTCGTCGATGTAGAAGAATGAGATGACCCCGCGCTTTATTGATTTCCCATACTTGGAGTCTATGGTCGATGTGTTTCTGTTCGAAGAGCTCAAGTTCAGCTCATAGCCACAGACCCCACAGCTGCAACCAAAGATGAAAGATCATACCTTGTTAATGAAATTCATAATGCAGATTCTACTTCACACAGGTCATTCAGTGGGGTGCATTTGGGAGAATAATATTTTGATGTATGTGTGCATTTGGAATGTTACATTCAATATCAAATGCAACAAAACAATGCAATCTCAAACACTTGTCGGCAGACAAGATTTGAAACCGCACCTCTATATTCTTACCACGTTAGTACTGAATCAAACAATGGTTTTGCAAATAAGCCTCACACAGTGCCATTCAAAATAGCATGTAATTGAAAGTTGAAACAATTAGCATCAATCTCCAAACTCCGAACCAATACATAGCTCTATAGAACGCATTGTTAAAAGAATCATATGCAGGATAAACCCTATAGCTAAGATAAGATAGAAGAGTTGTTGATAGTTCAAGCCTTCAAGGAACCACGGCTAACCCAGTTGCACATACTCCATACACTATAATCACACTGCAATAATCTAGCTTTGTCTATGTGAACTCTGTTAACCAATTGATCCGGAACTCCACCCACTTTTGTATTCACTCCATTCGTCTGCATGATACATTATCAGGGATAAGATACTTTCCCAGCCTTCCTTCCACGTTCAGTTGTCAACTTGTCATGACAAAATTATAAGTAACTGTATCCAGAGAACACTTAGGAGATACTAAATTCACAAACACTGAGAACAATAACAAAAACGAATCTTGCCCATTTCTTGTCTCTTAAGATTGTCTTTCTTATTGTTGTCAAAATCATTCCTTTACCCTTTCCCCCTATCTTTGCCTTGCTGTGAGAGCGACTAAGCCCAATTGGGTAAGTAGGGTAGAAGGAGCCAGCATAGTTCCAAAATAGATTAAAACGAGAGAATTTCTTGTTCTGATAAGCACACAGTGAAAACGCCAAATCAAGCAAATTCCAATCCAATCTAACACAATGAATCAGTCCAAAGCATCCAGAAGTTCTCAAGAGTCAAGACTGAAAAAACCCAATTCAAGTTCAGTAAGATGAACAAAAAAAAAACACACCAATTCGAGCGATCCAGCGATTCAAAAAAAAGGGGAGGGAGGCAAACCTGTAGTTGACATGTCTAAGGGAGACAGATGAAGAGGAGAAGGAATGTTGGTGCTGGTGATTCCCGTTGAGGTAATTCTCTCTAATAACCGCCGTCGACAAGGTCTCCATTCCAGTTCCGCCTCACTGGTGGACTTCTCTTCTCTTCTCCGGTAAACTGCGCTGACAAGGGAATTCCGGGTACCGCCGCCGATCAGAAAGCGGTTCAGAATCGACGGAAAGGAGTAATTGAGAAGTTGCAGAAAAAGCAGAGGGTTGAAGGGCAGGGGGATTAGCGATTGAATTTGGAAAGCGGAGAAGGAGAAGAACAGCTTCAAGGCTAAGGAGAGGGAGGTGGATTTTCAAAGGGGTTTTGGGTTCTGCAAGTTTTTGCGGAGGAGAAGAAGGAAAAGGGAAGCAGAGAGAGAAGAGAGGGAAGGCAACGGGAAGTTAGGGAGAGTGGGTGGGATTGGAACTGGGGAGGCTCCTTTCGTTCTTCTTCTGCCTTGTGCCTTCTGGCAACGGATTTGGGACTAGACTTGTCTTCTTCTTCTGGTGCGTGTATTAAACGACAACTTTCCCGACATTTTTATTAATCACGACTGTCTAGTTCGTTAATTATTATTTTTGTTTACAAAATAAATATTTTATTGTCCAATCATGGCTAGAAAATGTAATGAATAAGGTTGAGTCGAATTTTGATATGATTTGAATTATTAATAAACGAGTCGAGTTCAAACTACCGTTGTTTATAAAAAAAATTGTTTGTGTTTGACTCGAGCTCGACTCGAATTTTGCTAATTAATTAGATCACGAGTAGGCTCGAGCTCCGGTATCATATCATTTAGTTGAAACAATTTAATTGTACATGTATCATATGATTTAATAGTATTTAGTATCTAACCAATCTATTATGCATAATTTCTCTTATAAATTATAAAATGAGAGTGGTTGTGTCGTTGGTTTTCAACTTGAAAATCTCTTGTCCGAATCCCAGGGTTTTCCTCCTTTCCCTTTCCCCAATCCTCAAGTATCACCTATAGCGTACAGATTTCGATAAAAAAAAAAGAGATATATATATGATCACATGCTCAAATTCTTAAACATCATTTGTGGTGAGATTTATCATCTAACAAGCCTGTAAATTACGAACAAGCAAATGATAAATTTTAATTGATTAGCTCATGAATTGCTAGTTGAGGCGTCAAGCTGCTCGTGAGCGGGTTTGCCCATTTGCAACCCTAATCATGCACAAGTTATAGCATCCACTGTCCACATCAATGTAATTGCAAAATCAATTGCATAAGATATTTTTATTATTATTTCAAATCTTATGCAATCGAACTCAATTTTATATCATTACACCTATATCAATGCCTTTCACTTGTCACTACATATATAAGAGTTTAAGTGACTTCATAATAAATAATAAATAAATCAAGAGAGAAAAATAAATCATTATTTTTTATTTTCCTATATTGATTGTACTTATGGTGAGCTGAGCTTTACCAATTTATAAGGCCGACCAATTACGACACTAACGAATCTTATGCGAGCCAAGTATAACTTGAATTTGTGAGGTAGTATAGCGGTGACCAAGGTCGTATTCCAGGGGGTCCCTAGGTTACTATTACTTCGTTCTAACCTATTATGTAATCAAATAGAAAAGATGGTTTAATACTAAGCTAACCTAACTAACAAAAGTAATCAACTAAATGTTTGGGAGACCGCTAGAAATGAGATGGTTGTCTAGGATCGAATCCTCCTAGTAGTATGTAGGGTGGTTTATCGATGCTAACCTAATTCGTGGTCCGAAGGTCACTAATATTGGGATTGGTGCAATGGTCATGTCTCCTAGTAGTATGTAGGGTGGTTTATCGATGCTAACCTAATTCGTGGTGCGAAGGTCACTAATATTGGGATTGGTGCAATGGTCATGTCTCCTTACCACCCTAGATAGCCAAGTCCACCAGTCTAATGTCACCATAACCAATCTTCCAAACTAGGGATAGAATCTACCTCCTCTAAATGCGTTCTACCCATTCGCACACTAGGTTGATAAGTTGATGTTCAAGCACTTAGAATTCTAGCATCAACTAGGTAGGCTCCTAATTGGTAGGGGATGGTCACCTTATCAGCCATTTAGGATCCTAGATCATCTACACACACATTCGCGTAACTAACCCTTGGGCTAATCATGCAAATGCCATATCAAGAAATCAAACATTGGAAAGAAGCTATAAACACCTTAATTAAATACAAGCATCTAGGTTCTCATTCAATCAACAACCCTAACTACATACTATGGTTCATCTCCCCTCAAGGATCTTAGATGTTTAAGTCATAAAGGAAGAGAAGAGGGGAAATGCTTAAAGTTAATCTTCTTCTCCTTTGATTGCACCCTTCTCCTTGATTCTTGGATGAATTCCTTCACAAACTCTTTGAAGGTGTTTCTCTCTCTAAAAATACCTAAGAATCCTAAATTTTACTCTAAAATGGCTTTCCCTTAAGCAATGAGGGTCTCTCAATATCTATAGGCAATCAAGGACATGAACAAGTTGGCGGCCTCATGATACAAGATCACAGTAATGATCTTGTGTCTTAACCCGTGATCTTTGAACGCAACAATTTTGGCTGGCACTGAAGTCTGAAGGTGAGATTGCGGCCTAGAGTTCACAACCGTTAACTCGGAGTCACGACCATAATCTTTATCATGGGTTCGGATACAAAATCTGTGAGGATTGCAAGGATAGGTAACCTCATGGGAAGTCACCTTGATATACACCCAAATCAAAATCTATAAGGATCTGGACTCAAAACGAATAATATCTTGTTAGGAAACAAGTTTGGGATGTTACACGGTTGGTTATCAAAGATCTCAAGTTTTATTCCATAAAAAAAGTCGATCAATCCATTGATTGTAAAAGCAAAACACAACATTGGTCATTGTAGAACGGCTCCTCTATCTCTATCTATCGGTCAATCCCAAAAACAGGATTATAGATCAGAAGAAGATAAGAAGCGCCTCTTCCTCTGCTCAAGGTCTCTGTCTCCACATCACCCGCGGATTCCCGTCCGGCGTCCGCTTCCGAACTATCCCACTTCCCCAGCTGCAATCTAACCCCCATCCATGGCTTCCACCACATTCAACGCTTCGTCGAGTCTCCCTGCTACTTTGAAAGGCTTGGATTGCAACACCTACAAACCGACCCTGGGTAATTTAAGGTTCATCGCGTCGCCTAATAAGAAACCCATCGCTGTTCCTTCTTCGTCTTCTCCGGCTCCGAAACGGCGGGTGCTTCCTTTGGCGAGAGCGACCAGCGATGTGCCGGTGAAGACGGGATTGAGCGATGCGGAATGTGAAGCAGCTGTTGCCGCTGGGAACGTCCCCGAGGCGCCTCCTGTCCCGCCCACACCCCTTGCTCCCGCCGGAACTCCCGTCGTTCCTTCGCTTGTTAGTGCTAAATTTTGCCACGATTTGATTCTTTGTAGCTTATTTTGGTAGGTTTCTGGAGAATTTTACTGGGTGAATTTTTGTGTTTGTATTCCTTTTCCCGGCAGCCGCTTTCCAGGCGCCCTCGTCGAAATCGAAGGTCACCTGCGCTTAGAGCAGCGTTTCAGGAAACCACTATATCCCCGGCGAATTTTGTTTATCCACTTTTCATTCACGAAGGTTGGAAATGGATTTCCGTATTTAATCGGCTTTCCTGTTTCCTTGCCCCATTTTTTGGTTGAAGATGGATGACTGAATTCTGGAAATGTGCAGGCGAGGAGGACACGCCTATTGGGGCTATGCCAGGATGTTATAGGCTTGGATGGAGACATGGGCTTTTGGAAGAGGTGATTCATCTTTTTATTCTTGTCTGGCAGTATCATTTTCCTTAACAGTGATAGATTATAAGTCAAATCCCTGAGTTTGAGTAGTCTCTTGCTTAAATTTCATATTGGGGTTTAGTTAGAAGAACTACCGATACCGAACCTGCTAGCTATACGGGTACATTTCTGAATGAACGAATACTAGACTCAAATGAGACATAGATTACAGTCAATTGGGAATGAGACCCTTTTCAAGAATCAAATTCAGCTGCATTGTTCTATCACCCGGTGAGTACCATGGCCTAGTGTTGTTGATATCAATGACATGCTAATGAGTTGACGAGCAAGCAACATCTGATGTCATGTCATGGCTGAATGTTGAATTTATAGTACCGTGGTCTTGTTTGGGTCTCTCCTGCTAACTCATCTCCCTTGTGAAAGCTTAAGACTTTGGCTCGATTATTGATATGAACTATCTTGTAATTTAGGAAAAATATTTTTCTTCTTGTAGACAGGCAGTCTAAATGGAAGACTTTCATATTGTAGTGCGTACACTACAATGCTAGTGTATATTTGCTTACTGACAGTTCATCATACACTAATAAAATGTCTGATGCAGGTTGCAAAGGCCCGGGATGTTGGTGTGAACAGTATAGTACTCTTCCCTAAAGTTCCTGATGCCTTGAAGGTTTTTTCTACTGTCCTGGATTGCAGGTCATCTGGATATCCCTTTCTGTTGCAGTCGACGTGGGACTTTAACTTTGTTTCTTCCATTGTAGACCCCTACTGGAGATGAAGCTTATAATGAAAATGGTCTAGTTCCAAGGACCATACGGCTGCTCAAGGACAAATTCCCTGGTCTTGTAAGTAAAACTGATTATCTTTAGTTTGACTTGGATGTTAAACTCAATTGAGGATTATTCTCATAGTTTGCTTAATGATTTCTGGAGTTATATAGCTTCTTCTATCCTGACTCCATATTTCCTCAGGTCATATATACTGACGTAGCTCTCGATCCGTATTCATCCGATGGGCATGATGGTATTGTGAGAGAAGATGGTAAGAGGGATATTACTGCCAATGTGATTTCACGGCCTTGCATTTGAAATATGTTATCTTCAAGTTGACGGAGTAGCTTCATAGGGATGCTAAGGGAGTCAAACAAGTTCCAGTTTCTTGTACTTAGGATACTTTTCCTAGAATGGTAGAATCTAGTCTTAGCTGCACTTTTTACAGGATCCTTAGTGATGGACAACCTGGTAATGTCATAGGAAGTAGGGTGGTTATGCTGAGACTACACCATTGTTTCTTATTGTGTAGGAAACTTGAATAGCTAATCCTTTCAGTGTTTAGATAATTTAAGAGAGCTTCCTTACTTGAGCTACTCCTCTTTTAGGCGATCTGCAATATCGTATTGATTACCAGGACATTGTGTTTAGATCAAAAGTGGCACAAGGGAGTCGTTGTACATGACATCTTAATTAGAATGGATAGAGCGGAGTTGTCCTCTTTGTCCCTGAAGCTTGTTAGATCACAAGCAAGAGCCTGGTTTTGTTTGATGACAAATGCTGCATCTATAATTTCTGATTGCTGTCAACGTAAATCTCCAGGTGTCATAATGAATGATGAGACAGTACACCAACTGTGCAAGCAAGCTGTTGCACAGGTAATGCACTTTGCAGTTTCAACCAGCGTCAACTATTCGTTTATCAGTTTTGTACCTTTTGTATTGGAAGATACTAGATACACCTCCTTATCATGGATGCTACTTCGAATGAACAGGCTCGAGCAGGAGCTGATGTTGTTAGTCCTAGTGACATGATGGATGGTCGTGTTGGAGCTATCCGTGATGCTCTAGATGATGCAGGGTTTCAGCATGTTTTAATCATGTCCTACACGGCAAAGTGAGTCATTGATCTTACACTTCTCTGCTCTCGACTTTTGCCAAGATTTGGACCACTTATCAGTTCTCTGTGAATGGAACTTTTACATATAAATGAGTTACTAAGAGTTAGGACCTGGCAGTGATTCAATTGACCACTTGGTTGATTTGGTGATTGGGAGTTTAGACCTGTGAAATATGTATCACTTGGAGACAGTTCTGATGATTGGTTTATTTAACTTGGTGGAATGTTATGCTTCTACTGTTTTGGCAACTACTAATCCTTCCTAAATCCTACAACCAGGTACGCTAGTTCTTTCTATGGCCCATTCCGGGAAGCACTGGACTCAAATCCACGTTTCGGTGATAAGAAGACGTATGTACTTTATTGAGGTTGTACTGTTTTCATAGATCAACCCCTCAGACTATCTATGTTTGTCTAACTGACTTTTTAAACGTTTATTTGTCAATATCGAAGTTATCAGATGAACCCTGCAAATTATAGAGAGGCTATGGTTGAGGTCCATGAAGATGAATCTGAAGGGGCTGATATACTCCTGGTTGGTATCCCCTTTCCATTTTAGATCCTCGAACACGTAAATAAAAGATTGTCTCATTCTTAACTCCACCCGCTTGGTTTTCAGGTGAAACCCGGTCTTCCATATCTTGATATCATCAGGCAAATAAGAGACAACTCTGCATTGCCAATTGCTGCATATCAGGTACTCTTCCAACTGAACCATCAACTGAAGTTCTTAATTCACCAATTGATAGGTCCATCCTTTCTAATTGCTTCATACAAAACTATGAATCCAGGTCTCGGGGGAATACTCGATGATCAAAGCTGGCGGGATGCTGAAAATGATTGATGAAGAGAAGGTAATGATGGAGTCCTTGTTGTGTCTCCGAAGAGCTGGCGCTGACATCATCCTCACCTATTTCGCTCTGCAAGCTGCTAGATGTCTGTGTGGCAAAAAAAGGTAAAAGGATCATGTACAATCTCGCTATTGAGTGAACCCTTTTTTTTGTTAACTTATGAGATTTAGGTTGACATATTGAAACTCGACCGCCAGTCGTTGTATAAAAAGGGAGTAGAGAATTGAATGTCATTGTCATTCATTGTGTGTGGTTCTTCTGCCTTTGTTTGGAAATTGGACCCCCTTTACTGCTGTTGGTTTCTGCAAAACTTGCAAGAAAAGGAAAAGGAAATATGCATATTTGACTTTTATTCACAGAACTGGAGAGTTTACTTAGTAATATATGGCGTTGCTACTTGCTATTTAGAGCAGAGTCTTAACTCTTAACAGAGTTGTTCTACATTCTCATCCATACCCTATAAGATACCTCTCAGCAATGGCAGCATGTGCTGCAGCTCCGACGGGAAGAACATCTTCGTCGATCATGAAGTGCGGTGAGTGTCCGGTGTGCGTTGATCCCAACGCCTCGTTACGTATCCCGACGTAGTAGAACGCTGCCGGCACCACCTCGGAGTAGAACGAGAAGTCCTCTGCGCCCATCATCGGCGGCACCACCCTGAAGCTGGCTGCACCCAGCAGATCCCCTGCCACCTTCCTCACATGCTCGTACATCCCTTCGTCGTTCACAGTGGGCGGGTAGATCGTCGATTCCTCCTCGAAGAAGTCGACGGTCGCGGAGCATCTGTACACCGCTGCCTGCTGCACGATCACCTGGCGTATGCGGTGGAGGAGCTGGTAGAATGTGGCATTGGAGAATGCCCTGAATGTGCCGCCCAGCACGACAATCGACTCTCCGCTGGTCGTCGAGGATGCGTCGACCGTGGTGACGGAGACGACCTGCGAGTCGAGAGGGTTCGCCTCGCGAGAGATGATTCCCTGCAGGCTGATGATGGCGGCGGAGGCTGCGAGTATGGAATTGCCATGGCGGCGGTTGTGGGGTGTGGTGATGAGTGCTCGGAAGAAGCCGCAGCCGGCGAGCAGAGGGCCCGGCCTGGAGCCGATGACGGCGGTGGGGAGCTCGTGGGAGACGTGAAGTGCGAAGATTGCCTCCACGTTTTCCAGGGCGCCGTCGGCGATCATGCGTTTTGCTCCGTTGCCGGCTTCTTCTGCCGGCTGGAAGATTAGGATCACTGTCCCCTGGAAAATATTACAAAGTACGGTTAGAAAATAGTCGAAAGAATTACGATGTGGGGCAGGAATTATGGAAGGAAAAGATAAGGAACCCGCGGATCGATCTAGACACGGTTGAGCTAATCGGCAATGGGTCACCTATTTAAATTCGGTTTAGCTCGGTTTAGCCCAAAAATATGAAAAAGGTCATTATATTGTATTTACTCTGAATCCAACATAAAAAAAACCGTACTTAAACTCCAATACACTTAAATAACATCAACTTAAATTCAACATAGTAAAAATTCAACAACACTTAGGAAAGAGCAGTCCGCTGACCTGCTCGGACGGGCCAACCACCGGGGTTTGACCGGATTTTCTTGGGTTTGACCATTTCTGGGCTAACTCTCAAATGGGCTATTTTAACCCGTTTTCAAAGCCAAGTCCAGGCCAACCAGGGTCAACCCGCGGGTTAACAACTTTGGATCCACCTTCTCTATCAATTCGTCAATGCAATAGAAATTTCTAGTCTTGTGTGCCGGCCGTTCTTATCGATTTTGGTCGGTAATATATCACTAGCTTAGAAATCGGCCCATTGGCCGATACAACCTTTCCTCAAAACACTTTTTCATGCTTCCCCTTGTTAATTTTTAGCGGTGAGAGTTTTTTAGACATAACGTCATAGTTTTCACCTGATCTGTTTTATTTGAGTTGTTTGACATGTTTTGAGATGAATCATATCTGCTCCGTAGGTGAGACGGGAATGAGTACTCTCCTTAACATGACATGTTCTGACCCGCCCTATTTTATACCTGTTTTGTTTAAATTATATGTAATTTTAATTATATATACGAGAAACTCAAATTCTTGAATAGTTTAATTACATTTATCATATTATAGTTTGTTTCTTGGTGGGGTATGAAAAAATGAATATTTATAATTATTTTCCTTTTAATTACACATATCCATATGGGTCAACCTGCCCCGACCCGTACCCCTTCATGAATTATCGAACTTGAACCCGAACTACTACGGTCAAATATAAGTGTCGAGATACCCTTCCGAACCTGGTCATTTGGAGAGATTATACAATTACAGTAATACCCTTACCAAGGGGAAAACAGAGATTTTGAATTGTACAAAAGTACACGTGTGTCATATATTGATGGGGGATTATTTAACATTTTGAGCATATTATTTTATTTTAGTATTATTTCAATGGCAATGTCCCATTGATATACTAATGACTAATCACTGTTGTATTACTATATGTATTAGTTTTAAGAAGGAAAACCAAGTTTCATGACACTAGTGTCGCAACTCGCAACATATGATGGTGTTGAATAGGAGTGAAACACAGTTTGGTTCGATTTAATCAGACTGTTTTACCTAGTTAACCGAATGTCCATACCTGTAACTGGAGACTAGTTTGAATTGAAAACGGTTTTAATCGTGACCGGATTGAAATGAAGATGGTTCAGTCCGGTTTTAGTAAGAGAACAAAAAAGCCTCCACTCCCCCCCCCCCAAAAAAAATAACATTTAGCCAAATTAATTTAAAAAATTTAAAACCAATTAAAGAAACACACATTTACTCACCCCACATCCCCCCTGAACAACCGTGTTTAGCCAAAATTAAAACCAATTAAAATTAACAGTGTTTTAATCATGACCGGTATTAATCCGCAATCTTTCGGATTCTCTGGTTTAATCGAATTTGGACCAGATCAATATGTTTCAGCCTCCCTACGATCGAAAATTGGATAAATGGCACTACGGTTATCGACCGCAAACGGTCCAATCTTTGGTTTAACAAAAAATTCGTGACTGAATTCCGAGCCCTAGGGTTGATAAGATAAAAGGGAAAATTGAAAATTTGGAGTTTGGAAAGGCACACGCTCCATTGAAATCCGGGACAAGTTTCCGGAGAAACGTACCTCAAAGGAAGAGAAAGAGATGGATAAACTTTCTTTGCTTTTGTTTCTCCAGCTGAGCTATGGACAGAAGAGTAGACCGAGTATACAAATAATAGAGGGGAGGACGTAAAAAACACGTGGTCAAATCAAGTCAAATCAAATTATATTTGCTACGGTCCTGCAACAATTGCGCGGGTTTTCCGTTCCATTTCTCACACGTTCCAATTTTGTCATCTATCATTCCTTCCAATCAGTTAGTAGTTAGTTATTAGTTACCGAACTGTAAACATGCTAGCTAGTTATAGTTAAAGTACAGATTAAGCTAAGTTAATCCTTTCCCGCTCTTTCTCTCTTCGAATCTGTATAAGCTTTGGTATGTAAACCGGACACGGGGTTTTGTGTAGTAATCTTCTTCGTCAGCCAATCGATTAGTAGTTAGGAATTTGATTCTTTATGGCTCTGTTTGAAATTTTCGGTTGTTGAAGCGCTCGTTTGTGAATTTCGAAAACCGAGCAGATGTAGAGGGAGATCGTAACGATCCTCCATATTGTAGGAAATCAATTCCTTTGTGAACCAAATCTCAATTCATTGGTCTGTCTCCTCTATATAATAACAAGAATGAGATAGAATAAAAAAAAAAAGAGAAACATAATTAATTTGAGAAAAGAAAGAACTCAGCCGCTGTGGCTAGCTAGTTGTGGCCAAGAAGAGAACAATTATAATAATTATAATTATAATAATTGTATAATTAATCTGAGGACCACCACCACCCAATTATAATAATTATAATTATTATAATAATTAAGTTGCAAGAAGCACAAACGACAAACGGCACCCAACATTTTTCTTAAATTATATAATAATAATAATAATAATAATAATAATAATAATCAATCAATCAATCATAGTCGGGAGGAAAACAAAAAAGGTATAAGATTCTCATTAGCCTTAATTATACTTAATTGGGAAACAGATTCCAAGTTTTTTTTTTTAATAACCGAATTTGTTTTTGAACCAAAGTCTAACATCCAACGACCCTGAGTTGATCAACCTCCCTACTCCTACTAACTTTTGGGCTTCTACTTATTAATTAGAAAAAAGTGTATTTATATAACATAATCACTCATCCTCAGCAATTACAACGTTTCTTTTCTTTTCTATAGAATATATCGAGAATGCACGCATGCCGGTGAAAACCCAACAACTATACATAGAAAGCATTCATCCTTTTTAAACTGAAAATATAATCGTGCATAGAACTAGTGCTTATAGCTAGATCCACATTTCAAAATTTTCGAAAAAGACACTCGTAATTAGGCGATTTCTGATATGATCTAGATCAGCAGTAGCGTGGGTTGTGATATGAATATTGCTTCTGCCATGTCCTGTCCCATCCCACCTCGTTCTCGACCCTTTCTATCATAATCTGCATTAGTATCTACATGATTTCTTCTCTTTAGACCTTTCCAAAATCACGTTTTCATCCAAAAAAAAATTATAAACTCTATCTTTTAACTATTTATACTCAATTATTTTTCTACTATATTTATCTTTCAATTGTGAAATATTTTCTCTATGTGTTCTTGTAAAAGAATTAATATAGACAATTTTGTTTGAAAATAATATATAAAAATGGATCGACCTATACGTTCCTTTACCTTCGCGCGAGTATTTTTCGATCCGACCTGCGTTAAATGCGAAGCATATATGGGTATTGTTGTACCTTCCCTAACCCACATAATTGTCATCACTAATGTAAATTTGTCACCATTCCACCAAAACATACAAAAAAAAAATCTAATGTATATTTTTTCATAGGAGTCTAATGTATTTTGACTATTTTCTAAATCTGATTAAATCGTCCAACGGTTAAGACCACATGTTTAGATCGACAACCCAAAACGACAACAAGGTCACAAATAACAATTTAAGACACGAATCCCACGTCCAATAAGATCCTTACTTCTTACTACTTTGCTTTTATTAATCCCACCACCCACCATCAAAGTTAGTGGCCACCCCATGCATATTAGCATATATAAAAAGTAATTAAGAATATATTCGTGTACATATGACCAACTATCAAGAAAAATTATCTCAGTTTAATTGCTTGTATAAGGTATAATCTTCCGTGAAATATACCTGTTAATATTTTAATTCATCTCTTGTAAAAGTTAGATAAAATAATAATAATAAAACTACGATAATCGGATTGTGAAGCACAAAATTACGGCGGCCGGAAGTTAAAGCAGATGGATGATAATCATATAAATATCATAACCCTAAAGCATCGGATTGGAGACTTGGAGTCTAATGAGAGCTCTAGCCGATTTTTCTCCTTTCCTTTTCTGCTTCGTTGGATTCCCATTAAACAAATGCCAACTTACAAAACACTCATCCACTTTTCCTTTGATTCCTTCATTTGGTTTTCGCGAATGAAGAAACAAACGAGTGATGCCAAACTGAAAACACAATCGTGCATAGAACAAGTGCTAGCTAGATTCCCTTTTTTAAAAACAATTATGCATAGATTATATAATTAGTGAGCACCCCATGCACATATAAAAAATGAGAATATATTCGTTTTATATATCACCAACTACCAAGCAAAAAAACTAGTTCATTTTTTTATTGCTTGTATAATGTATCATAAGTGATATTAATGATTAAACCGATATAATTGGATCTTTCTTTATCGAGTCGTGAGCCTGACCCATGAATAAAGATCAATTATTGCTAAATTTCATCGAATAAAAACACATAAAATACTATAGTAGATAAATGCCTAGATATTGATAACATCATCACCATCAACACCTCTTGTTTTTTTTTTATCGTCAATGAATGTTATGATTATTGTCATTAGATATGATCGATTGAGTATTAGTTGGATATCGGAGGGACAATATGATATTGGAGTGAGAGTCTTTGGCCGCCATCATTTCCACATTTGATTGTTTTCAAAACTTGGATGAATAACCCTAGTTGCTAGTGATTACCATAAATGTTGATGATGGGTTTTTAGCTACTTAAGATGAATAAACCCACCAAGTAGTCATGATTAACACTAGTTGCTAGTGATCATGGGGAAAGTAGCATCCAATGTGCAAACAAACCCTTCATTGTCCAATCCAATCCCCACAATGAACAAAGAGCCCAAAAATCCCATTCCAAAAGGGGCTCTAGTGCTCACTAGTCACTATTTCTATCATCCAAAAATCCTCTTACCCTAGCTAGTTGTTGACTTGTTCTTTCTTCATCGACCAAAAAACAATAGAGGTAGTTGCCAAGGACCGACTTTCCCGGCCCTTCCCTTTCTGCTACGATATAATCGAAGTACCACATCGAACATAGAAAGAGAGAGAAGACCGCTGATCAAAGCTCTTATATATTAGTGTCCATCTAGTTCAATCCGTACGAGATTTTTTTGGGAGGATATCTACAAAGTAAATCGGTGCAATCTTGAGCCAAAACGAACAATATTGTACCGACGGAGGTTCGGAGAGACATGCTCAAGGCAAAAGATGCCCCCACACAAGGAGAGAGATAGGGAGAGAGAGAGAGAGAGAGAGAGTGGTCTTGTTTGGGTCACTTTCTCTAGCTAGTTTTTGTGTGGGGATGGCAGTCGGTACAAAACAAAACAAACACATGGCCTATACGGTTGTGTGATGCAACATATTAATAATATCTATTCAAAAAAGCCCCCCGGAATAGAGGCATGCTATGCCAAAAGAGAGCCAAGAGGTGCATGTGGAAATGTCCCCATTTCCACCATGAAAACTACTTATCTTGTAAAATCGGAAAAAGTTAGCAGCAATGCGTTTTGTACTGAAATCGTAGTTTAATCGAGTGTCAATCTTTTCAACCGTTTAAAATCACAATCAATATAGCCTTTGAAATAAGTTTATTTTTTTCGATCGAACCAACGAAACAGTAAGATATTCAAAAACACTATTGTGGTCCTTGTGGACACACCTTACTATATATATATAACTAAACAGTCTGCATATATATAATTGGTATAGCTCAAACTGTGAAAAACTAATTAGTTGCTTCGTCTATGTTTTTGAGCTTGGAACGTACCTAGCTTTTCTTTTATAATAATTACATCGCCAATGAAAACTTGATCACCACAGGCTCACTGAATCTCTCACAATAAAAAAAAACCCATCAGTGCCAGGAGAATAGAACTACTCGACCCTTATGGTAGAATTTCAGGCTGAGGGTAAACAAGTGTAAGATTATATTATTTTTATTTTTATGCATGCACGATCCGATTCGATCTGCTATTTATTGCAGCCATATATACCAATATTTTCCATGGTCCATGAAAACCTAAAACCGTAACGCGCGGCGGTTCAGCCACAAAATACCAGTATCAAAGGCTAAATCGATAGGCGGTATTTAACGGTACTGACGCGGTTAAAAACTACGATTAAATCATAAAATACCCTACCGCTGACGTCGACTTTTCCGCGGTACAGTTTCATGTCCTATGATATTTTCCCCTTATTTTCTGCACTGCCGTTTGTATATCATCTGCTCGATGTTAGGTAGAAAGAAACGTACCTCCCCCACCCACGTGAAACAAAAGATTTTTGGAAAAAGGGTACGAGAGTGAATAATAACACACAACATTTTTAAGGAAAGGAACCGATCGAAGCATGGCATGAAAAGACAAGACAAATACGAGGAAAAAGAGCTTGCTGGCTGCTGATCATAGCTGGCTAGCTAAGGCAACGCAACAAAAGAAACCGCACAACCAGCTGGCGGCCGGATTCAAAAATAGTAAACCACAATTCCCCCCCCCCCCCCCCCCCCCCCCCCCCCCCAAAGGATATAGCGGTGTTACTACGAGATCAAACCCTTATTCGCAGCAGATATAGTATAGAATAACTGAAGGGGAAGGACAACCATGCACATGATGACTCGTATGGTCAAACTCTTGTTAGTTATTTTACTGACCTGAAGGAGTTGCTCTCTGGCCTTGAGAATCTTGGCAGCTCCCATCAGCATTGCGACATGAGCATCATGGCCGCAAGCATGCATTTTACCCGCCACTTTGCTCTTGTGCTCCCACTCCACCGCTTCCTGCACCATACATTTACCAAACAATATGGATTCAAAGCTCTTTGGTCAGATCAGATCAGATCAGATCTGAGATGAAAACTCCCTCTCACACTTTCACTCTTTCCTCAAAGTTAGGGTTTCATATACATTATTATTACCTTGTCTTTTCCTTTGTTGTTGTACCCATTTTCCCTCATGGTGAAGGAATCTCTCATTCTCACTCTCCCTCTCTCTCTCTCCCCCTCACTCACTCCCACCAACCCCAAACAAAACCAAACCCAAGTTTTTTTTTCTTTAATGATTATATGTCAGAAAATCTTTCTCATGGTCCTCGAGATTCGAGCAGAGCAGCAGCAGCTTCCAACATTCCTGTGATCTGTCGTATCTTATTACTGAATTCGAGTCAACCTTTTAACAGGTCTACCAATAAATATATAATTCGAAAAGGTGTTTCTGGTGTCAGAACAAGTACGGTTTGCAAATCTCTGTTCAGATCTCATTAAAAAAAAAGAGAGAATGATTTACAGAAAAAAAAATATACACATGCCTATATATATAAATATATAAATTAAAGTAGGGTTCTTCCTAGGGGGAATCTAATTACTCACTCAAAAGTTTCAAGCTAACTTCATCCCAAAAGCCTCCCCTCTTTGAGAGCTCATATTAATCCTCCTTTATCAGATCCATTAGTTAATTAGCTTATCTTTGTAGAAAATATAAGTAGGAATGATGTATGAAGAAGAGATTTTACAACTTGGATCTGAAAAAACTGAAATTAATTTCAGATCTCTATGATCTTGCCAAACCAATTTTTTTTAGAGAAGAAAAGGGAACGAATCAAACCCTAGAAAAAGATCTCCCCTTTACCTTTTCCCTTAAAAGGAAAAAAATAATTAGCAATAATATTGCACCAAAAAAAAAGAAGAATAAAAACCTGAATGGGAAGCGCATCCATATCTGCACGGAGGCCGACGAAAGGTGGGCCGCCGGTCCCGATCCAGGCCCGGATGCCCGTTTGGGCCAGCGGGTATTTGAACCCGACGCCCATCCGCTCCAGCTCGCTTCGTATCAAAGCGCTGGTCCTCACTTCCTGAAACGCCAGCTCAGGGTACTCGTGAATCTTCCTCCTCAAGTTTCTGATCCAGCTCACCGCCTCCGGCAGCCGCGCCAGCTCCAGGACGGCGTCGGAGCAGGACCTCGTCCACACCCGCGGCGGCGGCGGAGGGGGTTTGGCGGTGGAGCGGTTTTTGTTGTTGGTAGATAGATTGGGAGGGTGGAGGTGGGAGTTGGAGTAGTTTAAGGACGGCGGCGGGGGATCGTAAAGGGAAGAGGAGCAAGGGAAGTCGTCGTCGGCGGCGGAGATAGGAGGAGAAGGTAGGATGAGAGTGAAGATCAGTGGTGAGAGTAAGAGGGAGAGTTTTTGTTGTGGTTTCATTTTTTTTTTTCTTTCTCTGGAAGAAGATGGAGATGAGAAGTGAGGAAATGGAGAAAAAGAAGAGAGAGAGAAGGGGAAATTAAAGGAGCTGATGGCAGACGGAGACAGACGAGATGGAGAGAGAGAGAAATAGAACACGTGTGGATAGAAGGATAGGCATCATTAGGGGCACGTGGGAGAATTCATATTCCTTGGCCATTTTATTGATATTTTTTTTGCTTGCATCTACCTACCTAGGAATGGCAATCAAACCCATGACCGCGCGTATCCGACCGCCCCCGACCCGGTCAACGCGGGTAATTCCTGCTTTGACCGGATATGGGTAAAACTCGCAAAAACTTTGATGGGTATGGGGCGGGTTTGGTTTTATCCTCCCCGCGCAATACCTATACCCGCCCCACCAATAGAATTTCTACATATATAAAAAAATATGTGCATCAAATTATAATCTATCAATGATGATAAGCATAACTTGAGAAAATAACTAGTAAAAATGCAATTGAGTGACCATCTTAATCAAAATCTAATTCATTTCTCTCAATTCTCATTTCACTCTTTCACTTTCCCCTTGTCAACAAGATTATATTAGCTAATTATTACTTAGTAGAGTTATAATTAAAAAATTTCTTGTAACTTTTAGGTATAATAATGTTGGATACTTGGATGTACGGGTATGGGTATTACCCATGGGTACCCGAAACCCACGTGTATAGGGATGGGTTTGCAAAACATTCTCCTGCATGGGTATGAGGCGGGTATGGGTTTGGATATTTGAAAATGGGGATGGGGATGGCTTAAGCAAACCCACCCCAAACCCGCCCCATTGCCATCCCTACATCTACCTACTTTTTCAGTACTTTACCGTCTACGCTAAAGTACGGGTAGTATAGTGTTATGTGCATTTATTTAATAATATAATTATTTTATTAAGAGTTGTTACGGGGGAGGGATTATAACGTAATTAGTGAGTTAGTGGTTAGCTAAGATTAAAGGAACTATAATAGTATTTAGAGCATCCACATCAATCCAACTCTTCTCTTGTAGAGTACTACTCCCTAGCCATCGAGTTGCTGCTCGGGTTCCTCTCATTGATTTTCTCCGGAATCTCGAGCATGTAAGGAGTTCATGTTTTCGTCTGAAAAATGTTTTCCCAAAGATGTGATTTCCCCCCATTTTCTTGGGATCTCCATTGGCACACTGGAGAGTCCCTCAATGGCTCTCACAACAGTACTCCAGAGCTCAACTCTCTTATATTCATTTAGACTCGCATGAACCATTGTTATGTGATATGGCACACTGCCCGTCATTGTACATTTGAGGTGCATATACAGTTTGTGCCTATCTAGCACTTCCATCTCCATCCTTTTTCTATTCCATAGGCTCCAAATCCCACCGATGAAACTCATTGCATCTGAAACTTCCCAAGTATCGAAGCCTAGTGACATGATGACTGATTCAACCTTCTTGCCGCTAATTCTAGGTTCAAGAATGCAGAGCACACCAAGTGCAAAGTTGGCCTGGTAAAACTCGCAGGTAGAGTGAACTTAGGGAGTTTTGCACTCTTGGAATTCTAGGTAAAGGTTTTAGCAATTAATAATGTAACAGTTGAGAACCTTCCCTACATAGTTGTCGACTATTGATAATCTATCGAATAAGGGGTCGGTGCAGCCGTGCAGGGATGGTCATCTTCTGCACACCTGGCTCAACCACACAAAAGCTATATCCATGAGTTCTTAGGCATTTTCATGTTGTTTTTTACCCCTCCCAAGTTTAGTTCAAAGTTGATATTCCTTGGGTAGCTTCGTCTAGTTTCTTGGTTGCTCGATTTCATCTATGGGGTACCAGTACTTTACTTACTCACCATCGGTTGCTTGATCTTGGCTTGGTGCCTTGATTTCGCTTATTACGAGTCCCTGTACCTTTTTGTACATGTCGTATAGTTGGAGTAGTGCTTTGTTATTTTTTGTATCACGTAACCCTAGCTACTGTTGATGGGCTTCGTGTATTTAGCCTTCCCATTAGGGTTCGGCGGCTGTAACACTAGAGAGTAACCTAGTGAAGTTTGTTTCGAGAGCTGTAGCTCTCCGTGGAGTAGTCTCGTTCACGTTGAACGGGGAAACCACGTTAAATCGTCGTGTTCGTTTCCTTTCCGCGTTTGGTTTTCTACATGGTATCAGAGCTGTGACAAGATCGTTCTCGTTTCCGTTGTGCTGCAATGAGTGCGATTTCCAGTTCTTCGCCTTCAACCCCTGGTGATGACTCAACCAGCGGCGGCGGCGGTGTTCCCGGTGGCGGTGGCGGCGGGTATGAAACAGATCCCGCCTCCCCATATTTCTTGAGTCAATCCGACAACCCTAACCAGTTGTACGTTGGGGAGCTCCTGACCGAGGTGAATTATGCCGACTGGGTGTATGAGATGACGACCTCGCTCTTAGCTAAAAATAAGCTCGGCTTCGTGGACGGGTCGCTCGAGGAGCCGTCTGATCCGGGCCGGGTGCGCGCGTATCGCCGCGCCGACGCCATGGTAAAGGGGTGGTTAACCACCGCCGTCGATAAGCAGGTTCGCCGCGGGATGCGTCACGCCAAGACCGCCCGTGACGTGTGGATGGACTTGAAGGAACGTTTTGAAGTGAGCAGCCATCCTCGTGTGTACGAAGTTCGCCGCAACATCGGTCGTCTACCACAGGAAAAGCTGTCCGTCTCCGAGTTCTACACACGCCTTCGTGCACTATGGGAGGAGCTTCAAACAATGGCGCCTCTCCATCCTTGTACCTGTGGTAAGTGCACATGCGGGCAGCAGCAGAAGAACCAGGAGCGTGAGGAACACTTTCGTTTGTACGACTTCCTCATGGGCCTAGATGAATCCTTCTCTACGGTCAAGACCCAGGTGCTCTCCATGCCTAAGATGCCCACTCTCTCCGAGGCATACCAGCTCGTTTCTAGCGACTATCACCAGCGTCGTATCGCCGCGGGAAACCGTGCAGCCCCAGAAGCAGCTGCATTCTTCTCGCATGATGATCCTGGTCGTGGTGATGACGGTCAAGGTGAGAAGCCGCGTTGCTCCCATTGCGGCAAACAAGGTCACTCCAAGGATCGCTGTTTTGATCTCATCGGATGGCCGGAAAAACTCGCCTCCAAGTCCGCGAAGGGAGGTCGCAAGAAGTCTTCGGATCGCCCTCGTTCTGGTCCGAAAGCGGCCCAGGTCGCAGCCACCGCAAGTTCCATTCCCGGCCTAACCGCCCAGCAGTTTGAGAGCCTCAAGACATTCCTCAGTGGTGATTCGAAGGGGCAGCTTGACGAGGTCGGCAAAATGTCAGGTACTTCCTCTCTCTCCTCTGCCGAATGGGTTATTGACACAGGTTGTAACCAGCATATCACTAAGGATGCTGGCCTTTTATCTGCGGGTCATCATGAGCCTGGGCTCGCGGTTCGTATCCCCGATGGGGGAGCTATTGATGTTCAGCGTGTTGGTTCTGTTCAGTTAGGCAACGGGTTAATACTACCTCGAGTTTTGCTTGTTCCGGAGTTTAAATGCAACCTGCTTTCCGTTAGCCAGCTCACTAAACACTTCCCAGTCGCGTTGATTTTCTTGGGGGATTTCTGTTTTATTCAGGACTTGCACTCCAAGACTCTGATTGGGATGAGTAAGGAGCGCGATGGCCTCTATTATTTGCGTCTCTTTGACCACGTCAGGCAGGCCATGGTGTGTGCGACGCAAGCAAAAGGGGGTGCCAGTCTGTGGCACTCGCGTCTCGGTCATCCAGCACCGGAGAAACTACATCGTTTGAACTTTGTTCCTAGTTCTAGTCGGATAAGAACAGACTCTTGCTCCCATTGTTTGTGAGCTAAACAGTCGAGAACTCCTTTTCCGTTGGGGGTCTCTCCCCGTAGTACAGTTCCTTTTGAGTTAATTCATGTGGATATTTGGGGTGGTTACAGAGTGGCATCGTTGAGCGGTGCTCATTATTTTTTGACGATTGTGGATGATTTTACACGTGGTACATGGGTTTATTTGATGAAGTTTAAGTCAGAAGTTGGGAAATATCTTGAGCTATTTTGTCAACAGATTAAGCGCCAGTATGGGGCTGTTGTCAAACGCATACAGGCTAATAATGGTGTCGAGTTTCAGACAGTTCAGCTTCGCGATTATTACGCTCAAGAGGGCATTCTTCTTCAGACATCGTGTGTGGACACACCTCAGCAGAACGGCATTGTCGAGCGGAAGCACCGTCATATCCTGGGGACGGCTCGTGCTCTTCGTTTTAACGCTCATTTGCCCATTAAGTTCTGGGGTGAGTGTGTGCTGACTGCCGTTTACCTCATCAACCGGTTACCCTCCTCTCTCGCTCACCACAAATCGCCCTACGAGAGCCTTTATGGCCGTCCGTCCTCTTATGCCCACCTCCGTGTTTTTGGGTGCCTTGCCTTTGCTAAGGACACTCGTCCTCACTTGGACAAGTTCGACGAACGTGGCCGTGCCTGTGTTTTCATCGGTTACCCCGAGAGTCAGAACGGTTACCGCCTGTTTGAGCTTCGATCTCGTCGTTGTTTTACCAGTCGTGACGTTGTTTTTCAGGAGGAGCAGTTTCCTTTTCAGGTGGTCTCGTCCCCCAGTCACTCCCTTCCATCTACTTCGCCAAATGAGCCTCCAGTACTTGCTGCCGATCTTCCCACTTCGTCCATTCCTGAAGTGGCCGAGACCCCTGTCCCTTCACCAACTTCCGAAGCAGCCACTCCGCTCGAGATCATGGAGCCCAGCTCCCCCGGCCTGTTGACAGCCGCACCGCCCGCGGAGAGCACCCCAGAGACGAACGCCACATCCCCTGGGACTTCCACGTGCTCGGCTCCCTCTCCTGTCGTGGTTGCGGACCCAAGTCCAACTCCTCCCGTCGCGGTGCGACGCGGCGATCGCCTACGCCGTCCCCCAGAGTTCCTCGTCACCAATTACGAGGTCAAGTTACCGGCTTCTCAGTTTTGTACTTCCCCTCCTGTTGCACATCCCTTAGCCGATGTTATCAGTTCTCATCGTTTGTCACCCTCCTATTGTGCTTTTTTGGCAGCTGTAGATCGTCATCGAGAGCCACGCAGCTTCAGCGAGGCTGTTCGCTATCCCTGGTGGCGCGAAGCCATGCAAAAGGAGATCTCAGCCCTTGAAGCACATGGCACCTGGGATCTCCGTCATCCCCCTGCTGGTAAACGCATCGTGGATGCGAAGTGGGTGTTCAAGATTAAGTACCGGCCCGATGGAACCATCGAACGATACAAGGCTCGCCTCGTGGCAAAGGGGTTTACACAGGTGGAGGGTATTGATTTTCATGACACCTTTGCTCCAGTCGCGAAGTTAGTCACCGTTCGTTGTGTTCTCGCCGTCGCTGCTCAGCTCGGTTGACACCTGCATTAGTTGGACGTCAACAACGCATTCCTCCATGGTGACCTTGAGGAGGAGGTTTATATGCGTGTTCCACAGGGTTTTGCCAAGTTTGGTGATACCCGCGTCTGCAGGCTCCGCAAGTCGTTATATGGGTTGAAGCAGGCAGGGCGAAACTGGTACAAGAAGTTCACTACTGCCCTTCAGTCTATTGGTTTTCGAGCATCTAGAGCCGATCACTCCCTCTTCACATGTCAACAAGGTACAAGCTTCACCGTTGCCCTTATCTATGTTGACGATGTGATCCTTGGTGGAAATGACTTGGCGTTTATTGCTCGGGTAAAGCAGTTCCTTGACCGCAGTTTCAGCATCAAGGATCTTGGTCAGTTGAGATATTTCCTTGGCATCGAAGTCGCGCGGTCTTCAAAAGGCATCTTCCTCTCCCAGCGAAAGTATGCCCTTGACATCCTTGCCGATACTGGAAATTTGGGTGCTCATCCCTGTGCTTTTCCCATCGAGCAGAACCATCACCTCACACGCATTGAAGGACCCGCAGCCGCTGATCCTAAGTCCTACCGCCGGCTAGTTGGGAGGTTACTATACCTCACTGTTACTCGACCTGACCTGACCTATGCTGTTAACATACTCAGTCAGGCAGTCCACTCCCCTCGGCAAAGCCACGTTGATGCAGCTCATCGTGTTCTCCGATACCTGAAGAACTCCCCAGGCAAGGGCATATTCTTTCCCGCCACTGGCAGTCTTACCCTCAATGCATACTGTGATGCCGATTGGGCAGGTTGTCAACTGACTCGACGTTCCACCACCGGCTATTTCATGACGCTGGGAGGCAGTCCCATCTCTTGGCGAACTAAGAAACAGACTGTTGTTGCTCGCTCTTCTGCAGAGGCCGAGTACCGGGCAATGGCCAATGCAGTCAGTGAGGTTATCTGGCTACGTTCCCTTCTGCGCGAGCTTTGTGTTCCCGTTCACCATGCTACACCGTTATACTGCGATAACCAGGCTGCACTCCACATCGCAGCTAACCCTGTTTTCCATGAGCGTACGAAGCACGTTGAGATGGACTGTTATTTCGTTCGTGAGCGTGTTGCTAGTAACGAGATCGAGCCACGCAAGATTGCCACTACTCACCAGCTTGCAGACGTGTTCACAAAGGGCTTGGGTGCCGACCAGTTCACTACCTTGACATCCAAGCTTGGCCTTCATGACATTCATGCCTCCACTTGAGGAGGAGTATTACGAGTCCCTGTACCTTTTTGTACATGTCGTATAGTTGGAGTAGTGCTTTGTTATTTTTTGTATCACGTAACCCTAGCTACTGTTGATGGGCTTCGTGTATTTAGCCTTCCCATTAGGGTTCGGCGGCTGTAACACTAGAGAGTAACCTAGTGAAGTTTGTTTCGAGAGCTGTAGCTCTCCGTGGAGTAGTCTCGTTCACGTTGAACGGGGAAACCACGTTAAATCGTCGTGTTCGTTTCCTTTCCGCGTTTGGTTTTCTACATCGCTCATGTGGTTTGGGTCGTGTCACTTTCTGTCTTTTTGTGATCAGGTACAAACTGTCCTTGATCCTTCTTTAGTATTCTTCAACTTGCTAACGCGGGCCTGGTAATGAATTTCCTTTCGCTTGACTCGTATTCTCGTTGTTTGACCGTGACGACTGTTGTTCAGGTTTATTGGCTGGGAGCCTTGGATCTTTGCAGGTTGTTATTCATGATTGACTTCTGGTTCTCCTTTTTTGTGGCTTTTTCCAAGTTTCTTTTGCTCATTTGTTGTTTTCCCTCTTTGATTCTCCTATTTTTTTCTCTCCGTTGTATTTTCCTTTAGACTTTCCTTCTTTCTACTCTCTCCCATCGGTGTGTTGTCTTGCTTCCCTTGTGCCAGTGTCTTCTTGGATTTGTTCAACAAGAGATGTATTCACCTCTTCCACCTTCACCTCATGCTCATCTTTCTCTTATGTCGGGCACTAAACCTTGACCCTGACTTAGTGGACTCCCCAACCTTTGTCACATCTTTGTTGCCCCTATCCTGCTTCCCATTGTTGCTTAGTTTTTCTTCTTTGTCATTTTGCAAGCATCCATGACCCGAAGTCTCCAAGAAATCTCCGAAAGAACCTTTCGGATCGGCCTAGTGTAGTTACTTTCCTTTGTTTTTTTTTTCAACGAGGGTTTCTCCATGCTTAATTGTGACCGAGCATTTGTATTCAAAATGTCTGTAGTGCCCACATTCAAATCACATAGTGCGTAATCCCTCATATTTAACTATTCTTACTCTTCTTTTGATTATGTACTTGGATGTGAGTCTTTCCATAGATCAATTTCCACACATATGCCCGCATAATTCTACCTAAAACCGTTTGTTGTATTGTAGCCAATTTTTTCACTCGTCCTAGTTTGTAACCAATATCTAGGAGAAAATCTTTATCAAAATATGCAAGGGGAAGGCGGGGGAGACTTAACCAGACTATAGGTCTATTTATTGAATTGAAAAAGGGTAAAAATTCAGCCTCCATGGCTCCGGTGCAACATAGTGGTCTTCAATTGTCTAAGACCCTCCATAGAGAGAGCTCTATCGTGATCCAATTGTGAATAAAAAATTACTTGATAGTATCCATTCCTGATGTTCTCGATTTTAATTCGACTCGACTTAGCCAACAACCTCTAGAGTTTCATGTTGATGAGGCAAAGGGAAAATTCTTACCCATGACTCCAAAGGTGATTTCACGGTTCTAGTGATTGTGAATATTCACGTTTGTTCTCTTTTTATGTGGATTGTCGGTCAGTTGGATCATTATCCCTGTCTTCTTTGTCTGATTCATTCGACATTAATTCATCACCCTCTGGGATATCAATTGGCGCGTTGATCCTCAAACCACAAGCAATCGTTTTAGGAAACCTTTGCTCGCTTCGATACCAAGTCCCTCACAGAAACCAAGTTCTCTGCTTCTTTGCCCAACTCTTCATAGCTTCTTGCTTAGTCTTGTGCTCTCGTCGTTTCAACAACGTATTCCAATAACCCCTTCGCCTGAAAAGCCTACACTTGTGATTGCCTTTGCTTTCTTGCTTGGTTGTACAGACGATGAATTTGAGAACCATCGTACGGTTACAAGCAATGTTCATCATCTGCCATCGAAGGCTCACCTCCAACGATTATTAACGCGAAAAAGTGTAGAGGGAAAATAGGAGAGACTAGAAAACTCTCTCTTTGTTTCTCGACCTTTCCCATAGCAATCTTGAGATCACCCTGATGAATGACATGAATTGAATAATTTTCTCATTGATGGGACACAGTAAATCATAGAATTTCTTCGAATTTACAAATGCTGCAAATCTATCCCAAGATTTTTCAAAACTCAGATTGTGACCTAAACTATTTTTGAATTACAATAAGGAAACCACTTCAAAGAATAGGATCGGATTCCAGGCAGATGAAAACGATCTTGGGTTTCTAAATTCTCGCAACGAATAGTTGGCTCGGATTGAGCATATTTCAGATTGACATGACTATAATACCCCTGATAAACAAATCGCCTAATTTTCCCGCAACAGTTATAAAAAATATCCAGTCGGGAACACAAAAGCGCCGGCAGAGAGATCAGAGCGAGAAGAGAGAAGATGGCATCTACGGAGACGACGGCGGCGGCGAAACCAGAGACGCCGGCGATAGTGCACAACGAGAAGGAAGGGAAGTTCGAGACGGAGGACAAGGAGGCCTACCTCCAGTACGTGATGCGGAAAGAGAAAGTAATGGACATCATCCACACCTTCGTCCCTCCATCGAAGCGAGGCCTCGGTATGGCTTCTCACCTCTGCGCCGCCGCCTTCCGCCACGCCGGCACCAATTCCATCTCCGTCATCCCCTCTTGCTCCTACGTCTCCGTAACTCTCCCTCTCCCTCACCTGTACTTTTCCATTAATGGATCACTCTTCTTCTGATCTGATTGAAATTCCCCTATATCACTCAATTGCTCTTGTTAGGTAAATCTATATTAAGGGCTTTAACCGATTATGGTCTGGAGCTGAGATTCCCAAATTGCTTTGATTTTGAGTTAAATGATCGAGAATTGCAAATCTTTTGGATGATAGCATTGCAAATCTCCAGTGGGATGTTGGTGTAGATTGAAAAATCATAGACGTTCTGTGAACATTGTAGCGAAATTGCTCAGTTCATATGTGCACCTCTACCCTTGAATTTTTTTGACCTAGAACGCTGATCGTTCTCTCCTCTGCTCTGGTTTGACAGGACACATTTCTTCCTCGGAACCCATCGTGGGGATCGATTGTACACTCCGGAGATCCCAAATCCAGCATATAGCGAAGACGCTGTAACCACCTGTATCGAATTTCGGATTCAAGAAGACGACCAATGAACTGTAATAAGTTCACACTCGCCCACTACGATCGAGGAAGTTCCAACTCTGTTGGAGATCTTGGAGCATCTTCACCTGTGTAGATGGACAGCTATGTAATGTCATGCTGAATTTCACATTTCATACATTGAAATGATTATGAATATGATGCGATGATTCAGTTCCAAGCAATAGCATCGTCTTTTCGACTTTACAGACAAGATCCGAACTCAAAACCAGCTCCGACTAGTTATTGTACAATTCAAAAGCTCAAACTGTTCTACAATACCTACAACCAGAGCGCGACAACGGCCAGATCAAAACTTGTTTCAAAGGATGGCTGAGATTACAAGTTTTTTTCACAACAACAAACACACTTTGCTGTTTTGGAGACCGATAGCCCTATTATTACCGTCACTTTGAAAAGGATTTTATGCTGCTAACATACAGAGAATACATATTTACCGAAGGGCCACGCGCGAACGCAATGCTATTATTTACAGATGGAAGAAAAGGGACTCGAGGATAATCTAGCCAGGGACGTAATAATCCATCTTCTCCACAGGTAGGTTCAGCACACAGGTCTCCACCTGACATTAAGACACGAAGGACCGTGAGCAATCCAACAATTTTACTGGAAAGACTACTAGTTCCAGACTTCCAGGTGAGATTATGATCAAAGTTTTGCAGCGTCGCGTAATGCATACCTCTTCGAAAGGAACAAAGACGAAAGCAGCCAGACCTCTCCTGTGAGATGTACGAGTGATCTCATCCTCCAAGGCATCAACCGCCCCGAGGACCTCCTCCTCCGGTCCACTTATGCCTTCACTGTTCACTCTACTAGTCACGAGCGAGAGCAAATCCATACGATTGTTTGCACCTTGTTGTGTCCCTCTTAACCTACAGCACAAGACAAACACACCACTTGCTCACTATGGGTATGAAGGGAGAGTAGACGGTTGTCAGCCCAAGTATGTTACTTTATGGCCACAAGCTCAAATAATGATCTACCAACTGAAGATTCTACCAAATTTATAGTCTCTAACATTCATTTAACCATCAGAATATTAGAAGATAAATCAATCAAGGATGTGTGTATCAGGTACCTTAAGCGAATTTTCCATAAAGTAGGACGCAACCCAGGATACAGAAAAGCAGCTTCAACCTGAAACCAAAGGGAAAAGCAAGAGCAGGATAAGAAATGTGGTCTGCACTCTTTAAGGAACAACCGAAAAGACAAAAATCTCAATGTAAAAATTAGGGTACAATCAAGAACAACAGAAGAAATCCCATTATTTTGTTGATAGTCAAAGAACAATACCTGATCATCATTCAGAGAGTAACGACCGGTGAATAAACCATCACCTTTAGCTGCTCGAAAGTTCATGTATTTCGCAACATCTTTGACCACTTGAGAAGAATTCTGAAAAATTGCAAATAGTGTGTAAGGAAATGGTACCCCCTTACCAAACTATAGCTTTTCCAGATATCATGAGCATGAACAAGCTTACTTTGTAGAGGAACCTCCCTGAAGATGAAAATCTCATGTAACGGAAATAGCAAACCTTCAAAGAGAGAGAAGCGCAGCAGAAAGTCAAATCATCATTGTAAGTACTGCATGACAACTAAACAAAAAACAAAAGCTATTCTCTTGTCTCCTCTTTATCGTTTAAGAAGTTTCTCTTGGATGCCAACTAGCAACACAAATAAAAAACGTATTCTGCATCCCCTGCAAGCCTAAAACACAATGGCTGACAGTATTGATAACAGATTGATAGTACTCCACATGCACAACCAAACAGCTTAACTATGCAGACAAATCACAGACCCATACTCAACCATTATATCTTCGAAGAGAGAGTCTGACAAGATTCCAATACATATGTCAACAACTTGATATAGATACACCTAGAACACCTCCAGGATATGTACATGACTTTGTGTTTATATAATTGATCCACTTTAACCATCATTCTGCTAATGCACTTTACACATTGCATCAGGTCAAATTTATCAAATGTTTCAACAGACAAGTTGGAAGGTAAATCTATCAGCTAGAAAGAGTCATAGAAGCATACCAGATGAACTGGATTGGTTACGCTCCACTCTCGCACTCCAGCTCGAATATAAGTGTTCCTGCTCACATAGAGGCCTAGCAAGTAACGCAAGAAGAAAGTTCAAGTTTTGTTTCAAAAAATCCAAGAAAATCAAACAACACGCAGTTTACAAATATCTCATACCATCAGTGCGGATCCTGGGTCTTAAAAGCCACATTTTTCTCCATGAACTCTCGTATTTTGACTGCAAAACTTTATAGTTCTCCACGACCCCAAACAACTACACAAATAGTTTGAAAGGGCCACATTGTAACAATTTTATAAACCTGGAAAGCTGGCAAGAACAATATAACTGCTGGAAATTTACATGCCAAGCCTTCAAGCACGCATTTCTCCACAGAACAGGGCTACGAATAGCATATCTCCACTTTCTGCATACACAAGCTCCCCTTCCCAAATCATAGGGATTCATCCGTGCGAATACCTGCATAAGAACAAGCATTATGAAGTCCAACTAGATAACAAAGCACCAAATCGTCTACTCTCCTTGTTTGTTCTCATATTCCTAATGATCAAATAGAGGACCAATAATTCGAAATGGCAGTGCAAAAAGCCCCCAAAGTGTATCAAAGAGCTACCTCGAAGAGCAACTCATCGGGCAAGGAACGGTGAATTAGCGCTGGATCAGCATCTAGTCTCCTACTCGTGCTCCCAAATGGCGCAACAGGACGTACGTGGATTCCATAGAGATCTAAAAATGCACAAACCTTCAATGCATAAGCAACCATAGCACATCACAAAAGAAACACACTCATGCCTAATTACGAAACTGATCAATTCATGTCTTGCTCCCATTATTACCGAGCCACGGCCTCCGGGTGTCGAAGTAGCGCACAGTCCTCATCTGCAGAGCCGACTCCAGCTCCGCGGGAACTTGCAGAGCAAAATCTGCAAAAGCAGGCCATCAAATCATTAACAGAGAAAAAAAAATCATAAATTTTCGATCAGGTAATAAGCTTATGAGCAAGGTCATCAGAAATTCAGAACCAAGTGCGACTCTCTAACATTTCTACCGCCGGCAATTTCATTTCAAATCGACGTGTCTCGTATCCTAGCTCGGCAACCGACCTTAGTTGTGGCTGTGATTGTTAATTGCGCCATCGAATTCGATAAAAAAAACACGGAAGAGGTCGAATTACCTGAAGCCATGTCGCCGACGGAAGATTCAGGTGGTCTGCCGGAGATATTAGAAGCGTTCTTTTGATTTGCCTTCTCGCCCCGTTCCGCCTTTTCTGGAGAATTCTTATTTTTTCAGCGGGGAGGGAAAAAGAGAGGGGCCGAGAAATGAAACGAGAGGCGCAGAAGAGGGAGACGAAGAGAAGAAATGGGAGAAGGAAATTATAGTTACTTTATATTATTACCTCATAAACGAGGAAAACTACCGCTAGCCGACTATTGTTTGTTATGCAATCAGGCTATGTGCTCGGAGCCACTTTGTGAGACTGTGCACATTGAGTAGGGATGGAAAAGGATCGGATTGGGCTTTGTCAAAATCAAACCCAAATTTATGGATTTATCTGTTAAAAAAATTCGGGTAAAACCTGCTGGGTTTGGAAAACTCAAATCCAACCCGCTGGATATCCACGGGTTCATGGATACCCGTGGGTTTTTATGGTAAAAAATTTACAATAACAAGTTTCTTTCAAAATAAAAGTTTAACATCAATTTTCTCATACAAATTATTCATACAAAAAACACCAATCTAGAGCATACAAGCAAACCGCAAAATGATCAATACAAATTGTTCAAAATTAAAGATAAACATCTATCAACAGTAAGATTAATTGAGAGCTTCTTGTGCGTCAACTAAGTTTCTTCACTCTCCACTCCATAATATCAACTTCATTCTAAACAATTAGAAAGAACAAATTATACATGTCTCCACAAACATAAAGAATATTAGTTGTTTAAGGAAGATATATTCAAGATATATTATTTAGAATATTAAATATACCGTGAAAGTAATTATGTGTGTGAGCGGGTACCCATGGGGCGGGTTTACCTAACCAAACCCAACCCAACCCAGTGAATAGTATAGCAGGTTTAAACCCAAACCCGACCCAAAATCCATCAACAAGGGTTTTACCCGCGTTGATCAGGTTGGGTCGAATGGGTACCCGTGGGTTCGGATTTTGTTGCCAACCCTACATATGAGCACGGGGTCGAAGGTCGATGAATCGTATACCGATTAATCGCGACCGTTGAATCCATGCAGTGTTGATTATGTAAATACAATGTGTACCGTTGAATCCATGTCGTCTTGATTATGTAAATACACCGTGTTTATCTAACGGACGTGATGTGACCGCATATCACTATCGCATGTACTTTTTAGTACGATTAAAAAAAATGATTGTTAGTATTTTGGCAAAATTGATTAACCTAATCTTCAGCCGTGCATAATCTTGTCGTCAATAAATATGATTAACCCAATCAGTATCCGCCACATTAGCACCCTTTTTCTTTTCTGAAAACTCTTTAATTTTTTCCCTTGATCTTTAACGGACTATTTCTCACTCGTTTTAAGTCGAATTTTTTTTTTTTTTTTTTGCACAGTTAGATCAGATTATTTGTGCTCTTCAAAATGATATTCACTTTGATATATTTTTGGAACAAAAAAAAAATGAGCCAATTTTTACCAGTCTATACCATATGGTATTGACTGGTATTGAAATAAGAGCATATCATATGGTATGAAAAGCGTACCATGGTGATATGAACATACCATGACTGTAGGATGGTTGAATACATGATAGTAGGAGTATACAAATTGTCATTTACGACTTCCAATTTTGTGTACCACAAGATACAATCTCGTACCAAGGTGGTATTGTATTGTGTGGTATTTTTTGTTCCTGTATTTTGTTCACCCATAAATTTGTAGATTCAATAGATCATGATGAACGCGTTCCTTTTGTGCAAAAAAATTCAAAAACGACTTCAAAACGAAGAAGATACATATGGTATGCAGTTGGTAACGAGAGGCAAGAAATTTTTTTCCTAAAAAAATATTGAAAATAGATCTCATTTTGTAAAGCACAACGTACTCGTTCCATCTGTGCAAAAAAAAAAAATTGAAATTCAAGTTAAAACTAAGAAGATATGCATCAATTAAAAATACAAGGGAAAATAAAAATGTCTTTAATTCAACACTCTTAAATTTCGATTTTCTGAATAAATGATCTAGATTTAGTTACTGAGCCAATATCACTGGATAGCTTAATTGAGCATTCTATCCCAAAACCCTTTGCTAAAGCTAATATAACTGCTGGAAGAGGGCGAAGAGCCTTCTCAAACTTCTCATACCTGCACCAATTTCTTCTTCACGATTGCGTTAAAGGAAAGGTAAAATTACGTACATGCATGGTGAAGGGTTATACGTGTTAGTACTGTGGTATATGATTACGATTGTACATCTCCCAACAATTCGAGTTATTGGGATCAACTGGTTCTTGAGATTGTATCAAAGCCTTCTGTGACTGAGAGTTCTTGTGTTCGATTCCCGGTGACCCCCATTTGTTAAGCACAACTGGTTCTTGAGAATAAGAACATATTCATCTTTACCGGGAAAATTACTACAGCAACAAAACCGAAAGGTTAAGACAGCGACGAACCCACTAATTTAAAAAACTCTAATCTTCGCCTTCATCGGTAACGAACTTGCCAGTGCCAGGGTTCAACGCGGCAATGAAGAAGAACAAGACATTGAACAACACCAACGGCTCGATCTCGTTGATCGGGATCCCGGTCTCGATGTTCAGCTGCGCCAGAGCTCCCTTCCCCGTTATCACTTCTCCGATCAGCGAGAAGGCAATCCCCAGCTGCGCCAATCTCCCCACGAACAGCTCGTTCGCCTTCGTGAATCCGAACAGCGGCCCTTTTCAACGAAACAAAATGTACAGATTCAGTCGACTGATCATCTTGTTTGGAGAAACAGAGAGATTAGATTTTACTGTAACGAAATTACCTCCTTCGGGAAGGCCCAATGTGGCCCTGAAGCTTTTGCCAGGGGGGATGACGGCCTTGTCGAGCCCTGTGGCCTCTTCGTCGACGAAGCGTCCTCTGTCACCCAGAGCTCCAATGGCGCCCAACAGGGTGAAGAGGATGAAGAACAGGAGGAGCGGCTCGGCTTCGTAAATTGGGATTCCGGTTTCCAGGTTCAGCTGGGATAGAATTCCCTTCCCTGTTACAGCTTCCCCTAGCAAAGATGCCTGCAACCATTCATATCAAACACATTACACAATCACTTCTGCAACTGAGACTCCAATACACCACCTCAAAGTCGCGTGCCACTATCGTGTTATCATGATATCGCTGGACTATAATTCTATCAACAATTTTACGGACCAACCTTTTCACTAATAGATGACTACCCAAATTTGTTTCTACACTTGAAGACTTGGGAAATCGATCAACGAATCCACGAATCGATTCGAACCGACCAGCTTAAAGTTGTCGTGCTACCTCAAATGCTCAAAGAGTCTAGACCAAAGCAACATACTTCGACTTCAATTTGTTGAAGATGTTACTAACAAGACATAGGAAAATTGAGAAAACAACGAACGATGTTTGCCACAGTATACTGTTTAGCAGAAACTTGGAGAAGAAAGGGGAAATAAGACTCACAGCAAAGCCAATCATGGCGACGCGTCCAACGAAGAGCTCATTCTGCTTGGTGAAACCAATACCTCCGGATGTCCCAAAGATACCGTCCTCAACTTTGGGCTTCGGTGGAGGAGCCTGTCCATGAATACACATAACTGAATTCAACATTTCCACAACAACAACAAAACAGAGCAAAGAATGTTCAAAACAGAGTCTGGGTTTTACCTTCTTCGGGACAGCCTTGGTTTTGGATTTGAATAGAGCGACAGTGGAGAGCGATCTGGAAGAAGAAGGGAGTGGGCTGTAGACGAGATGAGAAGCGAATGAGCTGGGCTTCACTAAACTTTGGTGGAGCTGCTGAAACTGAAGCATTGAGTCCCTCTTCAAATCCACTGCTGGCCTTGTGGAAACCCCTGAAGAGAAGAGCATTGCTTGAGACGCCATTGGAGTTGCTGCTTATGTGGGTTTCTGGCTGGAATTTTTCGTCTCCTTGAGCTCTCTTTTGTTCCCCTCTTTCCTTTTCTGTCCTCCTGGGAGTTTTTGTGTGGTGAAGAAGTAGGGGGTGTAAGCAAGAAACAGGGAGCTCTGTTCGTTTTTTTGTTCTTCACAAAAGAGAAAGAAATGAAAATTGAGGGTTTTAGAAGGAAAACAGAGTGTTGGATGAGTGGATTTGAGGAGAGGGTGGTGTGTGGATATGGTGTGTAATCTAATGAAGGGCAAAGAGAATGACCACGTCTCTCTCTCTGGTTTCATTCACTCCACTTATGATATGTTGCTTCTAATTTGTGACTTGTAACTAGGGATGTCAATCCAACCCGTAATCATGGGTATTCTACCCGATCGTAACCGGTTAACGAAGGTAATTATCCGCTTTGACGGGTTAAGGGGTGAGTGCGGGTAATACCCGGTTTCAAAATAAAGGGTAGGGTACGGATATGGTAATCGATAATACCCGCCCGTTATACCCGCCCGCTAACCAAATGGTCAATTTCCCTTGAGAAATTTAGTTTAGCTTGAGAAATTGAGTTTAGCTACCATTATTGATGATGAAGATGTAGAAGATTATTATGTTTGTGTGGATTGTAGAAGCAAGATCAATTATTATGTGTTTGCTGTTTTTATTTGTGTGGATTGTTGAAGCTAGAACAGTTACAAGTATTGAGAATTTTTAATAGACAAAAGTATGTATGTGCATATATGTGTATAAGTTCATAGTTTAGGATTCGTACCCATGGTTACCCGAATACCCGTGGTTACCCGGTGGGTAGGGTATGGTTATATAATTTTCATACCAGGTGGTTATTTGGTCGGATATTTTAGAAGGCTCTACCTGGCGGGTTTGGAGTTGGTATAGGGTAAACCCGCACCCGACCCTACCCATTGTCATCCTTACTTGTAACTTGCGAGAGCTTCCAAATATTGTTTGCCCTTTCTAATTTATATTCCGAACAAGAAATCGTATTTATGATATGTATTCTAACTTTTTTTAAATTTTTTGAACCGATTAGTTTCATATGACATTAAGGTGATACTGAAATTCTCAACACAAAAAAGGTGATACTGAAATTATTTTATATAAGAACATCTTTCTGTTTTCCCTTAAAATTCTTCTTTCCGGGTCAGAAAGAAATTAAAAGACTGAAAAAGTAGAACTATGTCTCAGGCTGGGAAGGAGGTAATGATCAAAGATGTGGCTCAAGCCTAAGTTCTTTATCCTATGATGGTTTTTTTGATTCCTGAAGGGACTCTGATGGAAATTCAGAAGATGATCTCTAACTTCTGGTGGGGACATAAGGGGAAATAACCTCCAAATTTTTCATCTGGCTATGTTGGGTAAGCAAGTTTGGAACGTGATTTCTAGACCAAACTCCCTAATGGCCAGAACTCTTAAAGCCAGGTACTTTCCTAGAACTGATATCCTTGATGCTAAAATAGGCTATAATCCCAGTTTCATCTGGAGAAGCATCATGACTGCTAAAGAGAAGACCAAGGAGGGTTTTAGGTGGCGTGTAGGAGATGGTGAATCTATTCGGATCTGGGAGGATCCTTGGATACCAGGAAAGAGCTATTTTTTTGCGGACCCTCAGCCTAATGCCGTGAATTCAAATGAGTTGGTTTCTGAACTCATTGACAAGGAGAGAGGTATTTGGGATCATAACATGATTGCAGGGAAGTTCTCGAGGTTGAATTGCGGCCTTATTTCTAAAATTCCTCTTAGAAGGCCCCTGAGGAGCAATTCTAGGGTTTGGATTGACTTAGATGATGGGAAGTACTCGGTGAAACCAGCTTATAACAGAATCTTCGAGAGTCGTAACCACAATATGACTTCTCGCAATTTTATCACAGACGAGGAAACTAAGTTCTGGATTGGTCTATGGAAAACCTCTATCCCTCCTAAGGTTCGAATGTTCATTTGGAGGATGGGAAGAAACATCTTACCAGTGGGTTGCAACATCGAAAAGTGGAGTGAAGATGCTGGCTTGGAAGGCCCTTTCTATGGACAGCCTGAAGATTAATTGCATGCTCTGAGGGAGTGTGGCTCGGTACGCCGCCAATGGAGTACCTAGGAAGGAAAAGGGTTATTCGAAATGGAAGAAGGAAGAACTTGCTTGGAATGGTTGAGAGAAGTCTGGAGTAGCTCAAGTTTGGATCAGATACAACAATTTAGCGTGATTCTTTGGAGTCTCTGGAAGGAAAGGTGTAATCGCATGTTTAACAACCGCAAGATCGACGAGGACCAGATTATCCCGAAGGCTCTTGGCTGGTTGCATGCGTTCTTGGAAGCTTAGGACCCACCCATCTCTAGCTCTGTGGCCCAGAATCAGCAAAGCAGTTCCAGTGCTTCTTCTGGCTGGATCCCACCCCCAGAGGGGACCTTCAAACTTAATTCCGATGCGGGTGTTCTGAATCAAACGGGTGTTGGCTTTGGTTGCGTCATCAGAGACTGGGAAGGGAAGTTTTGTGGTGCGATGGCGAAGAAAGAAAGAGGATCGTGCAGACCCATTGAAGCAGAGGCAAAAGCAATCGTTATCGTGCTCTGTGAAGCGAATAGAAGGGGTCTCAGTCCTTTGATGGTGGAATCGGATTTCCAATTGTTGATCGGGAGGTCGGAGAATGGGGAAACTGATTTTTCTAAACTCGGTGTCTGGTGCGAAGAGATCAAGAAGTTGGCAAGATGCAACGAAGGATTTTCTGGTGTTGCTGTGAAATGGTGTTTTACACCAAGGAAAAATAACGCTACGGCCCATTGGTTGGCCCATTCTATTACGGATTGGGACTGACAAGTTGTTTGGGTTGATAATCCCTCTTTGAACCTCTTATGTTTGTTGGAGGCTGATTTGAGTGGGCTTAATTGTAACATGTACTAATCTCGTTGGAATTTAAAGCACACAGATTCCCATAAAAAATTATTCTTTCCCGGGAAAATTACAGCAACAAAACCCGAAAGCTTGAGACAGACATGATGAATGAACCCACTAAATTAAAAAAAAAAAACCCTCTAATCTTCGCCTTCATCAGTAACGAACTTGCCAGTGCCAGGGTTCAATGCGGCAATGAAGAAGAACAGGACGTTGAACAACACCAACGGCTCGATCTCGTTGATCGGGATCCCGGTCTCGATGTTGAGCTGCGCCAGAGCTCCCTTCCCCGTTATCACTTCTCCGATCAGCGAGAAGGCAATCCCCAGCTGCGCCAATCTCCCCACGAACAGCTCGTTCGCCTTCGTGAATCCGAACAGCGGCCCTTTTCAACGAAACAAAATGTACAAATTCAGTCAATCGATCATCTTGTTTGGAGAAACAGAGAGATTAGATTTTACTGTAACGAAATTACCTCCTTCGGGAAGGCCCAATGTGGCCCTGAAGCTTTTGCCAGGGGGGATGACGGCCTTGTCGAGCCCCGTCGACTCTTCGTCGACGAAGCGTCCTCTGTCACCCAGAGCTCCAATGGCGCCCAACAGGGTGAAGAGGATGAAGAACAGGAGGAGCGGCTCGGCTTCGTAAATTGGGATTCCGGTTTCCAGGTTCAATTGTGATAGAATTCCCTTCCCTGTTACAGCTTCCCCTAGCAAAGAAGCCTGCACCATTCGTATCAAACACATTACACAATCACTTCTACAACCTGAGACTCCAATACACCACCTCAAAGTCGCGCGCCACTATCGTGTTATCATGATATCGCTGAACTATAATTCGATCAGTAAATCTACGAACCAACATATTCCATAATAGATGACTACTCAAATTTGTTTCTACACTTGAAGACTTGGGATATCGATCAACGAATCCACGAATCCAATTACAATTCGAACCGACCAGCTTAAAGTTGTCGTGCTACCTCAAATGCTCAAGAGTCTAGACCAAAGTAACATACTTTTGACTTCAATTTGTTGAAGATGTTACTAACAATACGTAAGAAACATTGAGAAACAGTGCAAGCACATTATGTTAATTCATTCTACGGTACAAAGGTGATAACTTCATTCTTAGTCCCTCAACTGAGTTTAAAGTAACTGCTTGTCACAGTATAAACCAACAAAGGAGCTTATTTTGCAGAAACTTGCAGTAGAAAGTGTGAGTTATGGAACTCACAGCAAAGCCAATCATGGCGACGCGTCCGACGAAGAGCTCATTCTGCTTGGTGAAACCAATACCTCCGGATGTCCCAAAGATACCGTCCTCAACTTTGGGCTTCGGTGGAGGAGCCTGTCCGTGCATACACATAACTGAATTCAACATTTCCACAACAAAAAAAAGCAGAGCAAAGAATGTTAAGAAAAAACAGAGTCTGGGTTTTACCTTCTTCGGAACAGCCTTGGTTTTGGATTTGAATAGAGCGACAGTGGAGAGCGATCTGGAAGAAGAAGAAGGAAGTGGGCTGTAGAGGAGATGAGATGCGAATGAGCTGGGCTTCACTAAACTTTGGTGGAGCTGCTGGAACTGAAGCATTGAGTCTCTCTTCAAATCCACAGCTGGCCTTGTGGAAACCCCTGAAGAGAAGAGCATTGCTTGAGACGCCATTGGAGTTGCTGCTTATGTGGGTTTCTGGCTGGAATTTTCGGCTCCTTTAGCTCTCTTTTGTGCCCGTCTTTCCTTTTCTGTCCACCTGGGAGTTTTTGTGTGGTGGAGAAGGAGGTGTAGGCAAGAAACAGGGGAGCTCTGTTCGTTTTTTTGTCCTTCACAAAAGAGAAAGAAATGAAAATTGAGGGTTTTAGAAGGAAAATAGAGAGTGTTGGATGAGTGGATTTGAGGTGAGGGTGGTGTGTGGATATGGTGTGTAATCTATTGAAGGGCAAAGAGAATGACCACGTCTCTCTCTCTCGTTTCCTTCACTCCACTTAGGATATGTTGCTTCTAATTTGTGACTTGTAATCGAAATATTGTTTGCCCTTTCTAATTTCTATTCCGAACAAGGAATCGTGTTTATGATATGTATTCAAACTTTTTTAAATTATTTGAAATGATTAATTTCATATGATATTAGGGATGACAATGGGTCGGGTTGGGTTGGGTTTTACCAAACCCAAACTCATGGGTTTATCCGTGAAAAAAACCTGGCGTAAAACCCATTGGGTTTGAAAAACCCAAACCGCTGGGTATCTGCGGGTTCATCGGTACCCACCGGTTTTGTCGTAAAACTTTACAATAACAAGTTACTATCAAAATTAAAGTCAAATATCAATCTCTCAATACAAATTATCCATATATAACACACCATTCTAGAAAATTCAAGCAAATCACAAATTAACTATACAAATTGTTCAACACCAATCTAGAAAACTCAAGAAAATTGAAACAAATCACAAATTATCCATAAATAACATGATTAATTGAAAACTTCTTCCTTTCAACTAAGTTTCTACACTCTCCACTCGATAACATCAACTTAATTCTACACAATTAAAAAGAAAAAATTAGACATGTCTCCACAAACATAAATAAGATTAGTTGTTTAGAATATAAAATATACGGAGAAAATTAATTATATAGGTGTGGGCGGGTACCCATGGGTCGGGTTTACCTAAACCAAAACCCAACCCAACCCGATGAATAGTGAATGGGTTTAAACCCAAAACCCGTCAACACGAATTTTACCCGCGTTGACCGGGTTGGGTCGGGTGGGTACACGTGGGTTCGGGTTTTGTTGCCATCCCTATATGACATTAAAGTGACGCTGAAATTATTTTTTAATTTTTTTAAATTACGATAATGTTTTATCTATAACCGAACATTTTATTTTTAGTGGTCATAACACTCGTTAATAACCATTAATGACTTACCTATTTAATTATGCAGTCACTTAATTATATATGGTTAAAAGTAAATTGACATTACATAAATTCTAGCAATGGTGCCAGAAAACTTGACTCACTACCACTACCCAATCATAGGCCAAGTGTAACCAATAATCGGGTGTAGCATAGAGTAAGTATTTCAAATATCAACCCAAGCGATCTATATACCCTTACTTCAGTCGTCCACAAGTTATATAGCAATCGAATTATTGTTTAAGCTAATTAACTAAATAAGCAAGCAAATAAAGCGACATTGAATTTAATAGAGAAAGTTCACTTAAATGGTATTCCCCCTAGTCCCGTTTTGAGATGAAAATGTGTACTCTAGTGCGATAGGTAAGCATTCATATACTGTTAGGAGATCTAAATTAGCTAGGACCCCATATTCGAGTGCACACTAGCCCGCTTAATCGATATAATCGGAGGAGCATACCATACAACCACAAAAGACGACCATGACAATCAATTCCACTCCCTCAGAGATTAACCTGGAATGGCGTAGAGTCACCAATCACAACGATTCATGACTCTCTATGATGATTGAGGAGTGACCACATTGCACTAAGGGGATTTTCTCCCTCACAGGTCAATTTGCAATAAAATTAAGAGATTTGATCAAGAACACTCAATTTTCATGGAAATAGCTCAATCAATATATAAATCACAATACCCATCAACACAATGAGTTTACGAACTACAATACCCATAAATCACAATACCCATCAATATATAAATCAATATACAACATCCTAGACTAGGGTTGCTAACATTCAAGTGAATAGAGTAACTACTACATAACTATAAGAGAAAGAACAACTAGAATAGAAGAAAAACTCATGGGAAAATTATTATTCTTTTCCTAGTTGCTTGGATGGATGTTTGGAGATGGTATCTGCCCTCCAATTAGGTCAAATTCACCTTCAAGTCCTACTTGCTCGTAGCTCTTTGTCTCGCTTTGAAGAACAACGCTCAACTCTCTCTTCAAATTTTGCTCACTCTCCTTTATATAGCATGTGAGTGCAAGCTTCCTGATTGCACTTCGCGCTCGTGAAGTATGCAATGAACCCATGATCTAAATCAAATTGCTATGTTTCATTAACATACTTCACGGGTATTCTGCTGACTTCAACTAAATCATTCAAACTTCAAATAATCTATTTTCAAATTCATATATTAAAATAATACATCTAACTAAAATATATAAATAAATTAGATGTATCGATTTAGAGAATCATACCATACCATGAGATTTGGTAATGTTTGCAACTAGGTGTGGGTAGCATTTGTGAACAAGATTGTTATCCAGGTCTCCCCCAATAATATCTAGATAAAAAAAAGGAGTCATTCCAATATATGGAAGAGATGCTCATTAAAAAACTCCAAGGTTGGAAGCAACAAACCTTGTCCAAAGTTGGTAAAAATACTTTAAATATAACATCTGCTACTAACCTATTGGTTCATGGTATGTCATGCTTTAAGATCCCAAAAGAAAACTATCGACGTTTAAATAGTTACGTTGCCAGATTCTGGTGGGGCTTGGCGGAAATCTTTGATTACCCAATACACTAAGTATTCCGGAAAGGCCTAGCCCACAGTAAATTTCACGGGGTATAGGATTTAGAGACTTTGGGACCTTTATTCAGGCTTTTATAGGACCAGCAGTGTTGGCGGATCTGGAAGAATCCAGATTCTCTCATAGCTTCTATCTACAGAGGACGATACTTCAACCAAGGATCGTTGTTAGATGCCCCTGTTGGATCAAATTCCTCATTGGGATGGCGCAACTTGTTGTTTGGAAGAGATCTCATTTTTCAAGGATTAAGATGGCAAGTTGGGGATGGACAAGATATTATAGCATTCCAGAACAAGCGGGTGGCTTTAGAGAAACCCATTACTCCATTGCTTCGCCTCCCGAATCTTACCAACTCCCCAAGTGTCTCTTTATTATTAGAGAAGGTAGAGGAGAGTGGCATATCCCAAAACTTCGATACTGTTTTGATCCAAGATCAGTATCCCTTATATGTAAAACCCACCTCCCTAGATGCTATCAAAGAGACACTAGAATTTGACATTTTACCAAAAATGGATCTTATACGGTTAAAACTGAATAGCATCTGGCATTAGGGATGACAAATGGGTCTTAAAGTTTGGATATTACCCAAACTCAACTAATTATGGGTCAAATCAAGTTTGAGTCATACCCATATTCAATTGTTTAGTTTGGATCTAAATTGAACCCATAGTATAGGAAGTAAAAAAAAATTGGGTATCCAATCATAATGCAATTGTTGTCTTATTTTTTGTTGGGAATAAAATTAAAAGGTGAAAACACCTACATTAAAGGTGTGCAAATAGATTGAAAGTAGTTAATGAAATAGTTTATATTGTTTTTGTGCATACAACCATTTAGATCCGATAGACCCATTTGGCTATAATCCAAATGAATTGACCCAATTAAAACCCAACCCAAACCTAAAATCGATACAAGTGCATATGGGTCCATTTGAGTTCGACCCAATACACATATGGATCATGATATTTGGGTCAAATGACCCAATGGGTCTACCCATTGCCATGTCTATCTAGCATTAGAAATCTCTTTAGCCTCGAGTCGTAAGCCCTTGGTCCAAATTATTTACCCTCCTATATGGAAAAAACGTGAGATATTCAAGTTTCTAATAAACTGAAAAATTTCATATGGCAATGACGGAAAGTGATTTTACCGACAATTCACAATAGTAGCACTTGAATCAAGAGGAGCAATTGTCTTACCCGATGTCCTGTTTGTTGGAGGAGTCGAAAAAGTATTGAACACCTATTCTTTAGATGCCCATTGGCCACCAAGTTGCAGTCGCCTATGGGTCTAAATGATTTCATTGCCTCAGTCCCAACTGTGATTTTCGGTCGTTGGTGGTGACATGTTATGCTTTCTGAGCACCCCCAAACCCATGTTCACTATTACGTATGTGTACTATAGAGGATCTGGAAGTCTTGTAATATTGCCACATGCCCAGTCCCTAGCTCGTCAATGTTTTCTCCAAGTTCGTGAAGTCTCTTCCCCACCCCCTCCCGCGTCAATCCCTCCTCATCGACCCCCGTGTTCCCGACCTAGCTCTTGGGTTCCTCCTCCATATGATTTCCTAAAGATCAACTTTGATTTCGCTGTTCATGATTTTGAGTGCTCGTTTGGCCTAGTTGTTCGCGAGACAGACGGGCATGTGGTGTTGACAGTAGGATCCCAACATCCCCGCATTGATGATCCTTACCTCATGGAGCTTCTTGCAGAACCTGATGCCATTTCTCTCGTGGTCTCTAAGTCCCTACCTCGCGTCATTATCGAAGGCGATTCAAAAGTGGTGATTCTTCAGCTTTGTTAGGGTGTATCTTCAGATTCCCTCAGAGGACCTTTTCTTCGTAATTGTCTTTATATTCTGTCTTTAGTTTTTGTTTGTTTAGAGTTTAGGAAAGTTCCTAGAAGTGCAAACGGAGCTGTCCATAAAGTGGCGCAAAAAGTCCTATTACTGTCTCCCCTTGAGTTAGGTTCCTTCGACTTTGTAGGGTGGTCTCACCGAGGGGGTACTATGGGTGGGATACTTGGTAGATTGTATAGATTCCTTTCTATTGTCATTAGGGATGCAAATGAGCCGAGTGGCTCACGAGCGGCTCGACGTTCGGCTCGAAGAAACTCGTTCGAGACTCGACTCGTTTATTAATGAGTCGAGCTCAATCTGCGCCTTGTTAAGCTTGTAAGGCTGGCGAGCTAGCTCGACTCGGTAACTTGTTGAGCTAACTCGTGAGTTAGCTTGTTATGAGTTATGAACTAACTCGATAATATGGTTAGCGAGCCATACATTTGTAACTTATTAGTTGATAATCCATACATTTGTAAGATCACATATATCAACATATATAATGTTTAAGACTATGAAGACGTGACCAAATATGTCTCATTTTATTTTTAAAATGAAATTATGTATCATAGATAGTTTAAAATACTAATTATTATCAAATAAAATCATATTTGTGAACTAAATGATATGATACCTGAGCTAGAGCCTATGTCGCGAGCTGATTGATGAGTCAAACTCGAGTAGAGCTCATTAACAAGCCAAGCTCGAGTCAAATACGAGCTTAGGTTTTAGTAAAAAGCCGAGCTCGAGCCTGAACTCAACTCTTTTATTAATGAGCTGAGCTCAAACTGGATCAGAACTCGGCTCGACTTGACTCATTTGGAGCTTTATCATTAGCGTCGGTCGGTCCGGCTACATTTATATTCCTTGACCCTTGAGATATGAGTATTCAAACCACTGAACTGACTGCGGCCTCAGAGTAAAATTGGTTCCTGTCGTCTTTTGATTATTAACGTCCACCTTCGTTCAAATTAAATACCTGCACAAATCTCGAAGATAAAAAAAAAAAATCAGACCGCTGCACAGGAGACATGGAGGAGAATGCGCAGATCCATCCGTATTAATATGAATATATATATTTAATTATTTATGATAAAAATAAAATTACAAACTAAAATCAGCAAACAAACGTAAAATCAATTTAATTAAGTTCGTTCCCAACAGAACAATAATAATTAATAACAATATGATAAAGTAAAATTACAACAATGAATGGAATAAACAAAAAGCTGCGACGGGCGCATGCAGAGGCCACAGTAACCCATGCTAACTGCCAAAAACTAATCAATCAAAAAGAATCAAAATTTTCAAAGCTGGAGAGCGTCTCTTCCACCACCACCATTTTTCAAAATTCAACCACAGCCAAACAAACACAGTGGAGAAAATCGAAAACCCTATTATTATTATTATTATTATTATTATTATTATTATTATTAAAAAGGATAAATAATAAAATAAACCACAATCAGGCTGCCATTTGCTGACATAAACACATAATTGTCTCCAACTACGCCCCAACTGTTTGCTTGAAATCAAAGACAAATCCCTTCTACACACATGGGCGGGAATAAGTACAGCTCAATTTTCAAACAAACACTATTGTTTAAATATTCATTTTCTTTTGTAACCACCATTATTTAGTTTCTAATCAGTGTCCGTGAAATTGCACCAGTATAAATCTCATATTAAAAACTAACTCGATACGTAGTACTTAGCAGTAAGAAACAGTTTGAACTATGGTTAAACCACGATTTATATTAAATAAACTATGCAACCACAGTAACCTGGGCTGATCTCTCTGACATTGGCAAATACTGCAACAGTAGTATTCCCAAATTTTAAAATCTTCCCCAAGCAACAAAAAAGCTGTAATTTTTGGGTTTCTCTTTTCTCCTCCAAAGCTGGGTTCTCGTTTCAGAGTCACATGCTCTCTTTTTCTTCTTTCGAAAATTTTCTTGTTTGACGGGACAGAGAGGGAGCGAGTGTGTGAATATGGTGGGGCTTTAAAACCTAGAACTAGAATAGAAACCCACATTATCTGCAAAAAAAAGCTTCTCTTTGACACATTAATCGGCCAAATTAGTAGCAGCTTGCTTGCTTTTGCTTGTGTTGAATTTGTATCTGGGGAGGAGACATTTCCTGACACTCTGCAGCAGATTTCTAAGCAAAGGTCATAATAAAGCCCTCCCTTCCCCCCCCCGGCCCGGCGGTGCTCTGCTTTTCTGTTCTTTCTCTTCCTTCATAATTATTGACCATCTCTTCAAAATCTTCAACTCTCTCTCTTTCTCTCTCTTTCTTTCTTGCCTCTGGCATTTAATTTCTTAATTCAACAAAAATTCGTCCCTATCTGATCTCCGAAGTTCTGCTCCGGTCTCCAGCAGTCAAAGGTAATTGAATCTGTGCCATTCTCTTCTTCTTCCTCCCCCATCTTCCCAACTGGGTCGGATTTCTCTACCTGCAATGTGGGCAACTCTCAATTTGATTCATTTGGGTTCCTGGAATTCGTGCTTAAGCGAACCGTTGTGCGGCCGTCTGGGTTCTCTTCCGGAACTGAAATGGATTGGGTTCCTGCTGTTTCTCCCGTCTTCTCATTTTCTGGGGTTTCCTTTATTTTCTACAGTTTCTCCGTGCAAGGGTAATAGCTACTGTTCCATTGTCAGAGGCTTGTTTGGTTATAACAGTCTTATGAGTTAGGTTTTCATTAGGTGAGTAGTTATTTCGATTTTTCCAGTCCCCAATCGATTTTTTTGATGAAATGGGTTCTTTTACTGTTTGGTGGTATAGGAAAAACCACTGTTTCTTACTTCCTTTGGTGGGTTTTGCTTTGCTTCTTCACGTGCTACTGAAGCTCGCTATTTCTTCTTTCTACTTTCATAGTTACCTATATCGACTCTACAAATTCCTGTTTCTGATAATGCTGTTGTTGTTGGGATTGGATGGTTGTTGTTTGGATTTGAAGCCAAGCTGGTAGAATGTTAAGCCAAGCAATCTTTCTTTTTTCAACACTTTTATGTATGAGTTTGCCGAGAAATTCTTCTTCTTCCATAGACTAGAGGCATTTCCTCCCTTTTCTTTCATCTTCTTGGTATGAAATTCCTGGGATTGTGTGCTTCTGGTTCTGCTCCAAGCACAGAACCATTCTAAACAACTCTATACTTATTGCATTTGCAGATAAATCTATTGGATGAGATAGTGGGTTGTCAGCTCCTCGGGTTTAAGAGATGGAGAAGAGAAAATGGTTGTGGAAGAAGAAACCCTCAGAAAGGGGTGGTGGAGAGACTGAGAGTTCAGGTTCAATATCATCTCATTCAGAGAGGTTTTCAGATGACCAGGTTGGTTTGAATTTTGTTCCATCTTATTGCTCTTGCCCTTTTTTTCATTTCATCTGGTATTACATATATTTCACACTGCCTCCAATTTTCTCAATTTCTGATAAAAAAATGTTTCCCCTCATTCCAAGTAACTATGTGCTGTATGGTTGAAGTAGGATTGATGCGATAAGCTCTCTCTGCAAAATTGGGGAACTCTGAATGGTTTCCAGAGGGAATGATGTGGTCAATTACAAAGTGATCGATAGCATGGAAGTTGTATTTTCAAAGCTTTGAATTGATGTAGGAGTTTATCCTCAAAGAAACAATCTTTTGATATAACTAATGCCTCTAATGGTATATTTATGGAAATTGTTTGTACGTATGATCTTTAATAGCTGTGGAGAGTTGTAACTTCAGTTAGCATCTCACTTCCATGTCACAGGAATGCTCCTTTTTTCGATGCTTTTTGGCCAATACTCCATCTTCTTTTTGATGGCACCTAATATATAATACTTTTCTGGTTGAAGCAGGACGCACTGAAGGCATCTCCTAAGGATGACAGTCAATCTCCTGAAGTCACCTCCAAAATTGCAACTGGAGGTGATGAAGAAGTGAATGACAGTATCAAATGTTTGACAGAGAAGTTATCAGCAGCACTAGTGAACGTGAGTCAGAAAGACGACTTGGTCAAACAACACTCGAAAGTTGCTGAAGAAGCTGTCGCTGGCTGGGAAAAGGCCGAGAACGAATTAGTGGTTGTCAAGAAACAGCTTGATGCAGCAACACAAACAAAATCTCAGCTTGAAGATCGAGTAAGCCATCTTGACGGGGCGCTCAAGGAGTGCGTTAGGCAGCTAAGACAAGCACGTGATGAACAGGAAGAGAAAATACGCGAGGCAGTGGTAAGCAGAACTAAAGAATGGGAAACAGATAAATCCGAGCTAGAGAATCAGCTTTTTCAGTTGAAAACTGAATTAAAGGCTGCTGCTGCTGCAAAGTCTGAGTCTCCAGCTCGAGTCGATCCTGATCTCTTTCAAAGACTTGAATATTTGGAGCAAGAGAATGAAACACTGAGGCTTGAGCTTCTGTCTCAATCTGAAGAACTAGAAGTTAGAACAATTGAAAGGGAGTTGAGTACTCAAGCTGCTGAAATGGCCAGCAAGCAACATTTGGAGAGCATAAAGAAGGTCGCCAAGCTTGAGGCTGAATGCCGAAGACTGAAAGCCTTAGCTTCGAGATCATCCTCCTCACTTAATGATCATCACAAAACATCAGCTGCTTCCTCGGTGTATCTCGAGTCTCTCACGGATAGCCATTCGGATAGTGGGGATAGGCTCAATGGATTGATCTCTGAACTGGATGAGTTCAAGAATAATAGGACTGCTGGTAACAGAAATGTACCGGTGGTAGCACCAGCTGTTGAAATCGATCTCATGGATGATTTCCTTGAGATGGAAAGGCTAGCTGCATTGCCTGAGAATGAAATGGAAAGTAGTAATCACGTTGAATCAGTTGTGAAACAGTCGACTGATCATGAAGAAAACTTGCTGAGAGATGAGCTAGAGATTGCCATTCGCCAGGCAGCTGAATTTGAAGGCAAGCTGAATGAGCTGCAAGAAGTGAAAGATGAACTGGAGCGAAGTTTGGAGAACACAAGAGCAGACAAAGCTGAAGTGGAAGAAACTCTGGAGAGAATGATCCAAGAGAAAGCTGCTTTTGAAGAAAGTCTGGAAAGGACGATTCAAGAGAAATTCCAAGCTGAAAGTAACTTGGCAGAAATGGAGTCGGAAAAAGCAGAAATGGAAACTGCTTTAACAACGAGTCGATGTGAGAATAAAGCATTGCAAAGCCGGTTGATGGAAGTCCAACTCAAGTTGGAGGAAGTCCAAAGCCAGCTATCATTGGCAAAAGAATCGAAGCAAGAGATCGAATCTCAACTTGTGAATTTGGAAGCAGAATCCCGTACCTTGTCAGCACAGGTTTCCACCTTGGAAGCCGAGCTTGAGAAGGAAAGGGCTACGTCCGCAGAGTTCAGTATCAAGTATCAGTACCTGGAAGAAGAGATTTCCAGGAAGAAAGAGGAGTTGGAGATCCAGCAGCACTCAATGAACATGAACAGTGCACCAAAGATAAAACAGGTATAGAACAGGTTCCTATGAATAACTGATCTCTCTTAGTTCTTCCAAGCTCCATGCATCATGCATAACAGTTGATAATATCCTTTCGTGTGTCGGTGGCAGGAGGACCTAGCTTTAGCAGCTGGGAAGCTTGCAGATTGCCAGAAGACGATATTGTCCCTAGGGAAGCAACTCAAATCTCTAGCAACACTCGAGGACTTCCTGATCGATGCCAGCAGCATACCCGAAATCACAGCGGTAGGAGCTTCATCATTGGCTGCTGCTCCTAGAGGTAGTAGTAGTAGTGAAGGTGGTGGAGTGCTATGGAACTTGCATTCGAACGAGACATACTCTCCTAGAATAGATTTGAGTCCTGCAAGAGCTATTGCTGTGGAGATCAGTAAACACGAGCGCAACTCGCCACCGTCTTGTTCTTCTTCATCGACTTCCTCTGCAGTCGTAGCCTCCATGCACAGTAGCTCTGATAAGAACCGAAATGGGTTCGCCAAGTTTTTCTCGAGGAGCAAGAATGGAATTCAGCTTGAACTGTAGTGTGCTGGAAAAAACAGAGAGGTGTCCTGAGATTTGATTATATGTTTGGTTTGTAGAGAGTAGAGCTTGTATACCCGGCCTTGCCTCAATGCCATATGTTCTTTTTTTTTTGGTTAAAGAAGAATTCCCCCATTCTTGTGTTGTTGGCCTTTTGCCATATTCATGTTCCTCAGTTTTTATTTATAGACTTATAGTTGTTCCTGACAATTTTAGACCCAAGAATAGATCTTGTACAAACTGCAGCAAAACGACGTCGTGTGTGCAATCACAAGCAAAGCCAAAATGGGGTGAGAGAGGCTCGAACTCTCGACCTCAGGATTACTCTTAGCTATGAGACCTACGCGCTAACCAACTGCGCCACCACCCCATATGTCTACTTCTAGTCAGATATTTTTAATAAAGTCTCATTCATAACATAGATATTTCTTCCACTCTTTGTCCTAAAAAGTCTGATTCATAACGTAGATATTTCTTCCACACCTCTAGCATAGTCATTTACTGCACACCAAGACAGCTTTTACTGTCCATCGTGACTCATTGTCACTGTTTCAATTCGGATAGAACTTGGGTGTGGGAGGGTGCACCGTGTTCTTTGGTTGGTTTCGGATGGGCTGGTTTCATCTGAATTGCTGGTTGGAACTTGTGGTTGCTTTTCCATTTTGGTTGCCCTTCCTCGCGTTGGCCACCTGTAGGCTTAACAGTCCCAGCTAACCCATAAAGTAGTCTGATGATACCTTGACGAGACTAAGGGTGGTGAGAGAAAACAAAAGGGCGAGAGAAATTGAAAAAGGAGAACCCTTACGAAGGCCACAAGTTTGTGAGATGGTTTGATGTGGCCGCTGACAGAGAGCCAGAGACTCTTGGAGTCGGCAAAGTAATTACGTTTCCTTTCTCATTCTGTTTTCTCCCCCACTTACTCTTTTCTTATCCATGACAATTGTTTGATGATTTTGAGGTCGATCTTGGGTTTCGTAGGTTGATAATGTGCCTGAGCAGAGCTTTGAGTCGTCGAAGTGGGTAGTTAGACTGGAAACAACATCTTTTTCTACTCAAGCTGAATCGGCGACGACCTCTGTAAATAACCCCTGCTCTGTCTTCAAGCTCCGAAATTCCCTTTTTCGGCGAATTTAATTGTTTTCACGCAGTCAGTTTCTCATACATCTTACATGTTATCATCAATGGTCACTCCGGATCTCTATATCTAATCTACTTCTACTTTGTAAGCTGATGGCGAACTCATTAAATAACCTTTTTCCCCCCCTCTTTCTTCTCCCTTTTTAGAAACAAAAGGATGGACTTTTTGCGTTCGTCTGCTGGATGGTGAGATATACTGCTTTGGTTTCCTTAATTCCTTCTCATCGCTGGTGGCGGTCACTTTGATGGATGCTGAGATTAGATTGCCTGATCAATTTCAAATTGTGGGCCATTGATATCACGATAATCGCCGATCTTCAAGACATATGTAGGCAAGGCAGGATCAGCTCCGAGTTCTTTCGTCCTTCGATTTTGAGTTTCTTTTTCAATATGCATCTATCCCTCTTCAAGTTAAACACATCGCCTATAAATGGAGGTTTAATTTCTATTTACTTTTGCTGATATAATCCGTCTTTGGTGTATACATGAGAGGCATCACGATGACCAGTAATTTCTTCTCTATTTGTGTTTCTCTGTAATTGTGGTCGATGGTTTTGTTGATAATCATGGTTTGATTACTCACTACTCTATTTCTTCTTTTTCTTCTTGCATATCATATATACTGTTTTGCTTATATATCATGGACCGTGGATGAAGTGAGTGAGACGTGTTTGCCTTTGCTTTTAACAATATAGATCGTTAATTTGTCTCTTCTTGGTCATGCTAATACCTACCTAATGAAATTATGCACAAGGATGATTCTTCGGGTTAATTGCATGGTTGGTCACTGGAATTACAAAAAACGTTCATATTTAGTCACTACAAATATTTAATTCTATTCGTGATCACTATAATTAATCAAACAATCCAAGTTTGGTCACTCTCCGTTACCTTCCGTTAGTCTCCGTCAGATTTTTGCTTATGTGGCTAACGGAAATGCCTAGTCACCCAATTTTAACAAATAAAAAATAAAAAACAAACCTCCACGGCTCCACGTCAGTAAGCAGTCACATCAGATAACCGAACCCGCCCAACCCCACTATTGACCCTTCCAGCTCTTCAATCATTTTCTTCAGATCTAATTTCTCTGTCGTGGCCGTGCTAATTAACCCACAACCGCCGCCGACTCCGATTCCTCCGCCGCCTCCGAGAATGCCGTCTTTGACGGCGGTTTCCAGATCTAGGACTTGCCCTCCAACACCCACATCAAGACCCATCAAGGCTCCGTCCTTACGGAGTCGATTCGACTGATACACCGTCATTATTTGAGAGGAACCAAAGAAAAAAAAACCCCACAACACTGAAACTGTGGAGAAGAGGAAGAGATGAATAATGGAGAGGGGGGAGGGAGAAGGGGAACTAATTATGAATTCCTCGCCATCTTCGTCGGACAGTCACATCCACAGAGAGACAAGAAACGTGTGGGAAAGCAAAAAGAGAAAGAGACGGATGGATAGCAGAAATGGACCCAACTCAAATCCTCACCTCGTCTAGCTCCACGCCGACTCCGAAGACGATTCCCATCTCCACATGGTCACCAAAATATGCTCCAAATTCGACTTCCACGCTATAATCCTCTCCAGCCGCGGCGCGTTTGCGAAGCACGAACTCAGATCCATTTCGCCGAACTCATGGCCGCCGTCTCCTACTGCAATTAACCTTCCTCCCCTTCCTAGAACAGAGCAACCGCAGTCCCTCCATCCCCTTTCTCGTGCAAAATCCAATTTTTGAATCACCACGGGGGTAGAGGAAACAACAACGCAACTCTCGCTCTGCCATCCCTTGTTACCTCCGCTGGTTGTAGCTCCTTCCGTCGATTTCATTCAGCGACACCAGAAGGTGGAGAAGAAATGGAGTGGGTCTGGTGGGACAGAGGTCGTTCAAGGCAAGGAAGAAGAAGAAGCCACCGTCGGAGAGGTGGCGTCGCGTGGAAATCTGATTTGTGGTTTGGGAATCTGCCGATTAGGGATTTATTCCAGCTGGGTCAATTAGAGAAAGAAGAGGAAGGGTCAGGTCAAGGGTTGGGTTGGATTGGGTTGGGTAACTTATGTTTGATTAACTAAAATGACGTGGTAGGTGGTTTTTTGTTTTTTTCTTCTTTAAATTAGCTGATTAGGCACTTCTGTTAGCCACGTCAGCAAAAAACTGACGACATTAACGAAAACTAACGGAAGGTAACAGAGAGTGACCAAACTTGGACGGTTAATTAATTATAGTGACCACGAATGAAATTAAATATTTGTAATGACTAAACATGAACGTTTTTTGTAATCCTAGTGACCAACCTTGCAATTAACCCAAGATTCTTCCCTTAATTTATAAATGACCCTTGATTTATCTGGAAGTTGGAATGTGTCGATGGTTAATTAATGCCAAATTAACAAGGCCTCTTACTTTTCATGTAATCTTCACCTTTAATGATAGGAGCCTGGGATATGTTATTCATAGAATCTATATGCTTACATTCCACTCAACGATTTGTGGCCCCAAGACTTCATCAGGACAATCCTTTCACTATAAATCATATCTATATTATCCAATATTTGGTATTTCAATTTCCCATTATTATCAAACATATGAATTATCTATGTTGATAATAAAATTTTATTATGATGTCCATTAATAAAAAGTATACTCACTATTAAAAAAAAATATCCTCCAATTCCGTAGCGGAACACTAACTATAACAATACTTTGTATGGACTATTAGCAATATGAAAAATATGAACACATCATGGTACTCATAATGTAGTAATTGTGTAATCTACATATACCACAAGTCCCGGCGCAACGCGCGAGCCATAAAAACTAGTATTGTTTATTTAACCAATGTACCAATAATAATCACAAAAAAGTCAACCTTATGCACTAGTAGCAAATTTAGTATTGGTGCTTAGTATTTGCTCCTAAACCATATCACTATGCTATATAGTGATTTAATGTACAATTTAAAGTAGTACCATAACAATAAATGTATAAATTTAGGTTGTACCATAAAGGAATTTGTACCGTTATGTTATGGTATAATTTTACAACCTGAAGTTGTACCATCACATAAATGTACAAGTTCAAGTTGTACCATAAAAGAATTTTTACAAAAAGTATAGGTATAATATAAAGTTGTACCATAACGTTAAATGCACAATTTCATGTTGTACCATAAAAGTAAAAACCTATAGCACCAATGCTATGTAACACTGTAAAATTCCTCCCCAGACAAACCAAGTGAATGACACCACTAGAGAGCATCACGCAAAACAACAAACTCCACCTGAAAACGATTATGCAATCTGAAACACTATTGAGCATTTGTTACCAACACTACAGAGTAAGAATCCTTGTTAACTATCTCCATTGTTGCGTGAGACCTTGCACACCTAATCAGGGTTGGTCCATGATATTCGAAGTCTTTGCCCGAAAGTTTAAATTGTGGCCCTAAAAATTTTCCTCTTAAATGTATTAAAACTAAAAATTAGTAAATCTTAATAAAAATACTTAAGTTCAGAAAGTGATAACAAAATGAATAAATTCATCTATCATTGTTTAAAAAGTAACAACCATCTAGTCTTATTTGAAATAAAAATCTTCTATTAGCTCTTTTATCTTTGCATCATCCAAATAGTTATTCTCAATTGCTAATCTAGCTAACTCGTTAAACCTCTCTTATGTCATTGTAGAGCGCATATAAGACTTCAACAATTCAATATTGAGAAGCTTCTTCCTGCTGTAACAATAGTCATAGGAATAGTTAATAAGATTCTATAAACTATGCTTGCATTAGGAAAACAACCAACAAGTTTCAAAAAGTTTAAAATTAAAAAAAATTCGTATAAATACGTTGAATGATTCAAAAAAGAAATCTGTAGCTTTACCATAAGAATTAGTCATATCACATACTATCAAATATTTATAATTGATTTAGTTATTTTATCTGTTATACTATTGGTGGCTTGTACCTAACTATTTTGGTTAACATTTAATAAATCAATGTGAATTATTTAATTAATTTAGCATTACTGCCTTGGTAGTACAAGTAGATTAAATGACGAAATTAAATTCTTTCCCCCCCTTGGAAAGCTGAAAATGAAGAAAATTAAAGTAATATATCTAATAGTGATAATAATGAGGCATCATCAATTACCTCTTTTCTTCTATTTAGGAAACACAAGACAAAAAATAAGTTATGTGATATGGTTTGAAAAAATTTTAATAAGAAAAAAGTATTTGTCTCATGTAATTCGTTCGTTCCTTTAAACTTCGGACTTAAATTTTTTATTATTGTTCTAGACCCATAATAAAAATTCAATTCATAAAATTTTTATCATTTTAAATTTATAATCGAAATCTAATTATCCATCATAGTAATTAGTCATATACATAATAAAAGTGTCCGGAGGCCCCAAAATTTTGAATATGTAAAATAATAGGTAAATATTTCACAATATTGTTGATAGACCCAATTCTTAATCGATAAAATTTTAAAAATATTAAAACACCTCACCTTTCGTTAATACACTCGATAAATTCTTAATTATTACGGTACTTGAAACACCCGAAAACTCGTATTATACCGTTAAAATCATCCATCTCCTATGTTGTTTTTACTCTCCAACTCTTATTATTGTTTTTTCTTATTATTGTTACTTTCCCTAACCATAAATTCTGTCTTTTACTTCCCTTTTCCTTCCCACGTATTACTCCTTCCCTTCCTTCCTTCCTTCTTTCTTTTATTTTGATTTTTCTATTTCTTATTTCCTCCTTCCCCATGCAAAAGGGAAGATGACAAACAGACACACTCCTCCCTATTTCTCCTTTGTTCTTTCACATTCTTTTCCTTTCTTTCTTCTTCCCATACATGCATAAAGAAACATTCTACCTCCCATACACAAAAGCTTCCAACCTCCACTTCTTCCTCTTTCTTTCATTTTCTTTCATTTTCTTACTTTCCACATGCACAACCATGCATGAACATGCAACATTCACATATGTACATGCTCCCCTTTGTTCTTACATATTGCACCTATTTCCCACATAAGCATCTCATTCCCATGCATACGTAGAGTAGAGAACTAAAACCATTCACCAATTTTCTATGTTCCATAATCACTCACTTATTTTCATTTATTCTCTATTACATACTTACACTTTCTCATGCTTTCTCATACACACTTGAACTTTCTCATATACCATAATTGGTGAGGAATATTAGTGTATGACGGAGAATGTTAAGGTATTAGAATATTAACGAGTATAGAAGAATAATGGAGAATGTTGGTGAATGTTAACGTAAGTCGAGGAATTTAACTACGACTTTTCCCTATAAATAGGGAGCACCCCTCCCCCTTTCAAAAAAACAACAAGTCACACACACCACATAAATCGCTTACGACTAATTCACACAACACAACTCACACACAATATACACTCTCTATACTTTCTCTCTCTAAAAACGTTTTCTCTCTCCTCCAGATCTCCCAAAAACGTGTTAAATCTCTTAACACTCAACACACTCTCAATTTGGCGGACTAAGCCATGGAATCGTGGATAGTCTCCACCGGGCGGCATTAAATAGCCGACGACGCTCAATTACGACCGTGGGACCGAACCAGGTCTAACGTCATCGTATTCATTTTATTCCATTCAGGTTACTAATTTGAGCGTCGGAGGAGGTTCCAACCAGGACCCCCCTGGTGGGACCTTTTTTTTCCAAGTATTCGCACGGAGCTGGAGGTGGTTAAAGGCTTTGGGAAATCAGCGCTCTCCGGACCTTAAACATATTGAAGCAGGCTGCTCTAAACTTGGCATCAACAATTGTAAAATTTTATTCATTGATTTTTTACTGTTAACGACACTTCACATCAGCTTCCACTAAAAAAGATGTTGATTTTTTGGATAAATACAATCTATTTGAAAATTCTTTTAACATTGACATTCCATTAGTAAGACCTTTTAACTTTGACAAAATTAGTTGAACTTTGGAAAATACAAAATAATTATCAAAGATTTCATAGCATTTCAAAATTTTATTCGTTGATTTGTTATCGTTAATATATTGTTAATAATGCTCCAGCTCAGTTGTCACATCAGATTTCATTAAAAAACCGGATGAGTGTATTATTTATTTGGTTTATCTACTTTAGATTTAGTTTTGATTATTATCTTATCGTAATGAACATTGTGGATTAGCTCACCAACATAAGTTCTTCCTTTAGGCATGAACTTTGTATTATTATCATACTATAGCAAGGTCTCCTTTCACGGTGCCGACAACGCCCATATACCACTTTTGGTGGCGTTCTCGTCTCTTCGTCATACTTACTCTGAGAATCCGATGGAGAAAAACATCGTATAAGTTGTCATACATTTTAAAATTAAATTAATAAAAGATGAAAACGGTTGAGTGACTTGGCAATTTCTTGTTCACTGCCATATCAACAAAACTTTCCCAACTCAACAACAAGTTTGCTAGCTCGGAAACTATCATAAGTGTTAAGCGGAATTTAACAATTGGCTATTGTTTGTATTTTGAAAGGTTTGGCTAATATTTCGTTAAAGTTGAAAGGGTTGACTAATATTTTGTCCAAGTTGAAATGTTTGGCTAATAAATTATAAAAATGTCAAAGGTTGGCTAATTTGGCATCTTCTTGTTGCCTGGCATGTCATAAAATTTCTTCAGCTCAGCACCGCATTATCCAAGTGAGCCTTAACTAACCGAGGTCTCAATGAAGATTGAAGACTAAATGATTGGCTATTATTTTGTATTTTTAAAGATTTGACTAATAATTTGTCAAAGTTGAAGGTTTGATTAATAAACTGTATTTTCTCATTTGCAAACACAAAAAGGTTCTATGGTGTAGTGGTTAGCACTCTGGACTTTGAATCCAGCGACCTGGGTTCGACTCCCGGTAGGACCTCTTTTTTGTGCAATAACTTTGCTCTTTAAAACTATGCGAAACAAGTATGCTCTATACCCGCTCATTTGACCACTTTAGTCATTTATATCTCTCAAAAGTATATGTATATTTACTATTTATCTATTTTATCAGGGGTGGAGCTATGTAGGTTTTGGAACTTACGTATAAAGTTTTAGGATAATTGGATAATTACATATTAATTGAGTGTTTAATTCTATGTATAGTGTGGTATGACCTCTTTTTTGTGCAATAACTTTGCTCTTTAAAACTATGTGAAACAAGTATGCTCTATACCCGCTCACTTGCCCACTTTAGTCATTTATATCTCTCAAAAGTATATGTATATTTACTATTTATCAATTTTATCAGGAGTGGAGCTATGTAGATTTTGGAACTTACGTATAAAGTTTTAGGATAATTGGATAATTACAAATATATTGAGTGTTTAATTCTATGTATAGTGTGAGTGAGAAGTTGTTACCATAACCAGTTTGCACTCTAGCAGAGAAGTTATTTAATTTGATTATTGGATGTGTGTTTGAACCTAACAGCCAACTATTTTACTTTAATTTTGTGATGGTCTTCACACCATTTTGTGAGCACTCATGCTCACAAGGTGAGATTGAAACCCACATCTCACTAAAAATTTGGAAGGTTATGATATAGGTTGCGCCTATGATTCCTGGCAAGTCACCATAACTTGCACTTTTCGGTCGACCTCATTTAGGATTAGGTCGACCTAATTTGTTGTTTGTGTAAAAACAGTTTTATGGTGCCTACTTTGGAGATTCATATCTTACAATGGGCTTGATGTAAATTGGAGATTAATGGCTTGTTTTGAAGCTGTAGTGTCCCTCTATACATTGAAGTGCTTGGGAGCTCGATAGGAAGTCCAGAAGACCATTTTTGAACCTGATCAAAAGTCTATGCCAAAACTGGGAAACTGCCTGAAAATGGTTTAAGTATGAGAACGTATTTGTGAAGTCTACTTTGGAGCTCAATTTGAGAAGCATGGATGAGAGGCGAGTCCAGGGGCCTCTACCACATGAAAGTGTGTATGTTTTTCTACAAAGGCAAGGCAATGTATGAAAGATTGGATATATGGAAAGCTTCAAACAAAAGGCTCAAAGTTGCTACGAAGTAAACTGCCTTCTATACTGAAAAACAGCCTTCGTAGCAACTTCGAGCCTTTGGTTTGAAGGCTTCCAAAGATCCAATCTTTTATCCAATGTCTTGAATTTATAAAAACACACCTAATTTCACGTGGTAGAGGCCCCTGGACTCGAATCTCATCCATGCTTCTAGAATTGAGTTCCAAAGTAGACTTCACAAACACGTTCTCAGACTTTAGCCATTTTCAGGCAATTTCCCAGTTTTGGCATAGCCTTTTGATCAGGTTAAAAATGGTCTTCTGGACTTTCTATTGAGCTCCCAAGTACTTCAATGTGTAGAGGGTCACTCCAGCTTCAAAACAAGCCATTAACCTTCGATTTCCATCGAGCCAATTGTAAGATATGAATCTCCAAAGTATGCACCATGAAACTATTTTTGCACAAACAAAAGATTAGGTCGACCTAATTCTAAATGAGGTCGACCGAAAAGCGCAAGTTATGGTGACTTGCAAGTCACCGTAGTAAAGTTCTATGATTTATTGTTTATTAAATGAGATTATGTAAGAAAAAAAGTAGAGAACCAAATACTCTTTTAATGGGGTGGTCCCACAGTTTTTTCATTTTTCCCATTTCTTTCTCTCTATTGTAATCTCTCATTTTTTTAATACTTGTTCGATTAGCCCGAAGACTTTTTCAAAACT